TCAGAAGAGGGAGGCACATCATTTGTCTGCTGGGCCTGCTTGGGCCCAGACTCCAACGTCGGATTTTCATCATTTGAGGAAGAGCGGCCGTGCCCACGTGACCTGATGGTTTGGAGGGCCAGAAAATGCCAGCTCTGCCCCTGCCAGGGTGGCTCCGCTGGTTGGAGTGTCATCCCCTAAACCGAAAGGTGGGGGTTCAATTCCGGGTCAGGGCACATGCTTAGGCTGCGGGTTCAGTCCCACAGTAGAGACGTGTACAAGAGGCAACCGGTTGATGTTTCTCTCCCTCTCTTTCTCCCTTCCCCTCTCTCTAAAGTCAACAACCATGTCTGTGGGGGAGGGTAAAAAAAAGAAAGGAAAGGAAAGGAAAACGCCAGCTCCTGAGGGACAGGCAGCTCCTATCTCGCAGTGGCCGCACGTCCCACGGGCAGCTGCCCAGTGGGACACCAGAGGCTGGTGTCCTGAGGGTGAGCAGTTCTCTGCTACAGAGCCATGGACTGGCTTCCACATCCCAGTTAAAAGAAATGGTTTTTGTTTAATTGATGCGTCTGATTCATTTGGCAAATTGCCCATTTCTTAAGTGCGTTAATCACTTATTAATTGATTTTTGGTGAATTGGCCTTTCAGGTGATTGGTTGTTAGCAAAACTGACTGGTGCTGGCTTCAGAGCTGGCTGATCCAGCTACAGAAAGAATGGCCTCAAGAGCTCTCTCTGGGCAGCTGTTACCATGCGGTCCCCAACAGCCCGAGGATCACCCATCCTTGGGCTGACACGGTCCTCGAGTCATTGTGTGAGGGCAGGGGGCAGCCGGGACTCCCGTCTATCCCAAGCACCCAGCCCGGAGCCTGGCGGAGAGGGGGGCAGAACAGTGGAGAGGAAGGAAGAGAGACGCAGTCCCGCCTTCCTTGTCAAAACAGAGGGACGAATGAAATCCTGCAGGGACCCACAGACAACAGCCCACTCTTCCTGGAGTGGCAGGAAAGTGGCCAGTGACACCGAGCTGAGCCCCGAAGCGTGGCTAAGAACTCCCTAGAGTTCCCAGACATCCGCCAGGCAGGGAGGCAGGAGAGGCAGTTTAAACGGCCAGTACGGAGTGTACAGAGGCCTGGCCTCGGGAGAGAAGGCAGCGTGTCTGGAACTTCACGAGGAGCCTGGTACAGTCCCACAGGGTGTTTGGAGAAAAGAGGGGACAGCAGAGGGGACTGGGGACATTAGAAAGGACTTCCCGATATGGGCGGAGGAGTTGGGATGCAATCCCCTTGATTTCGGGGAGCACCTGCCAGGCGCTCACTGACTTGGTTGCATCGCAGCGACGTGGTCAACTGTTAAACCAGATTAGGAGGAGGGAGCCCCCAAGTCCAACCACTGGTGGGGGCAGAAGGCCCAGGACCCCAACCCTGCCTGGGCCTCCGCGCACCCGCCCTCCCCTCCCACTTACTCCAGCCTGGATGTTTTTCTCTGCGCTTGATGAAGTTAAAATGAACCCTCTCTGGGGTGAATCACAGGCGTTCAAATTGGATTGGCACGCAGACATGGAGCAGTTGGTGGCAGGAGCCAGGGGACCCAGAGAGCAGGTTTTCGCTGGAGGGGACGTGAGCTTTATTTCCCTCTTGGTTGCTGACGAGGAAGCAGCTGTCCTTCCCTGATTATTTTTACCTCGAGTCACAGCCGCTGATGCTGAGTCTCCCAAGTGCCCACCCGCCTGCCAGGGCCAAGGTGCGGAGCCCTCACCCCGGCCCAGCTCCACCGTGCGCCTTGAGCTCCACCTACCGCCAGCTCCTTGCGGGACAGCAAATAGCCCCTGCCTCGGGTCCAGACCCTTCCACTCCAAGGTGGGTCACCACCCAGAAGAGAGAGAGCCAGAGCAGCCTCGAACAATGTCTGAAACAAAAAAAAAAAAAAAAGAAAGAAAAGAAAAAGAATAAGAAGGAAAAATTCATGATCGATTCCCTTCCTCTCACACAATAGCTCATTTCTTCCCTTTGTTTTAGTTCAGATTTTTAGTCTAATTCAACCAAACCTAAATAGCTCTGTTAACTAGGCACTTCCAGATCTGTCCTGTCTTTCTATCCCTGAAAAGCCTGACAGGTAGATGCATTAGCTCCGTTTTACAGCTGGAGAAACTGAGGCTCAGAGGGGAAGCAGCCCACCTAAAGCTCACACAATAACAGAGTAGGAGAAATGGGACTTGAACATGGGCTTCTCCAACTCCAAATCTTGTGCACCGGCGGCCGCATTTTCAGGTCTTTGTCCGTGTATCTGTTAGAAGTACTCAGCTGCCACCGACCACTGGGCTGTGACCAAATGGGGCTTATTTTCCCCAGCAGCAGGGGGTCTCTGGCAGAGTCAGCACTAGCACGTCATGGACCTGGGGTCTTTCAATCCTGCTGCTCCGACGCTCTCCCTCCCACCCTTTAAGTGGACTTTATTTTTTGCAGTGGTTCCAGGTCCACGGCAAAATTGAGCAAAAGGCACGGCGATTTCCCAGCTACCCTCTCACTCACCCGTGTAGAGTCTCCTGTACTGTCAAGCCCCTTCGCCAGAGTGGTGTGTTCGTGAAGCTGGACGACCGTATCTTACCACGTCACGATCACCCCAACCCACGGTTTACATCAGCATTCGTTCTCAGAATTGTGCATTCTGTGGGTTTGGACAAAAGGGTAGTGACTTGTCGCCATCATTATGGAGTCACGCAGAGTGTCTCACTGCCCCACGAACCCTCGGTGCCCCGTCTACTCACCCCTCCCCGCCCTCAGCCTCTGGAAGCCACTGGTCTTTACCTAGTCTTTGTGGTTTTGCCTCTTCCAATACATCATATAGTTGGAATCATATGGAATGCAGACTTTGCAAACTGGCATTTTCCACTTAGTACCATGCGTTTACGTTTTCTCTGTGTCTTCTCATGGTCTGGTAGCTCCCTTCTTTTTGGCACTGAGTAATATTCCACTGTCTGGACGGACCACAGTTTACTTGCCCCTGCGCCTGTGGAAGGGCATCTTTGTTGCCGCCACGTCTGGGCAGTTCTGGATGGAGCTGCTATACGCTCCTCTGTGCAAGGGCCTCGTCACGCGTAACAGGTTGTGTTTTGGCAGGCTTGCTGCCTCGTCATCACACGGGGCTACTGCTGCTCCAGGCATCTTACTTGTATCCATTTTTTTTCTTTTACTGCTATGTCGAGACAAGGGGCTCGTCAGAGCCTCTGGCCAGTAAAGCCGATGAACAGCCCTTGGCTGCCCGCCGACAATACACGGGCTCCTGGGAGGAGAGATTAGGCCGGGCCTCGGCCCAGACTGCTCCGGGTCCAGGCAGCGCCCCCACCCTCAGTGCCGGCCATCTCCAGGAGTGGCTCCTGGGGAACGTGGCCCCACAGGAGAGAGGGACTTGCACCGGGGGCTCCAGGGGCAGGGGTCCGCCAAGGGTGGGGGGAGGATCTGGGGGTCCTCAGGCAAGGAGGGCCCGGAGACCTCCGGAGGAGCCGGAGAGAGCTGGCGTCAGCAGCCCAGCCGCAGAGGGAAAACGCGCCGGCGCGCCGGGGGAGGCCTGGGTCCGAGCCTTCCCCGGCCTGAGAGCCCGGCCTCCTTCCTGGGCTCCGTTTGCACAGGTGTAAAATGGGGCCCCAGGGAGCCTGTCTTCAGGGAGATGGTCCACGTGCGGAAGGGCCCACCCAGGGCCGGGCACGGCAGGGCTCCTCCCGCCGTCCTGGTCCTGCCCGCCCTCCTCGCTGGCTGGGGAGACTGGGCCGGGGTGTGGGGAGCCAGGGCCGGCCTACTTTCTGCCGCCCGGGAACCTGGGGATTGCTCAGAGCTCGGTCCGTCCCGAACGAGGGCCCCTCGTCTCCCAGCTTCTCGGGCGGACAAGTCTCCAACCTGGAGAAGCACTGGGAGAGGAGCACCTGGAACGCAGGTGCCGTGTCCGCCTCGACTCCCCGCCTCCTCCCTTCAAAACTAAACCATGGTAAGATGGTACGTTCTGTTCCGTGTATTTTACCACAATTTAGAAAAGGAAACTGGAGCCCTAGCTGGGTAACTCGGTCATCCCGTCTTCCTGATACACCAAGGTCGTGAGTTCAATCCCCAGTCAGAGCACATATGAGAATCAACCAACGCGAGCATAAATAAGTGGAACAACAAATTGATGTTCTCTCTCTCTCTTTTCTCTCTCTCTCGCTCTCTCTCTAAAAATCCACTAAAAATTTTAAATAGAGAAATGGAAAAAAAAAACCAGCAAACCCTGTGTTGCCGGCAGGTTGTGTTGACAAGAGTAAGTTAAGCGTTGACAAGGCTGCTGCCAGGACTGGACCTACTGGGTCAAAGCCATTTAAATGGCATCACGACCCATGAGCTGTGTGCTATTCACCAGCCACAGGTTACAGGTGGGGAAACTGAGGCTTAGACAAAGTACCCAATGTGCCTCAGTCAGAGTCAAGATGTCCACCCTCTCTCTGCACCCCCGGCCCCACCACCTGGCCCGGGCTCTGCCCCCAGCGGCCCAAACCGCCCATTCCCTTCCCCCAAACAGGGCCTCTCCTTCTCCTCGTGTTACCTTTTGAATGATGTGGATGAAAACCAAAGATCCAGGTTCAAGGCTGGGCTCTGCCCCTTGCCAGCTGTGTAACTTGGGGCCAGCCCTCCCGTGGAGAATGGGTTTGATGCAGCCCCTCACGGTAGCTTGAAGGTAAGGAGACGAGGCTGGCGAGGGGCCAGCCAGGGCACGCGGTGGGCTGGGTACGAAGTGCTCCCTTCTCCTCCACCTCCTGGTCCGAGACAGGACTGCGAAGACCGAGGATGCTTCAGCTTCCACAGGTGTATTTAGCATCTCAGCCTCACAAGGTGGGCCCTCTAATCGGTGACCTTACCTGTGTATTGTGGGGAGATGCATGACAACAGGCCCTGCCCTGAGGGACTGAGTAACTCGTGGTCCGCCGGATTCCCACGTCTCGGGCTGGCCCAGCGTCTGCCCGGTCTGCCAAGGAGCAGGGTGCAGCGGGATCCAGGCGCTGATGGGCTGGGGCCAAGGGGAGAGGACTCTTGGCACCCCCACAGGTACCGCCGGCACTGTGGTCCCGCCGGCACCGTGGTCCCGCCGTGAGGCAGAGAGCTTGCAGATGCAGCTGCCAGCTTTCGGTCCCCCAACTCCTCCTGTGAGCCGACCGCAGGCACCAGGCCAGGTGAAGTGGGTGAGGACCTGGGCTGCGAACAGAGCGGGGATCCATGCGCCCGAAGGGGAGGCTCTGGTCCCAGGCCCACCAGCCCAGAGAAATTCCCCACTGGCCTCTTTTGGAGGGGAGACGAGCAGCAGGGGCCAAACTCTGCATCTCTCTCTTGGTGGATAAGGAAGGTGGGCAGTTATGTATGGGCCAGCGTGAACGGGAGTGAGACAGTCAGCATTTACTAAGCCTCAGCCCGGGACCACACTCCCACAATTTCCTCCACCCGTGTCAATGTGGGGGTATGTTTGGACACAGGTGTTGTTTAAAAGAGGGGAAGGTGCCCTGGCTGGAGTGGCTCAGAGGATTAAATGCTGGCCTGCAAACCAAAGGGTCGCCGGCTCGATTCCCAGTGAGAACACATAACTGGGCTTTGGGCCAGATCCCCAGTAGGGGGCGCACGAGAGGCAACCACACGTTAGTGTTTCCCTCTCTCCCTCCCTTCCCCTCCCTCTAAAAAAAAATAAATAAAATCTTTTGAAAAAAAATTAAAAGCAGGAAAGTGACAATACATCAGGGCTTTTCAGAGTCCAAAATGTGTGAACCTCCTGGCCTGCCACACTGGGACGTGTTTGATTTATTTTCACGTTTACAGACTTTACCTGGGAGAGGGAGAGAAAATGAACTATCATTGGTGAGGGCTCCAGGCTTCCAGGGGGCAGGAGGCCAGCTGGGGAGCCCAGTGGAGCGTTTTTCAACTCCAGAGTTTTCCGAGACCCATTTCTGCCTGGCCGGGCTCTCCCCTGCCTGAGGAAGCAACCAGGCCACCAAGAGCAGCCCCCAAATCACCTGAGACTGGGGTTTCCTCAGTTTACCGAGCGCCTGGCCGCAGCAGGCCTGGCCTTGGGCTGGGCAGACGAAGGAACAGCAAACTGGTCCTGTAGGTGGCGCCCCTGAGGGACTGGGAGGCCAGTCCAGCAGGAGGGACAAGGTGGTCAAAGGTCTGGGGAGGTGGCTGCCTGGGGAGATGGGGACATGGGGGCAGTTTCGGAGCAGGGGAAAGGTGACTGCGTGGGGTGATGGCGAGGCCAGTGAGCTCAGCAGAGGCCTGACAAAGCAGAGCCGTGAACGCCAAGCTGTGAACCCCGAAGAACTGGAGGAAGCCTGCAGGGCCCTGAGCTCTGCGTCCCTCTGTGGGGGCCCAGCACTTCGTCCCTTCCACCCCCAGTTTACCAGGGCGACAGCATTTCCCAGCGGTCCTGGAAGGGGGTCCTGGAGACCATCCCGTTGTGCAACTAAATGTCATCCCCAGTGGGTGGGCCACCCCATCCGGGTGTCCAGCCCAGTGGGGTGTGGGAGCCAAACAAGGGACAAGATGGCCCGGCAGACAGAGAAGTAGCAAGACAGGACGCTGAGCCGATTTTCTTTGCTTTCTTCCTTCCTGAGTCCACACTGGCCACACCTGCAAGCCCTACAGCTCCTCACCCGCCCCGCTGGATCCAGAGTGGCCCGCTCTACCTGCCACTGCCTCCTCTCCCTCCTGGTACCTGAGCTTCTGGGATGGGGGAGCCAGGGAGGAGGCCAAGGGGACTCACAACTACTAGGGTTCCAAGTGGCCACCTCACACCGTGAGGTCACTGCGAAGATTATAAAAGATAAGCCCCCGGCATAGAACTAGAATAAAAGCATCCACTAGGTGCTACACCTTTTTATACTCACTCACCAGTTTTATTACTTGCACGGAGGAACCAGGCTCAGGACAGAGAAGTCGCCCACCCAAGGCCACACTGTGCAAAGAACTTGAACCAGGTCTGACGGCAGGGCCTGCAGCTTCTACTGCACCCCACTGGGGCACACAGTAGGCACTCAGGGACTGCACACGTGGGGGTGGGGACCTGACCCAGCCCCCACCTGCCTTCTCTGTCAGGTATGGAGTCTCTCTGGGACCCCCTCCAACTCCCCCAAAGAATCAAGGAGCCCTCAGGACACAGGTTGGTACAAGGGAGTCCCCAGATGCTCCCCTTCCCCAGTTCCACCAGCCTGCGATCCACTGGTGCACTGGCCTCCCGTGCAACGAAAGTGAGGAAGCGCCATTTAGTTCAGGCCCTACACGCCTGGCCCGGGGCTGAAAGTTTCTCTCCTGTCCATCTCATCCCTGCCATTACGCCGATGACAAAACAGGCTGGGCAAGAGAGACAGCATGGCCAGAGTCCGTCCCTGTCCAGCCCAGAGCGACCCCAAGCCGAGTGTCCTTGTCCTCCCACCTCCGCCGCCCCACCCCCCTCAGGTGCTCACTCGCCACTCTCCCACAGCACCCCTCCTCTCGCCCTGCAGCTCCAGTGGCCCTCGGTGAGGTGCTGGAGACTGCAGGTGGGGTGCGCAAGTTCCCAAGGCAGTGGCTGAGCTGATGGCAGGCCCCGGAGTCCTGCGCTCAGCAGTTTGGCCACTTGGCACTGGGTCCCCCAGCTGGGGTCCTTGCTTCACCGCTGCCCCACACCATCTGGGTGGCCCAAAGAAAGGCCCCTTTACAAAGAGCCCCTCGGAGGCGTGAGTGTGGGCTGGGACAGTCAGGGAGGTAGAGGCTTTGGTGATCTCCAGAGATGGGAGCCCACAGTGGAAGTCCTTGCAGATTGAGCCCAGAGGAAGTCCCTGTCACAGAGAGGGTTGATTCCGGGTCATGGGCCCTGGAGCCCCCACTCCTTCCTTCCCGAGGGAGGTAGGCAACCAAAGTCAAGGAGGGACGCTGCTGCAGCGCCGAAGGGGCTTCAGAGGTAGGATGGTGTGCGCAGCTGGGGAGGCTGAGGTCCCAGCCGGTGTATCCCGGCAGGCGCGCGAACCACGGCGGCGCTGGTGTTCTGGGAGAGGACCACCGACCCGGCGGCGCGGCTGCGGAAACCCCTGCCCGCGCTGGGGGCGCCAACGGTGTTCGTGCACGCGCAGTGGGACGCTGCCTCTACCAACTCCGCCGCGCTGTCCTCTCCGGCCGCGCCAACACTGGCTAACGCGCGGCAGCTGCGCGCCTTGCACGTCGCGCTCCTGACGCGCGGGCACCTCGAGCCCTTCCTCGCCGCCTTCCGCGCTGAGGGCCGCTGGCACCACGTGTGCGCCACAAGGGAGCAGCGTGGCTGGCGCTGGGCTGTGTTCGCGAACCCGCAGCGGCCCGCAGGAGCTCGGGGACTGGGCAAGGGCCAGCCGGTGCCACCTAGCGGCATCCTCGCACCGGGTCAAGATCAGGATTCTCGGTGGTGGCTTCTTCGCGCCTGATGCCTTTAGCGGCAACCTCACCGACTTCCACCTCTGGGCCCGGGCACTGAGCCCCGAGCCGCTGCTTCGGGCACGGGCCTGCGCGCCTCCCTCAGGCAGCCTGCTCTTCCGATGGGACTCTGGTGCCCTGGACTTCACACCCTCGCTGCTGCCGCCCGAGCTGGTGCGCCTTCTCTGTCCGCGCACAGCAAGCCAGACCTGGTCCCGCCCTGTGGCTCAACGCCCCGCCCCCTGGGCCCCTTACACTGCTTTCTGATCTTGGGACCCAAACCAGCTTGTGACAACCTGGCCACCGGCAACTCTGGCCTGCCCTGTCCTCTCCAGGATGGGGGGGGGTCCCTTGGGTATTCGTCCAGTGCTAATAGCTTAAGCGGGCTCACCCCCTAACTGATTTGCTCCGCTGGGTGCTGCCTGCAGTGCCCTCCTTCCAGTTCCCAAGCCGGGAGTCCTGGTGCCCTCTCAGGAGTGCAGGAGCCTTTAAGGCGAGTGGGTCTTGGGGACCACTGGGGAGCCAGGATGTGGCCCTGACACCTCTCCTACCTCGGCCAGTGCCCTCAGAGGAGTGCCCTACGTGGGATCCAGGATCCGGCATTCAGAGCTCTTTGCCCTGCCTGCAGCGGGGGCCCTTCCTCTGCTGCTACCCGACAGGTGTGCCTGCGCCGTGTTCTGGGTTCTGCTGAAGGGAAAGCTGGGTATAGACCAGTGCGGGCCCAGCGGGAGCGAGCTGTTGACACAGCCTGGGAGTTCAGAATCTTTTCAGAGTCTCAGGGCTTCCAGGGACCACAGGTCAGTGGATCCATATAGACCTGAGGGTGAATCCCAGCTGTGTGATCTTGGACAAGTGATTTTGCCATCCTGTGCCTTGATGCCCCCACCCAGAACACCATGTATAAGACTCCAGACACACAGCCATCAGAGTGTTCTTCCTCCCGGGCAGCGCAGGGTGGGTGGGGCTCCCTGGGAAGAGTGTTGCCTAGATCCCAGCCTGGCACCCCTTCTGCAGAGACCTATCGGCAGCTGCAGGAAGCCCAGTTGTGGCCTGGCCAGAATGTTATCAGCTGAGTCAATGCCTTGGCCAAGGCCATGGTGGTAAGCCCACTTCCAGGGTGCTGAAGAGTCTGGGGCACCATGGGTGACCTCCCTGCACCTCACTTTCCTCACTTGCAAGGGGACACCTAATGTGTCTGCAGGAATTAGGGTTGCTTATGTTCCCTATTTTGGAGTCCTCGAGAACCGGGGAGCTTGTGACAAGGTAGACCCGCCAAGAAGGCCCTGGCAGAGCCCAAGTGTGGGTGCTGGGGATCCCCTCCTGACAGCCAGACCAGCAGTAAGTGGCCCCTCTGCCCACAGCTCCTCCATGACCCTCTCTTGGAAACCCAGAGAGACCTGTCCCCCATCAAGGCCTCCAGCTTCCTGGGTACCCAGGCAGAGGAGGCCGCGCCTCTGGGGCCGGCTGTGCTGCTTGCTGCACTTCCTGAAGAGTGTGACAGCCCTTGGGGCTGGGGAGCTAGAGCCTTGATGGGACCCTGGGAGGAGCTGGGCCAAGGTGTCTGATCTGTGGCCAGCCTGGTCCTGGAGGAGCAGCTGGCTGGTTCGTGGCTGTCAGTGAGCGAGGTGAGGTTCACAGAGCTGTGGGCAGGGGCCTGGGCTCTGGTTCCCACTTTGCCACCAGCAGGTGGCGCAGCCATGAGCTCCATCTCCCTGTCCGTCAAGAGCAGTTCCTCTTTGGTCCTATTTTATGTGAATCTTGGTCCTGTGTATGTGAATTTTCACATACAACTGCTCTTGGACGAGAATTAAAGATTATTAAGAGCCACTGATCAATATGGGCTTGCCCCATATCCAAGAATCTGCTGACCACCTTAAGTGGGAGGTCCTCCGGGCTGAGTGAGTGTTCAGCCACCATATCTGCCAAAAAGGCCCGGCCTCTGGAGAACACCAGCAATGCTATCCAGACGGTGAGGGTGTTGGAAACCTCACCCTAGTGAAAGTGGCTGCAGGCTTGGGAGTGATCGGCCTAGAGAAGGGAGAGAACAAAAGGTCACGGACATTGCCTGCAAATCCCTGGGGCCAAAGGAGCAAAGATGTTCCCCCTTTGGCCCCAGAGGGCAGAACTGGGACCCAGGCTTGAAGACTGGGAGGGGATGACACAGCATGGGAGGCTGGTTCCAGGGAACGGTTCACCTGTTCAGGTGGTGAGCTCCCCATCCTGGGAAGGGTGTAAGCCCACATTTGACTGGGGATCTGAGTCTCCGTGGTAGATTAGGAAATGCTGGACTCTGAACCTCTACTTCTTCCTGGAGAATGGGGATGATATGCTCAGGCACTAGAGAGGAGTCAGGGGGGCCCTGGGGGACTCGCCCAGCCCTGAGTGAGTAGGTGCCCAGGGGTGTACAAGCTCCCCTCCCTGCTCGGTCCTCACTGCCCCCGAAAGGCTTTCTTTGGGCATTTGAAAGGTAAGCCCCTATTATAGGTCTAGCTCTGAGTCAGACCAAAGAAAGGGGAGGCATGGCCCCGCCTTCAGAGCGTGGCTTGGTTGGCAAAGGACAGGCCAGCAGACAGGCCACTTCACAATCACTGAGAACGTGTCAACCTGGAGGTCAGGGCAGGTGGGGGACCAAGTCTGAGAGGGAGCTGAGATGCGCTTCCTCCCAGGTGGCTGGCAGACTCTTGGCCCTGGCGACCTCCAAGCGGCCCCAAGTGCACACCCAGCACCCCCAGGCCGGTGAGGCCGCCACCCGTCCGCCCCCACAGCGGGGCTCCGGGTGGGGCCTGGGCTCAGACTTCTCTCCTTGGCTCTGCTCCCTGCCAGCCCTCTGCACTCCCGGACACCGCGCTCAGTTTCTGTCTTTGCCCACGCTGTGTCCTCCAACCAGAATGCCTTTTCTCTCTGACCTAGCAAAGCCCTGCATAGCCTTCAGAACCTGTTTAAGCATCGCCTCCTCTAGGAAGCCTTCCCCGGTTTGGGCTCTCTCCCGACAGTTCCTCCCTTCTCTGTTACCCCAGCATCTTGGATGTACCTCTTGTTGCATTTGTGGTGATCACATAATTCCACCCGAGGCTTGCAGAGTGCCAGGGCTCCTTCTGAGTCAATTCCGCATCTCAGGGCCAGACCCAAGCACACACTCAGGGAGTCCTTGTAGACTGAATGGGGGAGCACTTACGGCGGAACTTCAGGCAAGACTGACGTCCTCACGTGCCGATCAGTGTCTGGTGGCTCACAAACATTCAGGTCCTGCCCGTCCCCCCACCCCTGTAACTTCCTTCACAGTGATGCCCTCCCCCGGATTCACCTGGGACAAGTCACAGAACCTCTCTGAGGGGAACAGTGGCCCCCAGACCTGTGGCAGGTAGAGCAGGAGCAGGCTCTGCCAGCTGGGCCAGCCCCGCGGAGACACCTCCCCCCAGGGTGCAGCCACCCAGCCCCATTCGACCCCAGGCCTGGAGGTGCGGAGCCTGCACTTGGGAGAGGCCGGCACAGAGGGCTGCGTGTTCACAGTGCCCGACGGGCACCGGAGGGGCCCGGGCACGTGCGGGTGCCCGCAGCTGAAGTGAGGCGGCCCCTCGGGAAAGGTGGGTGAGGATGGAAGGGAGGTGCGACCCGTTGGGGTTTGGGCCGAGCAGGGCGGCCAGCTCTGCTACTTAGAGTAAGTGACCGCACCTCTCAGAGCCTGTCTCCTCCTCTGAAAGATTGTCGTGTTGGTAGTGGCCTCGTGGGCTATTAGGAGGCTGAAAGCACCTGGTAGCAGGTGTCCACTCAGCGTCCTCCACTGAACCCCACACGTCCTCCGTCAGATGTGGGTGAAGGAGGGAGCCCCCGCCCCGTGCCACCCGCCGGGGGAGGATTAGAATGAGGAGCAAAGGGCCCTGGCGCTGCCAGTTTAGACACATGACCTGGGGCTGGGTCTCTGGCTCTGCCACTTACTAACTGTGTGATCTTCGGAGGACATGTGACCTCTGCCAGCCTCAGTTTCCCCATCTGTAAGGCGGGCAGAGCCTTCCCCTCGGGCCAAGCCATGGTGCCTGCTCAGCCGGTCACTGGCTGGGGTCTCGGGCCCCTCCCACCCAGCTGGGCCTCTCTGGAGCCACGGTGGTCCACAGCTGGTTCAGCTCAGAGCCTTCCCGCACACCCTGGGGGGGCCTGGCCTAGGGCCCCAGGCCCCTGGCGGCTCTGAAGAGGCGAGCAAGATGCACAGGCGCGTGAGCCCCCCACCCCAGCAGGCTGCTGAAACCCCAGGTGCCCTCCCCAGGACAGTCCAGGCCCCCATCCCCTCCCACGCCTCCTGTTCTAGTGGGGAAATCTGCCCTTAGCCCGGGGCCAAAGCCCCTGCTCCCGACACACACACTCGCGTGTGTCTGGGCCTGCCGGAGGTGTGCTCGTGGGATGCGGCTCACTCCTGTCTGGGTCCTGGCTTCGGTGTTGAGACTCAGGGTCGGGGCAGGTCCTAACTGGAATTACCAGCAAGTCCCCAAGACAAGACTGGATGAATGGTGTCGAACCTCCCAGCACAGGGCTCTTCCTGATGTTTCTCTGGACACAAAGGGTGTCACTGCCGCACTGGCCTGGACGAGAGGGTCCCCAGCCAAACACGACCTCTCCCTCAGAGCCAGCTGGTGCCCTTAAAAGCTGGCTCTCACCCCACAGATTCCTGCACACACACGTGGGGTCAGCCATCATCTCTTCTGAGCTATGGGACGAGACCGGGGAAGTCACCACGGCTGTGACTTTCCACCTGTGATACCAAGCCCAGGTACCGGGGGCACGTCTGGGAAACAGCCACCTCGATACACTTTTCTTGGTTTGGCCTCTCCCTCCCCTTCATATTTGTTCATTGGACAACCAAAGTCTAAAGATGTTCAAGAAAAATCCTCATCCACAAGCCACCCCCATGTCCCCAAGGGGAGGTGGAAGGAAGGACCCACTTTATGCCCCGGCCACAAGGAAGCCCCATGCACTTGCTCCTCCAACTGCCCATTCCACGTAGGCAGAGAGTGAGCTTGGAGAAGGTGCCGTGATCGTCCCAGAGCCGGGGCTTCGTCACAGGTCTGGGAGACAAAAACCTGGTGGTTCCCGTTGGGACATGCAGGCAGGTGTGTGAGGCCTTCAGGGTGACCTGCTTCGTAGGAGTGAAAAATAACCTAGATGTCCGTCATAGGGAACGGTTTAACAAGCCACGTGGGGCTACACAACGGAACGGTCGGCCGAAGTTGAACGAGAAATGAGGTATTTTGCCATAAACCGACATGGAGCTACCTCCAAGATACGGTGTTTGACTTCATTATCTGTAATACACACATTCTTCCTTGCTTCTGAAAAAACATTAGCACATTTCAGAGAAAGATGAAGTCTCCCTTGCTTACCACCACTACTCCTGGACACACGCGTGTGCGCACAAGTACGCACACATCTCACAGCTTGTATATCGTCCCAAGACTTTTTGCAAATCAAGTGGACTGAAGCACATAAGTCCCCACACACTGAAGCATCCCTCTTCAGTGATACACTCGATGAGCTGGGACCAGTGTCTCCACAGGTCACACCACCGCCCCCGTCAACATGGAGAACATTTCCACCTTCCCCCAAAGCTCCTTCACACCCTCGGCTCCCCTGCTCTCGTCCCAGGAAATCACCGACCCACCCGCTTTCGGTGCCTGTAGGTCATACGGGTCTTTTCTGAAGTTCCGTGTGAATGAATGATGTGGCGTGCGCTCTGGGTGGCTACTTTCGCTCAGCTGGTGTTTTTGAGCATCATCACGGTGTTGCCGTCTCAACAGTTCGCTCCTCCTTGCTGCCGAGTAGCCTCCATTACGTGGATGCATCACAATTTGACTTTCCATCTACCTGTTGATGGAGCGTTGTCTCCGCTCCAGGTTACTATGAGTAAATCTGCTGTGAACATTCACATACGTCTCCTTGTGGACACGTGGTGTCTTTCTATTGGGTGAATACATGAAAGTGGACTTTCTGGTTTGTGTAAGTGTATGTTTAACTTCCCAAGAAACTGCCTGTTTTCCAAAGTGGTTGCACCGTGTCACTTCCCACCAGCAGCGTGGGAGAGGTTCAGCCGTTCCACACCGTGTGTCTGACTCTCCCACGTCATTCATCGTGATGGCCATGCGTTAACAGCTCACTGCGGTTCTAGGCTGTAACTCGCTCAAGGCCGACGATTCGGCACGTCTTTCTACACACTGATGGGGCATTACTGTCTTCCTTCGCTAAGTCTACGTTCGAATCTTTCCCCCGATTTTTAGACTTATTTTTAAATTTTAAGAATTCTTTATATATTTTGGATCTAAGTCCTTCATCATACATGTGTTTTGTGAATAACTTCCCCTAGTCTGTGGACTGTCTTTTCATTTTCCTGACAGTTTCTTCGGAGGACTGCGATGAAGTCCAACTTGTCAATTTTGTTTCCTTGCATGGTTTATGCTTTTTGTGTCCTATCTAGTAAATCTTTGCCCATCCAAAAATCACAGATATTCTCAAAGAAGTTTACCATTTTAGCTTTTACATTTAGGTCTATGATTTATCTCATGTTAATTTCTGAGTATTGTACCAGGTGAAGGTTGAAGTTCACTTATTCCACAGAGACGTCCATGCCCAATGCATTTATTGTAAAGGTGGTTTTTTTCTCCCACTGAATTATCTTGTCACCTTCCTCTTGTTGAAAGTCAGTTGTCTATAGTACATTTACACAATGGAATTCTATGCAGCAGAAAGAAAAAAGGAGCTCCTACCCTTTGCAACAGCATGGATGGAACTGGAGAGCATTATGCTGAGTGAAATAAGCCAGGCGGTGAAAGACAAATACCATATGATCTCACCTTTAACAGGAAGCTAAACAACAAAACAAACAAGCAAGCAAAATAAAAACAAAGACACTGAAATAGAGAACAGGGGGACAGTGACCAGAGGGGAGAGGGGAGAGAATTTCAGGGAAAAGGGAGAAGGATTTGCAAGAACAAGTATAAAGGACACATAACAACTAGGAAGGGGTGGAAATGGGAGGGAGGTGGGGAGCACTGGGCGGGGGCGGGCTGGGATGGGAGTAAGAGACAGAAAACTGTTCTTGAACAATAATTAAATTAAAAATGCTTTAAAAAAGAAAGAAGGGTCTTAAATATATATTTTTAAAAAAGAAAATCAGTTGTCCACAGATGTGCAGGTCTGTTTCTGGGCTCCGCTCTGTCCCACTGATGTCTCTGTCTCTTGCTCACTCAGCCTGTACTGTCCTGATTAGCGCAGCTACATGGTGAGCCTCAAACTCAGCCAGTGTAAGCCCCCCAGCTTGGTTCTTTTTCAAAACGGCTTTGGCGATCCAAGGTTCTTTGCATGGCCATATAAGTTTTAGAATCAGCTTGTCTACAAAAAAAAAAATTCCTGCTGGGATTTTGACTGGGACTGCATTGATCTGGCATCCTCACGATGAGTCTTTCATTCTGCGATCGAGGTAATCTCTCATCTATTTCAGGGTTTCTTAAATGTATCTCAGCAATGATACGTAATTTTCAGTGTACGAGTCTTAAAGTATTTTGTGCAATATACCCTCAAGTATTCCAAAGTTTGAGAAGTTGTTGCAATGGTGGTGGATTTTTAAAAATATTATATATATACATATATATATATATAAAAGATTTTATTTATTTATCTTTAGAGGGGAAGGAAAGGAGAGAGGGAGAGAAACATCAATGTATGGTTGCCTCTTGTGCATCCCCTGCTAGGAACTGGCCCACAACCCAGGCACGTGCCCTGACTGGGAATTGAACCATGGTTGTTTGGTTCCTAGGCCCACACTCAATCCACTGAGCTACACCAGCCAGGCTTGGTGATGGTTTTCTTAACTCAAGTTTCATTTTTTTATGACTGGTTATAAAGCCCGGTGGGTTTCATCCAGCACCCTTGCTACACGCAGCACTTACGACAGCTCTCATGGAGTTCTGAGGGTTTTCTGTGCCTGGGTCATGCCTTCTGCACACGAAGGCAGCTTCCTTTTCTCCTTCTTAACCTGTGATTTGCCCTCTTTCTCCTTCCTTGGTGCAGCGGTGGCACCTGCTTCAGTGCTGACTGGGAGTGGAGAGGCTGGACATCCCTGTCCCGTTCCCCACCTTCGGGGAAGGACATCAGTCCTTCACATTAAGTGTGACGGTCACCGTGGCTTTTCATAGGTGCCCCTTCAGATTCAGTGCCGTTCTATCGAAGTTTCCCAAAGGTGTCGTTTTCTCTTTTATTCTATTAATATAGGAAATTGCATCGTTTGATTTTCAAATATTAAAGCAACCTTGGAGCCCTGAGATTGACCTCATTGATTATATTGTATTATATATCGCTGGACTCAATTTGCTAATATTTGTGAAGGATGTTTGTGTTTATGTCCGTGATCTGTAGCTTTCTTTTACTCTTGTCCTCTGGGTTTGTAATCAAACCAACGCTGACCTCAATGAGTGAGTTGGGAAGTGTTCTCTCTTCTCGTGTTTTCTGGAAGAGTTTTGCAGGATCGGCACTGTCTCTCCTGAAATGTCTGATGGTTAGTGAAGACCAGTGACCTCTTCAGGGCTCAGTATTTCCTAGTGGGAAGGTTTGAAGACGAGCCCGACTTATGTAACTGATAGGAGGTGATGGGGGCGATTTATTTCCTCCTGAGACGGTTTGGTAACTTGCGCCTGTCAAGGAGCGTGTCCCTTGCACTGGGTCGTCGAAGTTCCAGCGCAACGCTGCTCGTAGGATACTTACCACCCTTTTACCTCCTCCAGGGTCTAGAGTGATGTTTGCCTTTTCGTTCTTGGCCGGTCTAGCTGGAATTTTACCAATTTTGTTCACATTTTCAAAAAGCTGTTACGATTGTATTCATGTATTAACTCTATGATTTAAAGTACCTTAAAATAAAAAATAATTAGAAGTGAGAGACCGTTCGTTGTGGCAAATCTGGAAAATACAGAAAAGGGTCGGGAGGACACGGCCTCCTCCTCGGAGACAGCGGCTGCCGCGGAGGTTCGCTGGGTTTCCCCCTCAGTCTTCCCTCGGGCGTGTGGCACTTATATTTTTCCCTTTTTCACAATCAAAGCCGTTGTTTGTTCCTCTGAGCCAAGTCAGCGGTGTGTTTTCCACTTTCCCTGCAGGTGTTATAGCATTGTCTCCGTCACAGACGTCCCTTGGCCATCCTGTCCTTTCAATCCTGTGTAGGCCTCGACTGCAGCCAAGTTTGGAACCACCACCTTCCCCGGGCGACGGTCCAAAAGGAGCGTGACCCCCTTCTGGTGGTGCACGCAAACCACCCACAGGCTTTTCTTCTGCCCCAGCTCACCCTGCAAACCCTGCGAGAATCCTCGCTCATGACCCACGTTCCGGCGACTTTTTCCCGGGGCTACATAGCCAGGTTCAGGGCCACCGGCCACAAATACTGTGGCAGCTTCTGAATCTCCAGCCCCAGTGATGGCTCCGTTTGCCCCCTTGGAGGTGCAGCTGGTGGAACGACAATCACCTGCTTTGCGAGCGTGTGGCAGCTTTCGTGGTGACCCCGGCACCTAACCCAGTACCAGAGACCAGGGACAAGTGTGATGAGCATGTGGATACCTGGGGCGATGACTCAGTTAGCCGGAGAAGTAATGCTTTCTCTGCAGGCAGCGCCAGGGAGCAGCGGGAAGCGTGGAGGTGACTGAGTCAGGGCCGGGCGTCAGCTCTGCGCTGTGTGACCTTGAGCAGACGGACCCCCTCTCTGAGGCTGTTTCCTCACCTGAAATGACAGGACTGTATACCTGTCTGCGACGTTACTGCGGTCGCCCACACCAAATCGCATGAAAGAACTTTGCAGAGCACAATGTTCTAGCGAGGTGACGGTGCCGTCGCCCTCCCCATTCGGGACAAAGAGCCTAAGCCCAGAGCTCAGGCTGCCTCCCTGCCTGGACAGGGGCTGGTACGGCTGGCCGCTGGTGACAAAAAAACCTCTGTGGTCACAGTTTAAGGGCGGTCAGGTTACCTGCGTGTTTGGCTGCAGACCCCTCCTGTGAGTTTTCTCACTTACATCGCCCTTATTTTTTCCTACATAGATGGGTTCACACTCTGCACGTGGTCGGGCAGCTTTTTTCTTTACCGAACAAAGTGGTGGAGCTCCTCCCCCATCTGCTCCCACCGGGTGCAGAGCGTCCAGGCGGCTCGACCCCTCCCCAGAGGGCGGGCTCGCTTGTCCCCGTATTTCTGTATCATACGTGAAGCTCACCTCGCCTTGCTTCTCACAGACGTCTCCTCCAGCCCCTTCACCCGTGACCCACGCTGGGCGGCCCCCAGCCCCTCAAACACAAGGAGGCCTCAGGCCTCCAGTCTCCCTCATCTCCCTCCTTCACCACACACACCTGCCCTCTCCCTGTTTCCCGCCCTCGGGCCTTCCCTCAGAAGCTGGTGGAGCAGGTCTGTGCTTTCTGGAACTTCAGCCTCTGGTGATAGTCCATTGTCAAGTTCTTTAACTAAGGCAATTTTTTAAAGACATCCATTCTGCCTGGGGATGAGGCAGGACTCAGGCGTTTTGAGCTTTCATTCACCATCTGCCTTGTGAGGGAGGCTTCAGGCCCCAGTCAGGGGGAGCCTCTCACCCAGGAGATAGTGAGCTCCCTGTCATGGGAAGTATGTAAGCTTACTCTGTGGGGTGCCTAGGAAGAGGCTCGTCTGTCGAATAGGTCTTAGAGTTGATATGTCCAGGACCAGGGCCCTTGGGTATCGAAGGGACAGAGGAGGGTACAGGGGTCATCAAACTCCCCACCCTGGACCTTGACCTGAGGGTACGAACATCAGTCGCTCGCTGTTCCTGGGAGCCTGGCTGGGTGGGTGGGTCAGGGAGAGGCCCAGTCCTTCAGGTCAGGGTGGTGACTGGGCTCTGGACCTCCGTCCCTCCCACGGAGAGGCACAGAGGAGCAGTCCCTACGGAGGACACTCCCCTTCGTGGGCCGCGGCGTGTCCTTCTACACACTGGCCACCATCTTCCTGCTGTTCCCGGCAGCCAGGAGACACCAGCTCCCCACTAGGCCTGGCACCTGGGGCCTCTGAGTCCCTCCTCTGGTCGGGGTCCGTCCCTGACACCAGAAGGTGGCCCAAGGCCTCCTTTGAGGCTGCGGGGCCTCTTTGGGGCTGCCCTGTCTGCTCCATTAGCCCGTCCATGGGGACTCAGGCGGGCAGGGGCTGAAAGGGGGTGGCAGCTGGCGGTGGTGTCCTGTTAACGAACTCCATGGCCTGTTCAGGGTCCCCAAGTCAGAGCGAGCTGCAGTCCACAAGAAAGAACCTCACCTTGTCCCTGGCCTCCACCGAGGACCTCCTCACGGCCCGCGAATGGGGGAGATCCAACAGGGTGGGCAGCCACTGGTGGGCTTGGGAGCTCAGGGGGCTGGAAAAAGACCTTAGGCCTATCCTGGGTGCCCTGTGGCATCTTCATTCGGTGCCATTTCCCTGGAGCAGGAGGGGCCCTGAGTGTTGGAGCTGGGCCGGGTGCTGCAGGAGACGTCACCCACTGAGACTTCGAGGGTTGGCATCGTCAGGCACCGGCCGGGGGCCCAGGCCGAGGCTGACCCTGGTTGTACCCCCTCCCACACACAGGTGGCACGTGTGGCTGTCACACACCTCCTCTTTTTGGTCTCATTCTCCTGGACGTTGGTGGAGGGACTGCTGCTCTGGAGCAAAGTGGTGGCCGTGAACGTGTGTGTGGGCCCCAGGACGATGCTCTGCTACGCAATGGAGGGGCCTCTGTGCCCCGCAGTTGCCCTGTTCTCTACTTGGCCTTGCATGACACCACCACCCCTCACCAAATACCACCCTGTCCCTGTCCCCCCACAACTTTGTGGCCGCTGGACACCACTGGCTCGACGTGCACACAAACACCCTCTGGGCCTTGGCGGGACCCGTGCCCTTCGTGCCGACCGTGCGTGGAAGGCCAGGGCCCGGTCGGGAGGGACGGGCGTGGGGGACAGGGGGAAGCCCCTCACCCACGGACACCAGGTCTCCAGGCCATTGCCTGCATCCTGGTCCACGTGCCGATGGTCACTGTGTTCAGCGCCTCCATGCTGAGCCCGCAGCCCCGCCTGCAGCAGCAGATCAGGGCCCAGATGTGGTGAGGCCCCAGATGGGCAGGGGGCATCAGGGAGAAGTAGGGGAGCCAGGTGTGCGGCTCCCTGGGTGTGACCATGTGGAGTCCATCGTGGGTGGGTGTGGCCGTGTGTGCTCATGGGTACGAGGCTGTATATAAGCACATGAGGGGTTGTTTATGCTTGTGTGTGCATGCATGGTCAGGCATGTGGATGTGTGTATAAGTATGTGCCCATGGTAAGCATGTGGGGCTGGTAAACTGACCCTGTACATGGTGGCATGGGGTGGACACCAGCCACTGTCCTAGGGGCTCACCGTCTACAGAAGGCACTGATGACTGGGTAGGGACAAGGGAGGAAGACCCTCAAATTAGGCAGTCCGCAGAAGTTCAGGTTCAGGGCGATGCTCTAGGTCCCTCCCTCTGCACTCTCCAAGGCCCTACCCTGCTGGAGAGGGGTCACCCCTGGCCTCCCTCCAGAAGCTCTGACTCCAATCTGGCCTCTCTCTTCCCCACCCATCCTCTGCCAAGGGGGTGCCACACAAACCAGTGGGTCCCCAAAAAGCCAGGGGGCTCCAGGGCCTTGAGGAGGGGAAGAGGAAGCCCTTCCAGTCTCCATGTGCCCCTGGACCCACTGCCAAGGCCTCGGCCCTCCCTCTAGGCAGCTGCCACCCCCTCCTTCCTTTGGGACTGGAACCTCATCTCCTAGTGCCACGACCCCTCCTTCATACTACCTCTGGGTCTTGGGGAAGGGACAGTCGAGACCAGCCACACCTGAGTTCCAAGTCTTGATCCAGCCCCGCAGCTCCGCCCTGGGCTCCTCCCATGTGCTGCCCCCTCCAGGAGCCCTCTTTCCTCAGCCTGGCCTGTTCTTCTCAGAGCCGCCGCCCTAGAGCCTGCCCTGGGCCTGAGCTGGCTGGTAGGCATGCTGGTGCACCCCAGCCCGGCCTGGGCCTCTGCCGCCGGGGCCTCCATTCCTTCCGGGCACCTCCAGGCCCTGGAGCCAGTGGGACCGGGGTTCTAACATGCACTGGAACCCAGAGGGGTGACTGGTTTGTCAGGGGACTGGGGAGGGAGTCACCTCCCTGTCATGGGAGGGACCCACAGCAACCGGGGATATTGTCAAGAGGAGGGGGTGGGAGCAAAACCTCAAATGGAAGTACTCCATGGCCCATTTGACAGTTGGGGAAACTGAGGCCCAGAAAGAGAATCAGTAAGATCCCGCTGCCCTAACGTTCAAGGACAAGGTGGAAGTTCCAGTGCCAGGCTGGTGCCAGAGTCACGCTGGCCTCAGCAGGAAGCTGGGGAGGGTGGTACGGGACAGAAGGCACATCTCTCCCCTCGGGGCCTGCGGCCTGCCGCGGGGTCAGCGTGGGCTGCTCCGTCGGTGAGTGCAGCGGTTAGCAGAGGGTACGGCTGGGAGGACCGTGCTTGACCCACACGAATGAAGCAGAAACGCTGGGACTGCGGAAGCCCCCTGTGTGCCTGTGTGGACCTGTGTCCTGGGCCACGGAAATGGGTCGGACTAGGTCCCTGTCCTCAGGGGGGTTGCATACCTGTGGGCACCCGGATGTGGACACAGACAGCTGCGGCCCAGCGGGTGCCGGGAGAGACGGGGGTCCAAGCAGGGTTCCCCCTGCCCCCACCCTTCCCCTCCACCTACCTTGCAGTGCTACCTCTCCCCCCACACACATCTTCCCGCTGTCTGTGCCTACTGTTCCCAGCGCCCGCCCCCGGCCCAGGTCCCCCTCCGGGCCAAGAGGTGGAGTGGCCCATCACCAGACAAAGGCAAGCCCACCAACTCAGGTGCAAAACTCCATCCTGGGTCCGCGTGCCCAGAGCTGGGCCTTCTGGTCGGAGAAGGGGGCTGCAGTGGGAACAGTCCCCTCGGATGCCCGGGTGCTCTCCCTGAGCCCCTGCCCCTGTTTTTATCCCTGAACAAGCCTTACAAATGTGGAGAAATGGACACTCTACAAAGCCACCTGCCCAAGGCCTCACAGTAGGAAGGGGCCGCGCTGGGGATGGTCTGGAGACTGAGCGGTCAACCATCAGGGGTTCAGCCTGGACCACAGCGGAGCCGGGCTCGTTCCTGGAAGCTTTGCTCCTGGGGTGCAAGTGGGGAGGCTGCCCTGACCCAGTCACTCACCCACCCTCGTGAGATGCTTTAGACGCCCACCAGCTGCAGGGCACAGCTGGAGGCGCTGGGACACAGGAGCAAAGCGGGCGCTGGGTGCCCTGCGCTGACAAGTGTGGGGGTGCAGGCCATGACCAAGATGGGGGAGGAAGGGCTGAAGGAGCGCTGAGCAGGGCACAGGAGGGTACCCACGGCGCTGGTCACCCAGGGCCTGCTGGAAGCCATGTCCAGAGAGGGGCCTGGAGAGTGAAGAAAACAGGTTCCACTGCTGTCCTCAGAGAAGCATGGCTCCCAGAGACCTGTCTGGACCTGTGCGGTTGGGGACAGAGGGTGTCGCTGCACCCCGTCTCTCGCATCCATGAGCCCTTCTCCCAATACCCAGCTCTCTTTCAGAGCTCCATGGGTTCGAATCCCAGCTCTGTCCCCTTTGCCACGTGGCCTGGCCTGGGTTTCTCCACCTCGCACAGAGTGGGGTGGGCAGCATCCTCCCGTTGCCATGGTGATGACTCCAGCTCCATCCCTGCCCGTGGCCCTCAGCTGGACAGAGCTGCAGCAGCCAGTGCCACCATCCGCACCCTCGCTGCCTCCCTCCCTCCCCCTTCTTCTCCTTTCCTCTCTTGGCGTCTTGTTTCTTTGTCTCGGCATTTTTCTGAGGGACTCTGTCTCTGTCTCTCAAGCTCTGTCGCCGTCCCCTCTCCCTGTCCCCTTCTCCTCTGGCATGCATCCCACCTAGCTCTTCCAGGGCCTCCCTCTCTCTGTCCCCATTTTGTGGACCTTTGAGCCCTTGGCCTTTCTGTCACTCACCTGGCCTCTCCATCTCTGAGGGTGACCTCTCTGGCCCATTCCCAGTCACCTCAGAGGGGCCGAGGCTCTGTCCCCACCCCAGGCCACAGGGTCCCTTTCCATCAAACGGGAGGACAAATCCACCCACCTCCACCACGGATCTGCTATGAGGGGCAAGTGAGACACCGAGTGGGATGATGCCTGTTCCTCACGTGTAGGGGGTGGAGCCAGCCACACCCCAGCCACTCCACACGCAGCCCCCTCAGCCCGGTTAGGGGGCAAGTCCTGGCCTCGCCCCCTGCTCCAGAGGAAGAGACAGAGGCTCAGAGAGGTGCAGTCCGCTCTGCTGGAGGCGCAGTCAGAGTGTAATCATGGTTCTGCTGTCCCAGGACCTTACTTAGCCTTGGAGCTTCGGGAAGGTGCACCTGCTCTCACCCCCCCCCCGCCCCGCAGCAGGGTGAGGCTGTGAGGATGGGCAGGTCTGGAGTGTGAGGCATGGAGGGAGGGAGGGCAGAGGCTGCCTCGTGGCCAGAGGCTGAGGGGGTGGCGTGGTGTGGAGCAAGGACCCCCTGGTTCTCTGCGCTGTAGTATTGCCACAGCGGCCCTCCTCAGTGTGGGGGTGGGGGCTGGGCAGTATCTCTGAATGTCTCTGGGTGAATCCCTGCTGTGGCCCCAAGCCAAGTGGTTGGGGGGTGGGTTACACGCAATGCCAGCTACACACCTGTTGAGTTTGTGCCCAGGGGCCGTACATCTTCCTAGTCTACGCCGCCTACAATGGGGAGGTGAGTGGTGGTGGGGGGACATGAGTGGGGGTGGGGCAGGAGGAACTCACCTTGATGGGCTCCAGGCCCACAGGAGCTGGGGGAGGGTCCCGGGCCTGACCCCAATGCCCGTCCCAAAGGTCGGAGGCGCGCTGCAGAGGATGACTGAGAAGAAGGCAGCAGAGGTATTCACGGCAGGCACAGGGATGGGGCGGCGGGAGGTCCCACCCGCAGCTGGGTCCCAGCTGCCACAACCTCTGCATTCAGGCCCACTCCAGCCCACAGGGCTGGGCACCCCACCCTAGGTCCTCAGGTCCCCGAGAGGCAGCTCCAAGCAACCCTGTCACCTTGGCTGCATCCTGAAAACACTGGGCTCTCAGAGGTATGTCCTCACCACCCTCCAGTACAAGTGCTACCCAGTGCCTCAGTTTCCCCAGTGCTCAGGTAGAGCTGGGAAGGCAACAGCACGTCTGAAAGACAAAGAGCCCGAGGTCCAGGAAATTCTGCAACCTTGGGGCCTGAGGGATGGCGTAGAAATGGCTGGTTTCCTCCCGCCACCATCGACCCCCCCCACTAGGGAACAGGGGCCCTGGCACCCAGCCCGGAGGCAGTATTTGCCCAGGGTCCCCTTCCCTGGGTACCCATGCAGAAGGGGCTTGAGGGGGTTCCCGAATGCAGGTGGGTGGATGAGGATCAGGGCCCTGAGACAAGGGGGTGGGTTGGATGACCTGCAGGCCAGGGCAGGAGTTCCAATCCCAGCTCTGGTTCACTGCTGTGTGATCTTGGGCAAGTCGCCTTCCTTCTATGGGCCTTTTATTTCCCATCACTGACCTGGAGGGTAAACCCTTGAGTGGATTCTTAGGTTCTTTGATAATGAGGTCCCCACCCAGGACGGGGGAGCACAGAGAGCTTCCTGCCTCCCCAAATGTCACCTCCTTGAGTGTTTTACCCCCCCAGAGACCCACGGCTCCAGGATCCCTTCTCCTGCATTGCAGAACCCAAGAGACCGGTGAGGCCGGGACAGGGGCGAGCGGGTTTTGCCAAGGGGCTAGTGAGTGTGGCTGGCAGGGCTGGGGAACCACAGGCTTCAGGGTGGGGCTGAGGCGGTGGGCTTTCCCTGGGGGTCCAAGGGCCCTCATTCCTCAGTTACCAGGCCGACAGGCTCTGGCAGCAGCTGGGAGGTGCAGACTGCATGCTGGCAGATCCTGAATGTCAAGGCCACTGCGGGGTGACGGAGTTATCACCAAGGTAGCCTCGGGCCGCCAGGGCAGGGGCGAGCAGAGGCGCTGTGGGCCCGGCCCCCTGCCCATAGCCTCTGTCCTCAGGCTGTGGAGCTGAGGGCATCAAGTCTTCGGGAAGAGCACCTCCCCCCCAGGGGGGTTCCCCTTTCCTCCTTGGCGTGTGGACGTCCCTTCCCTCCACTGTGTCAGAGTATTGTAAAGTGATTTGAGAAGCAGCCACACCTGACCTCTCTCTCACAACGAGGCCCCTTTCTTTCACTCTGCTCCTCGTTGGTGCCCACGAGCTCACCACCCGCCCTGTGAAAACGCAGTGCTGCTCGGGAGAGGGTTATTCAGGGTCCTCCTCCCAGAGCGGGCGCTCCGGAGGGGGCAGTGAGCAGGAAACCTGCCTTCCTCTGTGTGCCCACGCGCTGGCCCCCCAAGCCTGGCCTCAGCCCTGTCAGGGGTCCCCCTGCTGATACCTTGGGCTCTAAGAGGCCTTCCAAACACAGGGAGGAGCAAGTGTCCCCTCCAAGGCCTCAGTTTTCCCACCGGACAGCTGATGGGGACATGACAGGGGCAGCTGTGGGCAGTGCAACCAGGCTGGAGCCACCCGAGGCCCTGCTCAAGTTGGGGCAGCTCTGCCCGGCCTGAAGGGAACTGCGAGCATCCAGGTCCGCCAGCCTCTCTGGGCTTGAGCTCCCGCCATCTCAGGCGCCCCTACGAGGCGGGAGCTGGGCTCTGTCCCCCTCACCCCGTGATTGTTTTCAGCCAGGGCAAGAGGCCCGTTTACAGAGCTCTGGGGCTGCGGTTGTTCGCTCCTCCCCTGGCGCGGATACGGAAACCGAGGTACTGAACGGAGTCCGGACGAGCCAGGGTCAGTGGCGAGGTGGGGTCAGCTCCCCGCCCGGGCAGTTACGACAGTGAAGTGCAGGTGGTCACACAGGTGTATTGTAGGCACATTCCAACCCAGGTGTGTGTGACCCCCGAGCTTCCAGTCGGCCGTCACCCCGCCTAATGGCCTCAGGCCCCGGAGTTATAGCTTCTTCCCCTTTCGCAAAATGGGCTGGAGGCGCCCCCTGCAGGCCTGCAGGGAGGACGCAGGCGCCCAGCCGAGGGGTGCGTTCCCCGGGGACCTGAGTTTCCCCTACCCTCGCCCAGAGCCTGGACATCCCCCCGGACTCCCACCCCCACCCGCACAGCGTGTCTGTGGGAACAAGCGAGTGGCACGGCGCCCGCCTCTGAGCTCAAGTGACTGCGCCTTTGTCTCCGCTGAGTGAGTGGGTTGCTAAGGCCGCTCCTAGCAACCGAGACACCTCCCCTCCGCCCGCGGCCCCACCCTCTGGACGCCCTAGCGCCCCCAACTCCACCCCACGACTCACTCAGGTAACCTGAGCTAGAGGCGTGAGGGAGTGAAGGCTGCCAGCTGCGTGTCCCTCACAGTGCCGGCCCCACCCTCCTGAAAGCCCACGGAGCCATCGAGGCCCACAGGTGTTCTTTGGATGGAGAAACTGAGGCTCGGCAGGGGAATGAAGAAGACTGACCAGGGCACCCAGGCCAGGATTCCCACCTAAGGTCTTACCCCCGCCTCAGTTCTCAGCCCCCTCCCTATCTTGGGGGCCTCTGGGGTCGCCCACTCTGATTCTCTGCCAGCCCAGCCCAAACGGCGCCCTTCCCTCCCAGGTTTCTAGAGAGTGCTTGGGGACTTTTCTCCAAGCTCCTTCTGGGATGCCTGGAAGACCCAAAAGGAGGCCCCAGTGACAGTCACCAGCATGGACCACCACCTGCTCCCAGCCCCCAAAGCCGCTCCCATTCTCTAATGCCGAGCCCCCTCCTGTGCTCCCGCAGACCCCACCAAGGTCCCACAGCTCTGTCCCCGAGAGCTGGCTGCCCCCACCCCTTCCACCTGTCCTAGAGTTCCAATGGCCCTGTGGTGTCTCTCATAATAAACCTCTTGTGACCTGTCTCTCTTTGGGATTATCCCGGCTGGGGATGGGGACAGGATGCTGGGCTCCCTTGGGGGAGAGAGGGACAAGGGAAGCTGCCACTCTAGCTTTGGGACTCTAAGTCCCAGTGTCACCGTCAGGGTAGGCGCAGCCAACACCTGTTAGCACCCCCTATGCAGCTGGCTGGTGCTGAGCCCACTACCGCCCCGGAGCCTCAGGCCATCTCCTCAGACCCGAGGCCACCGTCGCCCCGCCTCGCAGAGAAGAAACAGAAGTCTCCGTGGTTCAGACCGGGGTCTCCCAGCTGGGTAGCACGTGGGTCAGGGTGGCTGTCGGTGTGGATGGCAGCCGCTCAGGCAGACTGCTCAGAGGGGGCGCTGGGGTGGGGGGGGGATGGCTCAGGTCCATGAACATCATGCTTCGGGAGGTGCCCAGCTCCTCGCCAGGCCGTGTGGCCGGGTCCTGCCACTGTCCGTTCTGAGCAGGAGTCTTCTCCGAGGCTGGGTCTCTTCTTGGGTTGGATGGTTTCGGGGCCTAACTCGGATGCTGTGCTAGGGCGCGGCCCCAGGGCAGGCCCCGAGGCCAGGGGCAGTCAAGGGGGCCCCCAGGGACCAGGACTCAGGGCACAGAGGCTAACTGTCCTGTTTGCCTCTGGCTCAAGCGCTGCCTGGGCCAGAGGACGGCGGGGCACAGTGTTGGAGTGTCAGAGCAGCCACCCTGGGGGGGCAGGTGATCACGCCAGGCTTGGGTGGGTGGAGGTGGGCCAGGGCAGAGCCAGCCAGAGCCCCGAGGCCCTGCAAAGTACAAGCTGCCCCTAGCTCCCTGCAAAACCTGTGTCCCCACCCTGGGCCCTGCCCAGTTTTCATCTGGGACAAAATCTACAGGGGGTGGACTGAAGTGGGGGGTAGACCCTCCACACAATGACGGAGGTCTGGGTATTTCATTCTGGGGGGTAAGGGGCACTGGTGAACCTCTTGAGGCCAGTTCATCATCTGCATGCAGAACAAGGAACTTTAGCTTCCGAAAAAGAGATGGGACAAGCTGGACACTGAAGGCAAAGCCCTGGAAAGGCACCTGGAGCACGGGAAGCCTCTTCAGAGGCTGGACTGCTCACTGCTGCCACCAAGTGGTGGGGGAGGAGGAAGCAAGGGAATCAGTGAGAAGACCAGGCCTTGGGGCCCTGGGCTGGCCACAAGATGGTCAGAGAGGGCCAGGCCAGTGCTCTCAAGTCAAGGGGACCCAGGTCTGATTCTGTCCCTGCACATCACTTACCGAGAAGCACTTGCTGAGGGCCTCTCCTGGATCATAACTCCTGCCTTATTGAGCCACCATGGGGGTGGGGAGATGGGGGATGGCACACAGTAGGTGCTCATGTGAGGGTTGCTCCCTCCTGCCCAAGGTGGGGTCTGAGCCGCACCACCAGGGTGAATGGAGGCTCGAGCCACAGAAACTAAGCGTCTCCCAGGCCTGCTGGGTGCGCCCATGGCCCAGCAATGAGCTGGAGCCCAGAGCTCCCCTACCCACAGCTCCTGCTATTCCCCTGCACCCCATCCTGCCTCCCCAGAGTTTCAAACCAAAGGTTACCTGCATGTCACCTCTGTCCCAGTTGGAGTGCTACCTTCCACCCCCCCACCCCACTCTAGCCCACCCAGGCCCACGCAGCAGCTTCTGCTTTGGCCCACAATGTAAACAGCCAAAGGTAGCTGGAAACTAATTGCAAAATTTATTCCAAGGCTGCAGGGGCTGGGAGATTCTTAAGGGCACTTCTCGTTTGGGGCTGGGGTCTCTGGCTTTGGTGGGGGCACACGCTTCAGTGGGCAGGGGTGGGGGACTGAGTCAGGCTGGTGGAGGGCGGGGGCAGAAATGCCCAGTCACCTCCTACTGGGCAGACTGGGCGCAAGCTGCAACGGCAATGAGAAAGCAAAACAGGTGGGTGCCCAGCCAGGGGACAGGGGACGGCTGAGGCCTCTCCCTGGGGGCCTGGCCTTGGAAAGTGTCGTTTAGGACACAGGACAGAAGGCCAGGGTGTTGAGGTCCAGCTATGAGGGTTTGCAGCGAGGGACCCAATGGGACGGAGCCAATAAGGGAGGGGCTTATTAGCGATGTCCCTGATCTGAAGAACCATACACCCTCCCCGAAGTCACCCATATTCCCACCCACAGAGTCTCTGAGCCCCCCACAGGACATGCTGCTGACCACTGAGTTGAGGGGGTCCCAGAAACAGTGACCCAGCACCATGGGTGGGGTCCTTGGTATGAGGCTATGTGGCAGGGGTGGGCACGGACTATACTCGGTGCTAATCCCCAAACCCCAGCCTCAATCCTCAAATCTGTCCCCTACTCACCACACACACACACACACACCTTTCAAGGAATATCTAGATTCAAAAACAAAACAAAGCAAAAAACTTCCCTACTGCCTGCTCGCGCAGCCTCGCAGGTAAGTACCAGCCTGGCCGGCTGGCTGTGGGTGGGGCTAGAATGTCGAGTGTGCGGACCTTCTCCTCCAGTGGGAGGGGAACAGAAAGACCATTGCAGCAAAATTCTTTCCGGATAACAAGCCGAAGTTCTCCTCTGCGAGGCCAAATGGGGCAGAGGGCTGAGGAGGGGGTCCTCCTGTCCTAGCCAGGCTCCCAGGGCCCGGGGACCCGCTAGGCCCTGTCCAGCTTTGTAGAAACCCAGTTATCCCCAGGTCGCAAAACAGAGGACTTTCCTCCTGGCCCCTCTGAGGGGACTGGAGACCCCCTCTCCCCAAGTTGGTGCCATTCAACCCCTTTCTACCTGTTTCCAGGACAAGGGAGGGGATGACCTCTGACACAAGGGACATCGAGGCCCACCAGGGACTCCTGAACCTCCTCCCCAGACCTGTGCTCCAGACCCCAGGACAGACGACTGGGAGCTGGGAGCAGGAGGAGGGGTAGGGGGTGGTCAGCAGCCACCACCTGGGGACACTCTTGAGTGGCAGGCAAGTGCCAGTGGCTCGGTGGGGGCCACCCCAACTCAGCCAGGCCCTGCCGCCCTCACCCACTTCCCAAACACAGGGCTCCCCAGAGCACAGGGGCATCGGCCAACGTACAGGGCGGGGCTCCTGGGTCAGCACAATAAAACAAGCCATCTGGAGGGCCTCGGGGCGGCTGCACCCCGCCCCTGCCCGGCCGGTCCGGCCCCACCGGCCCCGGCTCAAGTCTGCTTGGCCTGCAGCATCTCGATGAGCAGGTTGTTGCGGGGCATCTCGTTGCCCAGGTGCTTGTGGTACAGGTACTCCTTGGCCTGCGTGCTCAGCGCCCGCACCTCCACCAGGCACAGCAGCAGCTGCTGGAACTTGTCCCCGCAGTGCGGATAGTGGCACAGGGTGTAGTCCAGCAGGGCGGCGTTGGCCTTCTCCTGGGCATCCTTCACCAGGTTGTGGTTGTTCAGGAACTTCACGTCTGCAAGGGAGGGGCTCCGTCAGCGCCGCCGGCCGGCCCACCGCCGACGCCGGCAGCCCCGTGACGGCCCGAGACGTGGGCACTGCCACCCGCAGCAGCAACAAACGCAGCCAAAGTCTCCCTGTCCCCACCACGGCGCCATCACCATCGTCACCACTGTGGCTGGCAAACACCGCCACCGTCATCAGTCACCGATACTGACACCCTGGCGTTTTCCTCAATTGTGGCCACTGCTGCCGCCACCCACCAAACTTCAATCGTTCCTGTCACCAGCATCACCATCGTCACCGTAGTTGGACACTGCTACCTCAGCTGTCACCAAAACCAGCATCCCTGCAGTTACTGTGATTACCACCAGCCCAGCCCCTGTCATCAACCACCCGACCTCAGTCACCTGTCATAGTCATTACTACCGTTGTCATCACCACGCGTCACGGTGAAGACCTCTACTGTCCCCAAGACCGTCCCCAAAGTCACCAGGTGGATCCCTGGACATGCTATTTAACCTCTTAAGTGCCTCGTCTGTCAGATGGGGGGCAGGGGTGACAATAGTGCCCACTCCACAGCTGGGAGAATTCGGGGTGTCGATACGTGGGAGGTGCTCAGGGGGACAGTGTCTGCAACCTGGAGAAGCCCAAGATGTCAGTCGTCAGTATCATTACCCCAATCCCCACCGCCTCTGTGATCAACCCCGTCCCTGTCCTCATCTCCACGGCCAAACCCGTCCTGTCACTGTCATCCCCATGGTGGTCCCCACCACTGTCCCCACCACGGGAGAGATGCAGCATGGGTGGAAGGGTCCCGCCTCGCAGCTGCGAGGTGAGTGCGGCGGTGGCCCTGTTCTGGAGGGTGACAGGCACAGCGTGGGTCTACCCGCTGACCAACTAAGAGGCTCCGGCACCGCAGGGAGACTCCCACGGGGCCACAGGGGCCATGGACGTTCTCGGTGGCGGTATTCATGGTGACAGGGAGGGGGCCCGGGGGGCCACGCGGTGGCCGCACCCCACACAGTCCTATAGGTGGCGGTAATGGGCCGGCGCTAACACAGAGACAATGCCTGCATCTTTAAAAGCTGGAGGCTGAGTGGAAAAGAACCAAAACGGGCAGATTCAGAATGAGGTCTATAAGGCAAAGATCTCTGCATAAATTTAAAGAGCTGCACACAAAGCAGGCGTGTTATGTAAGATCAGGGAGGGGCCTGCGTTACACAGGAAGGGACTAGTGTCCGTGGGAGGGGGTGGGGGTGGCTGGCTCCGAGTGGACCCAGGGTCCTTCGTGCCATGGACAGGTGTGCGATCGGTGCACCCACCCCACACTCCAGGTCCAGGGAAAAGACAAATAAATAAAAATGTCTTTGGAGACAGATGGGGGTTCAAATCCCGGCCCCACCATGTAGGAGCAGTGGCCTGGGCCCCGCCCCCCCCTGACCTGAAAGGCCCTCTTTAAGTAAGGGGCTGTACCCGCCTTGCAGGGGCAGGGGCGTGGGTGCAGAGGTCTACACAGGTGCCTGGGCCCCCACGGGTGCCCCACGAGGGTCAGTTTCTTGTTGCCCAAATCCTCTTTTGGCTCCTGGGCAGTACCTGCAGCTGGTGCCCTGCATGAAGGCTAAAGGTCAGCAGGAACCCACAGGATCGGTCCCCCACCCCCAAATCCTAGCCAGGACTTGCCTGGGATGTGGCGTCCAGTGGCTCAGAAAAGGGCCATCCACCCGTCCACTCCCCCTGTGTCCCCACCTCCCCAAGCCCTGCTGCTGCGGGGGAGCTGGGCGCCCAGCGTGGGCAGCCCTGGGCCCTTCTAATCCCTCTTAACACCCAGTGCGCGGGGAGAGCTGTGCCCTCCTGGCAACCCTGATCCCCGGCCGCCCCCGAGCGCCTGCCGAGGCCTGTGTTGTCCGAAGTGGGATTTAGGGAAACCCGAGCTGGGCCTGGGGGAAATGGCTGGACCTGGCCCCAGCCCTCCACCCCTGCTCCCAGCCCCTCACCCCGCTTTGGTAAGTAAGCCAGAGCCATTTTCTTCCTTGCCTCCCCAGCATGGCCATTAGCGAATAAGCCCATCACTTTTGTGCCGAGAAAGAAGTCCCCCCTTGTCCACAGAAGGACAGCTTGGCGGCGGATCTACAAGCTGGATTTCAGCCCCTACTGGTCCCCTGTCCCCGGCCTAAGGGGCCTCTGTGCGGTGAGCAATCTGCCCAGCTGTCCTCAGGCTGGCCAGCTCCTGACAAACTCAAAGGCCGAGGCAAGTGCCCCCACGTGGCTCCATCCCCATCGCAGCCTCTCTCCATCTTAACACTGTTCCCTCTGCCTTTACCCCTGCCACTCCTGAGGCCGGGCAATTCTCCCGACATTGTCTTCTGACAATTCACAATAGGAGGCTGGGGGTCCAGAGCAGGGTAGGGACCAGCTCAAGGGTGCGCAGCAGTGAAGGGGCCCAGAGGAAGTAGCTGGGGCCGAGGGGAGGACTGGCCAGGACGCTGCAGTGGTGGCAGGCGGGGGAGGCGGCAGAGGCGGCAGGAGGACCAGAGCCTCGGCTTTACCAGGATTTACTGTTCTCAGCAGCACCGGACCAGGGACAGCGGGGCGGGGGCCGGGGCTGAGGACGGAGGAGGCACAGCTTTCAGGGACAGCCCCCCTCCTAGCAGTTCCACGGGTCTCTTGGCTCTCCACAGACTGGAAGTGCCCACTGTGCCCACGAGGTGGGCACCAGGGCTGCGAGGGGAGCCCAGTCACCAACTGAGCCCCAACAACTACAGTGGAAGCGGACCCGGTTTCCTGGGCTCCTGCCACACACCTTGCTCCCAGCTCAGTCGACCCCCGCAGGCACCCGGGCAGGCAGCACAGTGCGCCCCCCCACCCCCAGCAGGGGCAGTGGGCAAGCCCGCGACACACAGCAGATGCCAGGCCTTGATTCAAAACCAGGTCTCTGGCTGCGAAGCACTGTGAGCGGTTGGGGGCGGGCTCGAGCCAGGACACAGGCTCCTGGAGGGCTGGACGTGGCAACTCCGTGTTTCATCCAGTGCAGGGGTCCCACCCGAGGGCCCCGCCTCGGGTCCCAGTTTCCCCAGAGAGGCTACTCTGGGCTCCAGACTCCACCTTGTGGTTCTCGCCTTGGAGGAGACTGTGGTCAATCCTGACCCTCTCCCAGCGCCCCCGTGGCCCCGTTTAAAGGGACTATATGAGGACTGTGGGAGAGCAGGTGCGACAGAGCCAATGCCCCACAGAGCACCGTGCCCTTCATCCGCCCAGTGCAGAGCAGGGCTCACACACACCGAGAGACTCTCTTTTAGGGTGTCACGGGTTCAAATCCCAGCTCTACCACCAGCTGGGCAAAGTCCTCGGTCAAAGTCCCTTCCCCTCCCAGGGCCTCGGTTTCCTGTGACCTGCGAAATGGGGCCAGATGAACATCTCCCTCATAAAGCACGCAAGAACTGGGCCTAATCTGTGTGCCCAGACTTGGGCCCTGCGCTGCCGCGGTTTGGCGGTGGGCACCTTCCAGAAAAGCCTGACCGCGCCTCCGAGCCTGCGAGCTCCCAGCAATCCTGGCGGTGGGGAGGCGGGAGGGGGCTGGAAGCTGGCGCCCCCGCCTCAGAGAGCAGCCCGCCAGCTCTGCGGAGCTGGGGGCCCCCAGGTTCTCAGAAAAGCCCCCTTTTCACGGTTTAATTGAATATTTGAATAATCCTTTCATTCCGGCGAGGCATAAAGAATGTTGTCCCAATAGCGGTGACTCAGGCAGGCGCCCCCGCGCACAATGGCCCCTCGAGTGGGGCTGCATTCAAGCTGCCTTTTGTTGGCGCGGAGCAGTGGGTAAATTGCAAACGCTTAAGGGAATGCTGCCTCCGCCGCCTCAATGGGAGTCAGGAAATCGAATGTTAGGTCGATCCATTAAGCTTCGATTAAGTCCTCTGCGGAACAATGCCCGCCGGGCCCATCTTCATAAACACCGTGATTGCCAGGAGAGAGGCACTAATTTTAATTAAACCTCCTTACCTGCCTCCTCGCCTTCCCGAGACGGCTATTTAGACGCCAAATGGCACCCTTCTGCAGAGGCAGGCGAGAAGCAGGCGTGGAGAGGGCTGGAGGGCAGTGCGGTGGGGTGGGGGGTGGGGGACAGGCCTCACACGGGTTCGGGCCGCCCAGCCCAGGGAGGCCCTGCCGCTGGGGTGACGCCCAGAATGCCTACTGGAGGTCGATGAGCAAGTGGCCAGTCCGGGCCCCTTGGGGACCCAGGACTGGCGGTCTTGGGAGGAGCACCCCCCACTTCCAGGCTCTGGGCAAATCTGCTCCCTTCTCGTGCCCGAATTTCTCCACCTCGCCCAGACCTTGGGCTGTGCCTCTCGCCTCTGGCAGGGCTCTGGGCTGCCCGCAGCCAGCCTTTCCCTGCTGCAGCCCGAAGCACCTTCTGAAATGCAAATCCAATCCAGTCGCTCCCTGACGAAGACCCTTCCCAAGCGAAGGGTCAAGGTACTTGGCCCGGCATTCAAGGCCTTGCACGTGGCTCAGGTGGCCTCCTCCCTCGCTGCTTTCTGTCCACTCAGGCAGGCCTCTCCCCTCACATCTCAGCCTCCCCGCAGTTTCTGGCCGGCTGGGCTCGGTGCTGTCTCCCTGCCGCCTCAGACCCCGAAGGCACCATGCCAGCCGCAGCGTGTGCAAGAAAGACGGAGACTGACTCGCTCATTCACTCGCTCTGCCCATTAACTTGTTCATTTGCTCATTAGCTTCATAATGATGGTTATGATGAAGGCAATGCCGGCACACATTCTCATTAAGTCCTCAGAGCAAGTTAATATGGTCATTTTACAGATGGGGCCAGAGGAAATGACCAGATGGTCATTTTACAGAGGCTCAGAGAGGAAAGCAACTAGCTCAAGGGCACACAGCCAGAGAGAGTCCAGATTTAGAATCTAGGTGGGCTGCACCCAGCCCCACCCTGCCTGGCATCGGTGCGCACACAGGCAGCCACTCTCACTCCCCCGTCCTACCCCGCCAGCCTGCTCCCGCCAAGCACTGAGACTCTGGGGCTCTCGGGCCCCAGCTTCCTCCTCTGGAAAACAGGAGGAAGGCGAGCGTGAGGGGGCGGGCACTCAAGGCTCCTTGCATGGCCCCTGGCCCAGGCCCAGGAAAGAGGGCTGGGCTCAGCTGTGCTGTCCTCTGTAAACCCCTAGGATGAGTCCTGGATTGATCAGGGGCTGGAGGCGGGGCTGTGCCAGGCCTGGTCATTCCCCTGGAGCCCGGGGCTTTGGAGGGAAGAGGGGTTGGGGGCCACAGGGCATGTACCTCTGCCCCGGGTAGTCTGGAAAGCTGAGACCTGGTCCTGCTCTGCAGGGGGCGCCCAAGGACAGGTGGAGCCTGAGACCAGGGGATGCCTGGCTGGCAGCTCTCCCTCCACCCAACCTCCCAGGCTCCCCCACCGTGGGCTCCTGACGGTGGTCAGGTCACCTCACAAACCACCCAGACCGCCACAGAGCCCGCCCTCCAACTCCATGGGCCCCAAGCACTTCCCATCAGTCTAAGACCCTCGTCTCCCCTCTCCTGTCACCCCACCATCACACTCCGACTCCACAACGTGACACACCAAAACCACAAGCCTGTGAAAGCTCACAGCCTGCCCTGTGTGACAACAAAGACACAAACACCGAGGCACACACCCCCACCAAACTCCTGGAGTCCCCAGATCCCCCGCCACGGCCGTCAGGGCTTCCCAGCAGCTGGTCCCCAGAGCCTGGCAGCTCCTAGATGCGGCTGGGAGGAGGGTACCCCTGGAGGCAGAGGGAGGATGGGGCTCCCCCTGCTGGAGCCAGCCTGGCCAGGGCCCCCGAGTCTCCTCCTAGAGCCTCAGGTCCCAGCTCCTAACTGGCTGCCCGAGATTCAGCCCCGAAGCCCACCACGGTTGTCCCCAGCAAACTCCACAGCCCCTCGGCTACCAGCCTATTGAGTCAGAAGACCCAGCCTGGGCACCCAGCCCCACGGCCGCAGACTGAGCACCATCATCTCGGTCCCTTCACAACTGCCCCTTCCCAGCCCCCCTGCTCCCCCAACGCCCTGTTCTCAGGCAGACTGTGGCTATGACACCATCTGCCACAAAGACCAAGTCTCGACTGCTGCCCCCTCCCCATGTGACGAGGCCCTCAAGCCCCTGTTCCAACCTTCCACTCCCCCTCCACTTCTGCTGAAAGATTCATCTCCCCAACAAACTCCTGCTCGTCCTCCAAGACCCTGCGCTGTCCCTCTTCCAGGAAGCCCACCAGGCAGTCCTTGTTCCCCAGCCTGGGTTCCCCACCTCGCTGTCCCAGCCCTCAGGGCACTGGCGGGAGGCCTCTCCCAGACTGGGAGCCCCCTGAGAGCAAGGAGCACCTCTGTGTTGGCAGCACCGCTGCGCACCGGGAGGACATAGGGTAGAGATGGCTTACTGGATGAGGCAGGATGGAAGGAGGCTGTCCATTTTACTAATAATTCCCCTAATTTATATATTTTACAGCCATCTTAGGCTCATACCTCCCTCCTCAAGAGAAGGTCAGCTTCTCAAACACAGGGATTTTTGTTCATTCTGTCCCTGGTACCTTGCCCAGGGCAGTTGCTCAGCAAAAGTTTGTGGGATGCATGAATGAGTGAATTAGTGGGCAAGGGTGCCTGGGCCCCGGGAGCTCATAGTTAGAATTTGGATGCCCCCCTCCACCCAGAGCAGGGCGTTGGGATTAAAAAGGGATGCCAAGAGGAGACCCAGGAACAGAAGCTCCTGAAACCATGTGGGCCTTTTCTGGGGCTGGTATGGGCACTTCTCTCGGGACCTCAGCTGGGAACTCACCACCTTCTCAGAAGGGGTCCTCGTTTCATCACGGGCAAGACTTAGACCTGATCATGACCTCTGGACTTTCAAACAGAGAAACTGGGGCCCACAGAGGAAGCAACCCCCATTGTATGAGCCAGGTCCCCTCACTAAGGGCCCTCAGCGCGTAGCCTCTCTTGGGGTCTCAGTGCCCCGCTCAGCCACTGCCCCGTCACCTGTGACTCACCGAGGCTGAAGAGGATGAGGAACTTGAGACAGACGAACTCCTGGCGGTCCAGCTGCAGCGCATGCATCTGCAGTGCGAGCTCCTGCGCCCGCAGCACCAAGCTGTGCAGCAGCGAGCCAGCCTGCGCGGCCACCGTGCTCAGCTCCACCTGGGCAGGCAGACAGGGGCTCAGGCGAGGCTGAGCGCAGCACGGGCAGTGTCTCCCCAGGCCCCGGAAGCCCTTCCAGCCTCTGCGCCCACCCGGGGCCCAGGCTTGCCAGCCCCCCTCCCACGGCCCGCCAGAGCGGAGGGCCGCTGAGGCAGCAGTGTTGACACAGGGCAGGTGTGTGCGGAGCGAGACTGAAGGGCCCTTCACATACAAAGACCTGCTGCCAGGCCAGGGGCACACGCCGCTTCTGTGTTTGTGCGGCGTCTGCGGCACACACTCCGTGGTGCTGGGCGTGGGGGCCTCACAGGGCAAGTCTGCCTGGGTACGTGTGGATGGGGCCACATCCCAGCTCACATTCACATACACTCCCAGGGTTGCCCACCCGCTTTAAGAAGTGAACACACACACACGTATGGTCAAATCAGGGCAACACAGACGGACACACGCCCATGTATGTGTTCCTGCAGACCTAGTGACAGGCAGATCTGGACACTCACACGTGTAAGTGCCTGGAGATATTTGCACAATAAAACACAGGCAAACACATACACACAGGCTGTTCTCATGGCCTTGAGACTTCGACCTGCATGTCAACATGGACCAACACACACACACTCCGCGGCCTCAAAGTCATCCCTGGGACCAGCATTCCCTTGGCCCTGGACACCCAGGACACCTGGCCTGAGACGCCCAGAGTGAGAACTGAGGACAAGGACAGAAGAGCAAAGGGCCAAGGTGGACTCGGGGCTGGGGAGAGGGCCTCAGCCCACCCCCGGCCCCTGCCGCTGGAACATGGGAGTGGGATTGTGTTCCCACTCCCATGTTCCAGCCCAGGTATGAGTGAGAACACATACGTGGCCGTGTGCCCGTCTGTGTTGCCCTGATGTGACCATACGTGTGTGTGTTCACTTCTTAAAGTGGGTGAGCAACCCTGGGAGTGTATGTGAATGTGAGTTGAGGTGTCGCCCCATCCACTGTACCCCACTATCCCCTCCCCCCGCACCCCCTCCAGGATGCTCCGCCCTCCACCAGGTGAGACCCTCCTTCCTCCAGTGCCTACACCTCCTCTCACAAGCAGGGCCCCCCCCGGAGTGGTGCCCCCCATGCGCCCCACATTCTGAGCAGTGGGCGGCCGCCTCCCCTCGTGTCCTCACCTCCCATCTCGCCCCGTCATGTGCCCCAGAAACCTGGCCACGTCCTTCCCCACTAGACAGTGTCCCCTTGCCCCCTGCTCCGTTTCAGGAGTGTCTGTGCCCCAAGCTCCCACTCTGCCGCCCTGATTCCCTGCCCTGGGGGTGCTCAAGTCTGACTGAGCCCTTTGGGGGCCAGATCCTTCTGCTCGTTCATTCATCCTCTCGTTCACTCACTGAGGATTTAGGGCCTGCAGGGTCTTGCCCAGTCCAGCCCCCAGCAACCATTCCAGCCTTACCTTCCCCCCACACACACAGGGTCCCCCAAACCCACGGTCCAGCATACCGGTGGCTCCTGGTGGCTCGGGTCCTAAACGTCCCTCTCCGAGCCTTTCCTTACACCCTCTCCTCGGCCTGCAGTGGAGGTGGGTGGCCCCCAGCACCTTTTCACTTCATGACCAAGACCCGGTACCACCACCGCCTCCTCCAAGGGCCTCTCCACCCTTCGAACATCCCTGAGCTGCTCCCCCAGGCAGGGCTCCCAGGGGCGGCCTCCTCTCAAGGCCATGGCCAGGGCTGACCAGAGGCAGGTCAGGCCGGTGGCTATCCCATGAACTTGGAGAATGGCCTGATAGTCAGGGTCCCCAGAGCCAGGCCTGGAGAGGCCTGAGATCTCTGCTTGCCCAGAATTCTGGGAGCGGGGGTGGGGTGGGGGCGGGGCACAGTGGGGCCGGTCACCTCCTGCCCGATGACCAGCAGGATGCTGTCCTCCTTGCCGTGCTGCATCTGGCGGTAGATGTGGTCGAACACTAGCAGCTCACTCCAGCAGTTCTGCAGCAGCGTCATCTGGTCGGCCACCTGCAAGGAAGCGTCACTCCGGGGTCGCGTCCAGCATGGGTCAGCCAGGCGCCTTCCTCTCACCTCTCCCTCCCCCAACTCTCAGTGCCAGTGGGGTATGTGACTTGGGCCAGCTGCTGAACGTCCCTGTGCCCGCCCTGCCTATCTGCCTACTTCATCCAAGTGGGTCAGGGGTCTAGCGAAACAATAACAGGGACCAGCTGCAGGCCCCAGCTCTGCCTCTTACAAGTGGTGTGACCTTAAGCAAGCCCCGTGACCTCTCCGGGCCTCAGCGTTCTCATCTGTAAAGGGGACAAAGTCCTAGAAGGTGGCCTGGCACACAGCACCCAATAAATGCTGGTCTCATTCCAATGCAGGGAAAGAGCATTATTAATTTGAGCTTGTGCCCCTTTGTCCTGTGGTCACCTCTCTAGCAGCTCCCGTCACTTGAAAAGCAGCCGTGAAAAGGAAACAGAGATTTCCCTGGGCCTCATGCAGAGCCTTCAGGCTCAGGACGAGAAAGAAGGGACCCAGGTCCAGCCCGGGCAGTGACCAGGTGGAGGGCAGAGGTCTGACCGCAAAAGCAGGAACAGAAGAGTGACAGGAGCCAGATTCTGAGCCCTCGGGCTGTAGGTGGGGCACTCAGCAGAAAGGCAGGGACTGCCCGGGCAAGTGTCCTTCCGCTCTGGGCGTTCGATGCCTTCAACACCGCAGGCTCGGTCACTCCTGACGGTGGGGCGTGGGGCTCAAAACCATGAGCCAGAGCCAGGAGGGTGGTAACAGAGCCAGGAGGGCCCCGAGAGGTGCCCTGACCCAAACCCCTATTTTTCACATGAAGAATCTGCCACCCAGGGACGGTGAGGGACCCTCCTGGGGTCACAGAGAAGCATAGCCAGCCCAGGGCCACAGCCAGTGCTCTCCGTCCCCTTCTCCTCACGGTGACAAACAGTGAGCCCTCCTCGGTGTTCGGGCCATGACTGGGCGCTGTAGGTATCCGAGGAAGACACCCTACAGACCCTAGTCCCTCTCAGCCTCCGCAAACAGCCCCCATCCACCCAGCAGGTACCCCCTGGCACCTTCCCGGGCAAATGCAAACACGACAGCTAGCCGCCGCCGTACTGCAGCTGCACAGCCCTGTGAGGTCGGTGTGGCTCTTATCCCCACCGAAGGAGAGGGGGTGAGGAGCCCCCAGGTGTCAAGGGCTCTGCCCAGGGTCACACGGCTTCTTCTGGCTCCAGGTGTGCACTCTTAGCCCCCAGGGGTGGCAAAGCCCCCTGGGCCCTGGCCACCCCAGGTTTCATGGCACGCTCTCTACCGCCTTCCCTGGGGCCCCAGCCAGCGCTGCCCTCCCTTCTGGGTGCCCTCACCATCCTCTGGATGCGGCACCTGTGACATCTGATGGCGCCTACTCATGCCTCTGCTTCCCCCAGGACAGGTGGGATCTGGGAAGGCAGGACTGGGGCCCCATAGGAGGGGTCAGTGAGCAGTGGATGGACAAACCCGTGCTCCCCAAGACATGCATAGAGAGCACTGCAGAGCCACCCCTAAACCAGAGGCCAGAAGGGGCCAGGCAGCTCCCGGTCTGAGCAGAACCGCCCAGGCCTAACGAACAGCTTTCTCCTCTGTGGGGTGGAAGCCCCTCCCGCTCTCTGGCGCCCTCCTCTCCTGTCTCAGGCAGACAGAGGGAGAAAAATCATGGACGCAAAGCCAAGCCAGCAGCAGGGCACACAGGCTCCCTCAGGGCCTCTCCTGCCCACCCCTTCCCCAGCCCACACAACTGAGGGCAGGAGGGAGGGTCAGTCCTCCCGTGCTGCCTTCCTCGCCCCATCGCCAGGTCCTGAGCCCAGCCCCCCCCTCCTCCCCGGCAGAAAGCTCTTCCAAGAGCCAGTTACTGTTGGAACAGGAACGCGCCCGCGCCCGAGGGTCAGCAGCAGCTCGCCCAGGGCCGCAGGGGCCAGGGTGAATCACAAAGACGCCTCTCCTCCGGCCACCTTATCTGTCCTGCGGAAGTGGCCAGTCCCCAGAGGGCTGGCAGGAAGCCTCCCAGAACGGTCTCCGGGGAGGGAGGGAGGCTCAGAGACTGCCTGTGACCAGGCCTGGGCCAGGACTCCTCACCCTTTGCCCTATCACCATTCTGCCCGTACCCCAGATAAGAAAACAGAGGCTCTGCCCAGATGCGCACCCCACTGGGCTGGTCTTGGGGAGGGGGGCCTGGGAACTGCCAGAGGCCCCGGCCCAGGAGTCCCAATGGCCTACCTTGGGAGACCAGTTGGAGGCAGAGGAGGAGGAGAACGTGCAGGGCTGGGCTCTGCCCCCCACCCAAGGGGGCCCTCGGGAGCAGACTCCCGCGTGCCTGGATTGAAGGAACAGGGGTGGGGAGAGGCAAGAGTGAGAGACGGGGGAGAATTAGGAGATAAGCAAGCTGAGCCTCGGGCAGAAAGCAGAAGGGGTCACAGTGACCCGGCTGGCCAAGCCCTGGAGCAGACTCCGTGCCCAGACCTCAGCCCCCCGCAGCGGGGGCGGCCTCGCCCAGGGGGGCAGATAGGGGTGGCAGGGGCAAAGGTGGGCAAGACGGTGGCAGAGCTTTGGCGCCCGGGGGCCTTGTGCGTGATTTCCAACTCAGCCACACACCCTTCTCGGCCCTGATTTTCTGCTCTGGGAAATGGGAAAGACAAGCCTCCCTCTCCGGGTTAGAGAAAATGCGTAGACACGGTGACATCACAGTGAAGAGCTCTGTGGACCACGGCTGGCTCTCCCCTGGGGACGGGGCCCCAGCCTGGGTTCCCGACACCCCAGCCAAGCAATCTTTCCTGCCGGACTTTGTACTCCCTCTTCCCGTGGACAGACAGATGGACACATAAAGACACCAAAGTCCAAGATACTTGCCACACAGATGGGCACACACACGCACACACTTCTTTTTTATTTAGAGGGAAACCAGAGGGCCGCTACCACCAGCCTTTCTCCACAGAAAAGCAGGTGGCTCAGAGGCTCACTGGACCAAAGAGGGTTGGTTTTTACCCTCCATAAGTTTCCCCCTCAGCAAAAGGTCCCTCCTCTCCCCAGCCCTCCCCACTGCCCCAGGAACAAGGACATTCGCTGTGCGGGCCTTGGGGCCCCTTCTCAGCCTGGCCAGCGCGCCCAGCCCACCAGCCTCCCATCAGTCCTGCTGTCCGCCACAAATCTCCCCGGAGCCTTGACTCTTCTCAGCCTGCCTCGGAGACGGGGTATTTATGGTCGAGGAGCTGACCTCCCTCCCGGCAGGCCCCCCTTCAGAGCCCCCTGGGATAGGATCAGTCTGGCGGCCGAAGGCCAGCAAACTCTGCAACTCTGCAGCGAGGCCGGCACGGTGCTCTCCTGGCCCGGTGGTCGGCAGGCCGGGCGTCTGTCAGCCCAGAACTGACAGGGTTACTGTGGCTTACATGAAACCATATATCTGAGCAGTTAAATCTGTTGCCAATCAGGGGCCTCAGAGCTGATGTCAAGATGGGTCAGTAGGCACTCTTGGCCCTCGCCTCCCCCTCCCTGATTCCTATCTGTCATCCCCTCCCCCGGGCCTGTCCTTTCTGGGAACTGCCCGGACAGGCTGACCGCCTGGGCCACTGAGCAGCAGGTACAGGTGGCTTCTGCTACCCGACAGGGAGGAAGTTGCTTTATAAACCCAGGGCCACGCGGGTCCCATTTCTCCCAGAGTCCTACGTTTTCTCAGTCCTTCTAGCCAGGCCTGCGCACCACCTGCCGGGGTAGATCAAATCCCAGAGCAGCAGACAAGCGGTGAGGAAGGGCGCCGTTCCCGTGCTAAATCCTTTACCTGCCCTGGCTCACTGGGTCCTCGCCACGGCCCTGTGCGGGTGTGCGGAGGGGGCTACGTTAGCTCAGCTCTCCCCGTCTAAGGGAACGAGCCCAGAGGAGTGAAGTGACTTGCCCAAAGTCACACACCTGGGAAGTGGCAGAGCTGGAACCTGAACACGGTCCGCTCTGACTCTGGTCTTTGCTGTCAAGTCCAGTGCCACTGTCCGATCTGACATGCCAGGAAAGGTGAGGGGGACAAATGCCAGGAAGTGTGAGACAGAGAGATCACCAAGCTGGGAGACCGGGTGAAGGGGGAGGACCCCCAAAGAGCACCCCGAGCCCCCACATCTCGGCTCCTGGCATCCCGACAGCTTACCAAAGACCCCAGGCCTCCCGCTGGCCATCAGGCAGCAGCTACATGGAGAGCAGAGTGGGCCACCCGGAAGAGGGTGCGGGGCCCCAGGCAGCCGGGTTGGCTGTCCATCACCGGCTGCCAGAGGCCCCCCTCCTGGTCCTGGGTCTGCTCCTGCCCCTGCCAACCTCTCCAGCCCTGCCCCAGAGGGCCACCTGAGCTCTCGGACACACACTGCCTGCCTACACCTTCGTGCCTTCGCCTGCGCTCTTCCCACTTCCTGAAATGCCTCAACCTTCTCACGCTGCTTTCTGGAAAGGCAGGGAGCAAAGAAACCTGCCCCAACTTGCGTAGAGAGGGCCATTTCCCCTCCCACCGGGCCCCCTCGGCCCCTGTCCGGGCCCCCTCCGCCCTGCGTGGGCATTAGCCGTGTGCACCTCTGCCTCTTCCTCTAGCCCGGCCACCTCCTGGGTCCAACTCACTCCAGTGTTCCCGGGGCCCAGCCCAGGGGCTGCCTGACTCTCCGAGGTCGGGAGCCCCCACTGGGTCTGCTAAAATGCATCATGCCTGCTGGGGGGTGGGGGGGGATGAATGGTCAGCCCAAAGGGAGAACAGGTCACTCAGCACCGCTGCCACTTCTCTGCCTCCCCGCCTGTGGGCGGGGGACCAGCGGGAAGGAGGCTCCTCGCGGCTGGTGAGAGGCCCCCTAGGGGCTGGGCTGGAACTTATCTGCAAGGCTCCTTTGCAGAGGGTGGTGGCCGTGGTTCATATTCCTGGGCTCAATTGAGAGGCTCTGGAAGGGGAAGCAGGAAGGTTTGGGCCACAGAGAAACCAGAAGCAGGAAAAAACACTCAGCAAAGCTGGGACAAAAGCCCTTCCCATCCTGCGTGAAAAACCCCAAGAGACTAGAAAGGCGGCCAGAGGAAGCGCCCCGCCCCTGGATCCAGGGTTCTGGGGGCCGGGAATGCTCTTCTCCTCCCCTCCGCACGGGGGATCGCGAGGAGTCTACGGCGAGCAACCCAACGGCGCTGAGATCTTCATCCCCACCAGAGCCTCCAGCATGAGCAGAAGGCAGATGGGATTGTTCAAGGCCCTGTCTCTTGTCCCGTCCACGAGGGCAGCCACAAGAGGACGCAGGGGTGAAAGGGCCCACTCATGACACATGGCATATCCCCAAGCCTCAGCCAAGACAGGCCCTCTACAACAGAACCGTGGGCTGTCCCCACCAATTCCTGACTCCCAGATGAACCCCGGGCCCCCAGCTCCACGAGGCCTCAAGGGCTCAGTGCCCATCCCCACCTAATTCTCCCCTGTGCCCAGCCCAGCAGGCAGTGCCCCCGGCCCATCCGGCCACCTGCCCCAGAGGAAGCCCAGGCCCAAGTGGCGTCAGCACTGACAATGCTGCTCAAGGCTGCGGTGCCCCAGCAGGGGGGCAGCAGGCCCTCCTGTTTACGCCCAGTCCAGAACAGCCAGCGGCGCTGGCCTGGGAAGGGTGAACTTCGGTGGGCCGAGACTAAAGACAGGGGGCCTCCAGGCCAGGGAAGATGCGCCTTGGCCGGGCTTGGAGTGCCTCTGAGGGCAGCAAAGTGCCCTGGTCACAGGGAGCCAAGGTCCTAGGGCGGCAGCTGCCAGGCCATGGACCCTGAAGTCACGAGGCAGGATGACTGGGAAGTTCCTCCTGTCGGGCTTCGGTTTCGCCTGCTGCCTTAGCTGCAGGTCCCTCCGCCTCGGGGGAGGCCACACTATAGCGCAACCGGCCTCATCTGGAGGATCCGTGGCAGGCCCTGCAACACCCCCCCACCCTCCCACCCTGCTCCCCACACACACAGACACGCAGACACACGTATGGCACCAACCACCGTGCACGAGACAGTAAGATCCTGCACCTCAGCGGAGATGGAGAAGACCCAGAAGCTCTGCAAACTCAGACATGAAGACTCATCTATGGCATTTGAGGCTGGCGGGGCTCGGCGCCTCAGGAAGGGCTGGACCCTTTACCTGACGTCGGGCTGGGGCAGCCAGAGACAGTGTCCCGAGGACTCAGCTAGTCCTTTGGGGGCCTAGGTACTCAAAGAAGTACCTATAGAGACCCTGAGAGAAACAGGGACAGAGGGGCTGGAGAAACACAGAGAAGCAGAGAGGCAGCAGGCCCAGCAGAGCGAGAGGGAGAGAGGGAGGCAGAGGTCCAGGAAGCAGAGGCTGTGAGAGAGAGAGAGACTCAAGAACTAGCAGGGGGTGGAAGTGAGAGGGGAGGCGAGGAAGGCTGCGAGGGGCCAGCGGCACTCCTCGGGGGCTCCCTGCCACCACACAGTGCCTAAAGCCCGTGGGCAGCCTGGGCCCACCCGAGGAGTGACTGGGATTGAGGCCTGGGCAGCCAAAAGGACACCCCAGACCCAGCTGCCAGACAGGTGGGAGGAGGGACTCACCTCCAGCTCCTTGAAGACCATGCACCTGCGTGCCCAGTCCACGATGGAGATGAAGGTCTGGTCGGCCATCCTGCACAGGAGGTTGAAGGGTGCAGGCTGGTCGGAGCGGCCTTTGGCGGGCTCCTGCAGGCAGCCCAGGATGCGTGCCCGCACCTGGTCCTCGTCTGGCTCCAGCTGCAGTAGCTGCAGGATGAGCTCGGGCACGCCAGGCCCTCCAGAGAAGGGCTCCGGGTAGCCATAGGGCGGCCCAGGCTGCGGTGGGCTGGCGTAGGGCTCCGGGTACTCGGACTTGATGGCCCGGCCAGGGAAGGTGGGATAGAGGTAGCCAGCCAGGGGCCCGTGGGCACCAGACATGGCCATGGGCAGTGCTGGGGCCCCGAAGTCACCCAGTGGCCCGGCAGGTGGACCAGAGGCCAGGCCCTTGGGCTCTGGCGCATGCAGACTGGGGGTTAGCATGTAGTCCGGCGGGGGAGGAGGGGGTGGGGGCACCCCCACCGGAGGGCCTGTCTCCATCTTGAAGCCATTGGCTCGAATCTGTGCCTTCTTCTGCTGCTTCAGGGCCCGGTCTCGCTTGTACATGGGCCCAAACTTGTTCCGGCCACCCCGCATGCGGTCAGCACGTACAGCTGTGGGCACAGGTGAGGGTCAGGCCCCCCCCTCCAAACCACCCCACTCACAGAGCTTTCCCAGACAGTTCTGACTTTGTCACTCCCCAGTTCAACACCCTTTGCGGCTCCCTCTGCCTGCAGGTAAGGTTACTCACCTTAGTGTGGCACTCAAGGCCCTGCTTACCTTTCTAGGTTGCTCCTCACAAAACCCTGTGTTCTTTCTACCCCACCTCACCCATCTCTCTGTTCCTCAACCTGGCACTCCTTCCACCCTCCCTTTAATATTCCTTTTGCCTCAAACCCCTTCCTTCTCTTCTGCCTGATGAACAGCCAGCCCTCAGGTCACGGCCTCCGAAAAGTATTCCTAGATTCGCCCAGGTGGAAGCCCCTGTCCAAGCCCCAGATGTCCTGCCTCTTGCCCACTCTCATCCTGCTGAGAGGTATCATGCCATGTGACCCAGTCTGAGAGCTCCTAGAAGCTCAGTCTGGGTTCAGGTGCCCAGCCCAGGGCCTGGCAAGGAGATGGCGACAGGAAGTAGTAGACCCTGGACAACTTTGTTCATAGCTGGGTCCCAGTGTCCAGCTAGTTGCTGAGTGACCAGTTGACTCTGGCAAATCCCTGTTGCAAAATGACTCCCGTTCAGGCTGCCTCAGGCTCTGTGATGGGGGAAGAGTCCTCCCTTGCTGAGCAGATGTCCTTCTGCCTAGCTAAGAATATGTCACTAGCCAGACCCAAATGTTGCAGCTCTGCAGCTATAGTATGGCCCCAGCCCCTCCTCAGACCGGGAGCCCAGCCTGGGAGCTGGGAGAAAGGAGAGAGCAGGAGGCACAGAGGCGCTCAGCAAGGAATGGGGCTTGGGGGCCCACCCAGCCTCCCTCCTGCTGCGGGGGTGGGCAGCTGTGCTCCCAGACATTAGGCCCCACCAGTGATTTCTGCTGCTCACAACAACCAGCTCTGCTGGCCACCGAGGGCCTGGATCTGGGGACATGGAATTTGGGGACAGGATGAAAGGCCTCCATCAGGAGCCCTTCCTCTAGGTGGCAGGACTGTGGCCTGCAGCTCTGAGTCACCAGGGGTCTTCTGCGTTTTAAAAAACCTACGCCAGCAGCTGCCCGCTCCGGCACAGCCCAGCTGGGGCCACCAAGGTGGGACCCTGCTACGCCCACCCTCAAAGAGCCTGAGTCCTTCCTGCTGAAATGTCTTTGCTCCTCCTGTGGGCTGCGAGCTGGGGGGTGGGGTGGAGGTGGGGAGGTAAGGATGGGCCTGGGTTCTCTGGGGGGGATGGCTCCCCACTCCCCAGCTCTCTCAGGGTCTGGCTAAAAACGCGCTGGGAAGGAATCTCACCCACCGAGTGAATGGACTAAGTGAATCCTTTGGACGGATGGAGAGATGAACAGAGAGGGAGGCTGGATGAGTGAGGGCTGGACCGGGAATCACGTAAAGAACGGTGGTGATGACGATAATGGCTAACCTGTTGAGCACTGACTACAGCCAGGCACGGAACCAGGAGCTCTTCACGCAATTCTCTCACACTAACTCAAGAGGAAGGTGCCGCGGTAAGCCCATTTTGCAGAGGGGGAATCTGCAGCTCAGAGAGGTTAAGGAACCTGCCTAATGTCACCCAGCCCATAAGTGGCAGCACTGGGACTCCAACTCCGGCAAAAGCATTGAAAGCCCTGGCTCTGGCCTGCGTTAGGTGTCAGCAGGGGCGTCGTGGAGCTTTTCGCAGAGGGGGCAGCTCCGTGAGGCTCTGCCCTGAGTGCTCAGCCCTCTCAGGGGCTGGGGAAAGGCTCATTTCCCCGGGGGCCACATTCAGACGCTTCTCAACGCGGCTCTGGCGGGTCCTGCGCACGTCCCCGCCCGGGCCTGAGCAAGACCAGCTCTTACCCCTTCCCGAACAGGGCGGCTCTACGATCACATGAGGGGCCGCAGTCGCTGGGCCCCAGAAACTTTAAGAAGGCCAGCGGCGCCCTCCCCTCGCCCCTTCTTTCATCCCGCCTCGCCGGCTCGGCCCCGAGGGCAGGGGCCTGAGGCCCGCGGCGCGCGCACCTTCCAGGCGCATCCCCACGGTCAGGCACTTCTGGAAGCGGCAGAAGGGACAGCGCTTGCGCTGCGTCTTGTCGATCTTGCAGCTCTGGCTCTCCGTGCACGTGTAGTGCTTGTTGTTCTGCACCGTGCGCTTGAAGAAGCCCTGGGGGGGAGGGGAGTGAGCGCGGGAGGGGCCCCGGCCCTCTCTACCTCTCCGAGGGGCTTTGCCCCGCGCACCCCGGCCCCCGGCACTTGCGGCGCGCCATGCGCTTTGCCCTGCCCGCCAGCCGCCCCGCTCACCTTGCAGCTCTCGCATGTGAGCAGCCCGTAGTGGTAGCCGGACACCTTGTCCCCGCACACAGGGCACAGCTCGTCCAGGTCCTCGTCGTACGAATAGTCCATGCCCGCGGCGTCCGCCTGAGGACGGAGGACGGGGTCAAGGCGGGCGGGACGGCGACCGGCGATGCGACACACCTGGTCCCCGGGGTCCCCGGGCACCGCGGCCGCGCCCCGCCCCCGGCACCCACCTCGCGCCCGGCCCCTGTCCCCCAGGACGGCACCCCGGGCAAGGCCGCCCGAGGCGGGCCCCCATTTGAGCCCCCTGCGCCCGCCCCCAACTCCGCGTCCTTCCCGGGGCCTCCTCGGGCGCTGCCCCGGCGGGGCCCCAGCCCGGACCCAAGGATTCGATGCGCTTCGAGCCGGATTCGTTTGTCTGAGAACAAAACCCCGATTCTAAGAAAACGAGATGGGCTGGGCCGCGAGGGAGACGCCAGTGAACCCGGTTGGAGTGGCTCCGGGTGTTCTGGGACTCGGCAGAGGGACACAGAGACGAAGTCTGAGCGAGACAGAGAGATGGGCAGAAACGACAGCGACAGACACGGCTGGCGATGCGGGACGAGAACGGCCTCGAGCCGACAGACGCGACCACCCGAGTGCCAGGCGCACAGCGAGGCCGAGGCCGAGAGGACCTGGGGAGACGAGACAGACGGAGAGAAAGACGGACAGACGGAGAGGGCGAGAGAACGGAAAAGCCAGCGATCAGACACCGAGAGGCAGAGGCCGACGGAGGAAACCTGAGAGAGACGGACGCAGCCGCGGAGACGCCGTGGCCGCCGAGACGGAGCGAGACGGCGACTGAAACCTGCGGAGAAGGAGGCGCCCCGCCGGGGGTCGGGACGCGGAGCCGCACGGAAGCTCCCCCGGGCGGGGACCCCCGAGGGGTCGAACCCGGACAGGGGCTGGAGCCCAAAGGGTCGGTAAACGTCGGTGCCCGGGACCGAGGGCCCCGGGGGGACAGACAAAGCCCGAGACGTCGGGCGGACGGACGCGGAGAGGGCGCCGCGGGGACGGCGGGCGCAGCGCCCGGAGCCGCAAGCCGGGCGGCGGGCAGAGACCTCGGGCGGAGAGTCCAAGTCCCGAGGAGCGAAGGGCGCAGAGCCCGGGCCGGGCAGCGCGAAGGGGCGCCCACCTGGCGGCTCCTGCGAGCGGCAGCGTCCGCGTCCCACCCGCGCGGAGCCCCGCACCTTCCGGCCGCGCCGCCGGCGATGAGCCGCACCCGGGCGCAGCGCCGCCCGCCCGCGATGACGGGCGCTCGGGGCTCGGGCGCTCCCCCCACCCGCGCCTCCCCGCCCCCGCCGCCTCCGGGGCCGCTGCACCGCGCACCTGGGACCCGGGCCCCTCGGCAGCCAGTGCGCGCCGCGCGAACCCGCCGCGCCCGGCCCGGGGCTGGCCCTTCTATACTGGCGCGTGCGGTATCCGGGGGCGGAGGGCCGGCCGAGTCCTCCCCACGCCGGGCCGGGCCCGCGCCCTCCCCCGCCGCCTCTGCGGGCTCGCGCCTTCACCCCCATCCTCTGCCCCTCCCGCCCCGGCCTGTTCCCCCGGAGCCCGCGCGCCCCGGAATCCAGGCAGGTGCTGGGCGCCTGGGAGCCTCGTGCCAACCGCCGGCGGTGGGAGGAGGGGGCCCCTGTTCGTTCACCCGGCTTAGTGGCGGCGAGGGCCGCGCGGGGGGCGCCGGCCGCTGTGTCCTGTGGACGTGGGTAAGGGCAAACGCGGGGGCCGTGGCCGCGGCACGGGATCGAGGCGACAAACCAGGCTCTCGCCGGGACCTGCCGCATTTCTCACTGAAGACTGAAGCAGACCCCACTCCGTGTCCGGCCCTCAGTTTCCTCATCTGTGAAATGGGACTAACGACTGGCCTTCCCTGAGGGGCGGTCATTGGTATGAACCGAAGTGGAGTTGACAAAGCCCACGCTTAAACTTGGAGGCGATCGCTAGTATCCAGCGAGGAGCCCTGGGCAAAGCCTTTCTCCTCCTGGGGCCTCAGTTTTCTGGGCTGGAAATGGGACGCTTAGTTATCCCACCCCGCGAATTTTCCGAGGGGTAGGGAGCACCCGGAGCCGCCGAGAGCGCGCGAGCTGGTAGCACAGACCCTGGGGTGGAAGGAACCGTCCAGCTCTCGAGCTGCGCCCGCACCCGGCTGGGGGCGGGGAGGGAGCGCGCCGCAGCCCCAGGGACAAAGGCGTCCCCTGGCCCTGCCGGCTGAGCTGTCTGTCGCTCCGGGCTGGGGAACGCCGCGGTCACTCTCGGTTTCTCAGATGGAAAGATTGAGGAAGGAGCTGTCTCGCGTCCCGCCCCCGCCCCCTGGTCACCTAGGGTCCCAGAAAGCGTTGAGAGCAGCGAGGCCAAAAAGCCGCGATCTTGAAGCCGAGAAATAGGCCAGTCCCGCGCCTCTGACGGCCGCGATCCGGAGGCTCAAACCCTCGGCGGCCTGTGCCTGGGCCCCCGGACCCGAGGCTTCCCGCTGCAGCTAGAGCTGGCTCCTGGGTCCTGCGAGCCAAGGCCTGGAGACCCCGCGCAGACCGCTTCTTTCTCGCTCACCACGCCGGGACGAAGGGCAGAATCTGCAGCCGACTTGCTGTGCAAGCTCGGGCAGGTCACTTCGCTTCTCTGAGCCTCAGTTTCTCGTGCATGAAACGGAAAAGATCGGCCCTATAGAAGGGGTTCAGCGGTTTCCATGCGATTCCATGGATGAATCTTGGTGAGGAGGAAGGAGAGAGAACCAGAGCCCCGGTTAGCTGCAGAACCCCCCACCTCAAGCCCTAGAAAGAACCGCATTTACCAGAGCTGGACGGGGAGTGAGGGGCCACTGCCTCTGAACAGCTCCCCATCGGGGAGGGGCCCTCAGAAAGTGGGAAACGGGAAGGGGCACCTCCTCTGCAGGGGGGTGAAGTGGACTGAGGGGGAAGGCTGTGCTGGGGGGGTCAGAGTCGCCCTCTCTGGGGTAGAGCCCCCTGGGGTCTCCTGGACATTGGTGAGAAAGACCTAGGCTGTGTAAGCACAGCCTGGGCCCCCGGGGGGTAGGCGGGCAGGTCAGGTTGGGGCCCTGCTCCAAGCTAGTCCCCCACTTCTCCCTCCAGCTTGACCCACCTCTTCCCGGGAATTTCTTGGGCTGAGCCTCCAGGCCCCACTGCACCCACCCCTCAGTCCCAGGTTCGAGCCCACGTGGCGAACCACAGCTCCTCAGCAGCCTGCTCAGGGAAGCAACACTGATCTGGCCCAGCCACAGACCCCCCGGACTGACAGACGGACACTGGAGACAGACATGCAGACCCATATGGGTCTCCGAGACACCCACCAAGGCATCACAGACGCGCAGGCTGCTAGACTTGGGCCAGAACAGCCGTGGGGACACTGGCCACGCATCAACAACAGTGACCCCCACGGTGCCTGTCCCCCAGAGGCCTAGCTCCTCCCACCAGCCGCCCCCCGGAGGGAAAAAGAGGGAGTAGCAAGCTGGGAGGGCAGGTCTGGGGAGATCCCTGGCCCCTTCTCTGCCCAGAGCAGTGGGCACCAGCCACGCAGCGGAGCAGGCAGTGGCCCGGCCGGGCCGCAGGGCGGCACTGAGGCGGGAGGCTGGCCGTTAGAGGCCTGGGCCCAGGCCTTCACTTACGGAACGGAAGGCGAGCTCTCGCGCCGGATGAGGGTGGACAGTGGGTACCGGGGTCCAGAGGGCGGCCCTGGCGGCCCAAGTGGGGCAGTGGTGACCGTGGGCGCACGGGAACTCCTTCACGCCACGGCGGGCGGCGGGCAGACAGCAGGCTGGCCCTGTCCGGCCGTCCTCCTCCTCCCCGCCCTGGGGGGGGCCACCAGAGGCCCAATTGGTCTCTGCCCCCACGTGACTCTGCAGGCCTCGCTCCTTCTTTGTTGGTATTTCTCTTCGCTTAGGTCTATTTTTTTCTTCTCCTAAAAGAAAAAAAAAATACCCCTATCTATCTGGGGGCCGCGGGTGGGGGTGGAGGCCAAGGCACTCTGGAGGCCTTGGCCAGCTGGCTGCTCCAGGCCGTTGTGGGAGCCCAGAGGCAGGGACCCCACGTAGGCGGGTAGGCAGCCCCGCTTGTTAGCGACCGGGTGGGAGTGGGCCCTGATTTATGGCCAGCTCCCCCACCGGCCTGCAGCCCAGCCTCTCTCCCCTTGAATGGCCACCTCCCTGGGGCCTGGCCCAGCGGGGTCCAGTCTGGCCCAGACATGGGAGTAGAGTCAGGTTGGCTTGGCGTGTAGGCAGGGGCTCGGATAACTTGACCAGGTGGCCCTGCGACTTTGGCCTGGGTTTTTTCCCCCCCTTCCAGAGGTGAAGAAAGGAAGAGGGGGACAAAAGGCAAGCAGGTGAGCTGACTGACCGCCTCCTGTGCGCATTGTGCGCTGGCTTTCTTAAGGCTCCCACGTCCATGGGCTGCTATTGCTCCCTGTTGGTCGCTGGGAGGATTGAGGCTGGGTCAGGCGGCCGCAGTGGCTCCAGTCTGGGCCAAGTGGGTAGCTAGGCAGGGACAGGGCAGGGCAGAGGGGCGGGGGCTTTGTGTAGAAAGTCAGGCCTTCTCTCGCAGCTGGGGGTGCTCCTGTCCGATCCCAAGACTCGGGCCGGTCCTGGGTTGTCCTGGTCCAGTCGGGCCCAGATTGCTGCGCTCTGTCCCCCTCCCATGGCTGACACACTCATTAGCACTTCCCTTCATTCATCCCACCTTTACTGAGGGCCACTAGGTGCCAGGCACTGGTCTGGACACTAGACAAAAGGGAAGCAAAGGTAAGAAGTCCATCCTTAGAGGATTTACCTCCCAGCCACTCATCATGGGGGTTGGGGAGGGGGACTGGGGGTCAATCGCCGTTGAGAACACTTCGTTGGAGGAAAGACACCAGCGACACAGGACACCCCATCTACCTGGCGTGGGACTAGAGGGGTTTTTCTGGATAATTGAAACCAGCTGCATTTGAAAGCTAGTGTGTCTTCCTTACTGTGCTGCTTACGAGAGTCTTTTAATTGTGAAAATGCATACCAGACAGTAATTTTCCTGTCATAATTGATTCTACCAATTAGTATATTCTATCTACAACATAACATACAACTCATTCCCAACATGCATGACCTCCTAATTATGTGTTTTTCACTCACAGAAGTTCTTATAAGATTCACTTCTCTTGCATGTAACTGAACCTAACTAGTCTCCCCATTTTAATGCAACGGCTTTGTTTCTGGATTAATACCACTTGCCCTCTGAATTTAAAAAAGGAATATGCCAGCAAACACCCTAAAGGACCAACATGTCACATAATGTAACAACCAGCCGTCACGGTCCTTTGCACCTCTTTGGAGGGGGGACTTGGTGAGACAGGGACCACCTTCCCTGCCTTCCTGAGCAGGGGCTTTCGACACCATGGTGCTGTGCAGAGAACCAGCCTGGCTTGGCCTGTCTCCCGCGAGGCCTTGAGGGACTTGGGGCAGAGATGCTGGATGAAATCCCAGTTCCGCCATTTCCTCGCTGTGTGACCTGGGACGAGTCACTTCCCCTCTCCGGGTCTCATGTCCTTTCCATCAAATGAGGACAACGAGACAATCCATGCAACATATACAGGCTGCCCCTGCCCGGCACGTTGCTTGTGCTCCGTAAATGTCAGCAAAACACGAGAAACAAGGAAGGACTGGCAGTCCATCCTTGGGGCCCCTTTCTGTGTGCAGATTGACACTGCAACATCACCCTGCACACGGCCTGCCCTTCTGTGACCGAGGGATGCTCCCCGGCCTGGACAGCCCTCAAGGAAAGGCCCAGCGCTGATGCTCACTCTGTCCCCAGCAGCCGGCATGGCGCAGATGAGCCTCTGAGCGTGTGTCCAGCTGGCCTCTGCACCAAAGGCCCCCGCACGCCGCCAGCCTCCTCCTGACCTGCTGCCTTCTCTGTACGCAGTCAGCTGGCACTTGTCACCATGCTCCTCGCCCCTCATCACCCTGGATTTGTTCACTGACACCTCCTTCCTCTGTGCCACTGCTCCCCAGCCCTCTAGGAATGAGACATGCTGGGAAGGGACGGCATGGCCCTAACACAGAAGTGCCTCCTGTGTGCTGGGTCCCCTACTAACCAGGCCACACCCGTGGTCAGTCTTGAACCCTCTCCACCACCCTGGGAGGTAGGCTGCATCTTCCCCTCACCTCCCATGAGCAGCATTGGAGAGATGAGGAAACTCGTCCCAGAGTCTCCAAAAGTCACAGAGCAAGGCTGTGATGGAACCCGGATGCGAATCCAGACCCAGGAGTCCAGGGCCTGGGGTGGCCGAGTCAGGGTCCTCTCCACTCAGCCAGAGCCCCTGGGTGGCCTATTTGTCCTTTTCTTCAAGCCCAGCCCAGGTGGTCCCAGGCCATGAGACCCACCCAGAGGGGGAGGAGAAGCGGAGCAGTCCTGCCCCAGGCCCCCGCCTCCCTCCCCAAGCAAACAAAGCCCAGGGTCTCTCTTCCAAGTGGGGACTTTCCCGAAGTGCGGGCCTGTTTCCTGGAGGTGGGATGAGGAACAAACAAACCAGAGACCCAGACACTGAGATGCTGAAGATTGAAAGACAGATAGCAAAAGAAACCCTGGAGAAATGAGCATCACAGACCCAGAGACGGTCAGAGAGAGAAAGTGGGAAAGGAGAGAAGAGGGAGCGAAGGAAGGAGAGAGAAATTCATGGAGCGAGAAGAAATGGGAGAGGGACAGAGACAGAGCGACACTGAGGCAGAGGATGAAAAGGGAGAGAGGGGCAGGGCCCAGAGCTAGAGGGTGAGGGGGTGTGGATGCGGAGACCCCTCACAGGGCAGTGGGGGTGGGGCTGCTGGCAGCCACAGAGGCTGTTTCCGCTGCACCCCTTATCAGCCTGCTGCCAGATGTTCAGATCCGATGCCAATGTCAGAGAAGTCCACAGTGCCGGGTCAAGGCCGTGGCCAGCGGGAGCCTCAGCTGCAGTGTGGGGAGGGGGGCCGGGGGGACGGCGATAGACCTGCTTGCTCTTCCAGCTCTGCCTAATGGTTCTCTGGGCTGGACCACCTAGTGGGGGTGGGAGAGGCCAGGTGCCTCTGGGGACTTCTCCAGTCCGAGAGCAGGGACTTGCGGAGGCAGAGTGGGGCTCTTGGCAACATGTGGACATGTACACCTTTGCACACCCCCATGCGAGAAGCACAGGGATCCATGCACACACAGCTACATGGGAGTGGCTCAGTCCTGCACACAGCCTCGACACTGCCCCTCTCCTCTGCCAGAGCCCTGCTCTGCCTGGTCAGTGTGGTGACCACGGGCCCCTCACCTGAGCCAGGGCTGCAGCTGCAGGGAGGCTGTGCAGCCGCAGGGGTCCCAGGACCCACATTGCTCGTCTATGAACAGGACACCCACAGCATCTGCCATGCCCTTGAGGACTGGGCTGAGGGACCTGGGACCTTCCAGAATATGAAGCTGATGGAGCCGCTCGGGACCAGATGCAGGACTGGGAGACACGGGGCGGGGCTTCAGCCTTGGGCCTCGGCCTCTCCGCCGTGCTCCTGGAGCCCGCAGCGCAGCTGGGCCCCCTGCCTGGGGTGGCTTATCTCCCAGTGCACGCGCTCGGCCCTCAAGGGGTGACCCAGCCTTGCTCCCCACATTCCTCTTCAGCCACGCAGCCGGTGGGCCCCCCACAGCCTGAGCCAGGGCCTGTACTTGGGGGTGGTCAGAGCAACGACTCAGAGCCACCCCGCTGCCCTCTTGGCGGCCCTGTCTTTGCTTCCCTCTCTGCTTTTGTCTCTGAGCATCTCTCTGATGTTGTCTCTGCCCCAATGAATCTATCACCATTTTCGCCTCCGTCTTTCTCTCGGAAGATCCCAGCTTGTTTCTGTTTCCGTGTCTGCCTGTCTGTCTCTCTCAAGGGTCCTTGAGTAGGACCAGGTCTGGAGATATCTCTGCTCTTCTTTCTGGCTCCTGGTGGCCTGCCTCAATGGGAATGTATGTGAGAAATCGGGCTGTGGGCAAGGGGCAAAGGGCCTCAGCAAGGGAGACTTTCAACGTATAAGGGGGGAACTGGAGCAGGCCAAGCGGAAGTCCAGACCCCCAACCCACACTTGCAAAGACTCAGCCAGACAACGGACATCGATGAGGGTGTGGAGCTGGTGGGCTCCCTGGTGTGGCAGAGAAGACGGGTGGGGGGAGGGGAGGGGAGGAGGAGGAAGCTAGGGCTGGAGGTCTCCAGGCCTGAGGGCCTCCTTCCTGTTTGTTGGGAAGTGACTGCCTCAGAAAGCTGCTCAGGGGAGAGGAGGAAGGCCATGGCGACTTCCGGGAAGCTGGTCCGAGGCCACACTCCCTGGGCCCACATGGGGCCCGCTGGCCCTGGCTTAAAATAGTGCAGCGCCTCTGCTGGGGCGGCTGCTGCTGCGGGGCCCCTCCAGCTGAGCCCCGGGGCAGGGGGCAGATTCACCCAGCTCTCCAGTGCGCCCCAGACTAGACTGGAGGCTGTGTCTGGACAACGTAGGAGAGTTACAGAGAAAGCAGGGGTTCCTGAGTTGGAAACCCTGCATTCAAGTCTCAGCTCCAACACAGACCAGCTGTGAGACTTTGGCTGGTCCACCTGGTCTCCTTGGGTCTGTTTCCACTTTCATGAAATAGTGTCTTCCCACCTGATATCATACATGTAAAGTCCTGATACATACATGTATCATAAATGATATCATACACGTAAGGTCTTCAGAACGCTGCCAGGCATAATGTGGACCTAAAAAGTGGGGGTTTCCTTTGCCTCTCTTGCTGGCCGTTAGTCCAACTCCTCACCCTGAGGAAGGGCCCCCTTGGGGCTTTCCTTGGTTCCCGCACTGCTCCTAGGACGAGGTGTTGAACAGGGAGCGTGCAGGGAGGGCAAGGATGGGGCTGTGGTCTCCATGGTGAGACTTGTTGCCAAGGGAACAAGACTCCAAGAGCCCTGGGTCTGACAGTTGAACACTTTTGCCACAGGATCTCAGGCAGGCTGATTTCAGGTGGAACGAACGGGGGCTCTGGTGGGCAACCAGGCCAAGGTGAGGCCGAGCCCGAGCGGTGGTTTCTGGCTCTGCTGGGTTTCCGCTATTGGGCTGTGAGGGGCCGCAGCTCGCCTCACACAGCTTCCTTTTATGGATGGATTTCACCGAGCCCCAACTTTGAACCAGTCTTGGTGAATCCTTATCTGACAGGGAAAGCGCGGATCACAGAGGCATCTATCTGGGTCAGGGCCACATACGGCTGGTAAGGGGAAGAATTGGAATTAGAACTGAGATGGTGAGACTCCTGGTCAACGTGCCTGCTGTCACACAAGCTGCCTACAGGAAATGATCCCTAGGGAGAGCTTTAGGAAGCCACGTCCAGCCTGATCCCAACGCCAGCCCTGGCCACCACTTCTGCTGTGTTCTGGCTTCAGACCTACAAACCCAGATGTAATAGTTTCCTCTTCAGTTACACAGCCGTGATCTTACCTTGGGGGGCAGTCTGCGTACCAGTAAGGATCTCAGCACACAGATCCTCATGTTACACACTCAGTAGTGGTTTACATTCATTCCTGAGGTCACACGCACACTGTGCAGCCTTACACAAAGGACCGACCCTTTCTGGGCCTCAGTCCCTTATCTGTAAAACAGGATCATTATAGCACCAACCTCAAGGGTGGCTTTGAGGTGCCTGTCATCGTGTGTACAGAAAACACTTCGCCATGCTCTGAACATTAATCATTTACTTCCAGGTTATTGGTGGGCACTCAAGGAAACCAAAAGCTCAGCATCAGTTAAGTAGCAGTTTACAAACTCAGAGCAGCGTCCTCCATTTTGATCCTGGGAACACTGTCCCAACAGAATCCCAACAAGAAAATGTTTCATGCCCAAATACTTCTGGGTGGACCCAAATTAGTTTTCTTTAGGAAGGACTTCTCAGAGCCTTTCCTATGCCAACAAAGGGTGGGGATCAATAAGGGAAAGAGTGCAGCACTTCCCAGATATTTGGCAAAACAACTCCTACTTCCCTCTCCGTGGGGCCACCTTGCGGGTTGCTATGCTCTGAGGACCACACGGACTTGGTGCCTGTAGTGGTTGGCGTGGATCTAAAACAACACTGATTTCCAGACCTATTTGGCTGGGTCCGCTCTCGCCTCTTACAGAAATTAATCCTTTATTGTTGAAGAGTTTTATTTATTGTGTTAATCGCAAAAAGTTCAACCAGAGGCCACTACTGTTACAAACTCCAGACATTCATATTCGGCACTACCGAATTGCTAAGGCTGGGCAGGGAGGAAGCCTGTTGTAACTTTGGTTATCAGATGGACCTGGATTTAAAAGCCAATCCAGCCATTTACTCATGTCATCCTGGGCCAAAGGCTTCACTTCGAGCCTCAGTTTGCTGAGTAAAATGGGACGGAGACCCATAACTTGCAGAATGGTTATGAACATCACGGGAGACAATGCAGAGAAAGCACCAGCACCCTGCACACACGAGACCGTCAGCAAACGTGTTCCTTCCCCGCCTCGCATCTCTGTCTTATCTGTTCCCTCTTGTGGGCCGAGAAACAGTCTACTAATTAGTTCTGCAGCATTTCCTTTGTTCTAAAACCTCTTTCAGAGCACAAGGGCTCTCTGGTCCCTTGTGCTGGAGGAGGCCGAGGTATGGGAAGGCAGCTGGCTTCCCCTCGTTTCACACGTGAGGGTTTAATAGACTTTTGATCAGATTCTCCTCAGCCTTTATCTCCCGAGGAGCCTTCCTCCTTCCCATCTGTCTTCACATTACCCTCGGCCCAAGCTCTGGCACTTCTCTGATCATACGAACAGCAGAATTACAGGACAGTTGGGCTGCTAATTTGGGCAGATCTGGGTTCAAGTTGACTCTGACACGTCTTGCGTGACTTTGGACACACCCCTTGACCTGTCAGAGCCTCCATTTTCTCACCTCTAGGAACCCTCCCCTATTTTCTGGAGGGACAGGTACTAATCGGATGGACGACAACGACACACTAGGCAGGCCACCCACCCACACACCGCGGTCCCTGAGATGAAGCTCTGTCCCGAGACCCAGCAGATGGCTTTCCTTCCCCAAACTCCAGCTGTGGCCACCAGGGCCCCCAAGTCTTCTCCGGCCTCAACTCTAATTCCTTCGTCTGCCACGATTCCTGCCAGGCAATCCCTTGTTGTACCTGAACATTCGTACTTTTTCTGATTCGCAGCTGGATCTTCAAACGCGCTGTTTGTTGACTCCTCTCCTTGGTCTCTCCCCCCCCCACCGGGTGGCTTGCTTCAAGGCCCACCTTTTAACACTTACTTACCTGCGAAGCCTTCCAGAGTAGAACAAGCCACTCCTTTAGGCCATTACAACCCCGCGTTTGTCCTCAGTAACAACCCAGAGCCCCGTCCGCTGCCTGCCTCTCCCACAAAGATTCAGCTCCTCCAGCTGTACCACTTTCTGGCTGGGTGGCCTTGGGTGAGTCCGTTCATCTAACCTTAGTTTCTTCATTTATAGAGATGAAAACCTTTTCCAATTAAAATATTTTTTTAAATTAATTTTTACAGAGAGGGGAAGGGAAGGAGAAAGAGTGGGAGAGAAACATTAATGTGTGGTTGCCTCTCATGTGCCCCTTACTGGGGACCTGGCCTGCAACCCAGGCATGTGCCCTGACTGAGAATCGAACCAGCAACCCTTTGCTTCACAGGCCCGTGCTCAACCCACTGAGCTACACCAGCCAGGGCTGAAAACCCTTTAAATTCAAGGAGTTTCAGGTCTGTGAGAGGTCCCAACACAGAGCAGGCACCTCAGTCACTGCTGGTTCATGAATCCGAGCAGTTTGAAGCGATGCCCCTCTGCCAGATCCTCAGCAAAAGGAACTGGGGTGGGGTCAGCTACAAGCAGCCACAACAGATGTGCGGGCATGAGCCAGCTCCTTAGGACACCCCACCGCCCCCCCCTGAATGCCAGACAAGCTTCACAGACAAATGCCATGTGCAGGATTCACATTTATTGGTTCAAATACAGTACCTAACATTTTCTAAACATGCATTTCACACTAATTGGTCACATTTCCACAGGTAGTCAATTCACAGAAAAGGGCCCATCCCTCGCTGGTCGGCAGGGTGGGAGGTAGCAGAGGGCCCGGGCAGCCTGCAGCGCTCGCCAACTAGCGTCTGGTCGTGCAGGGCTGATGGAGCCAGGCTGGCAGGAAGCCCTTGGCCGGCCCTTTGGGGACAAGGGCTCAGACATCCGTTCACTTGATTCCTACACAGGACTGTGGGTAGAGGTGGATCTCGGACACGTAGCCCAGGGGTCAGCTTGGGGATACACGTGCCACCAGGGTCCCCGATGGTAGGGCTGTGCTTCCTGCGTCTTGGATGGTAGAAGGGAAACAGAGGCCCCTTCAGGGGGCCGCTTGTCACAGGCCGGGCAGGTGTGAAGGACTGCTGAGATGCGGCCCAACATCACGACGCACCCACAAGCCCCTATCACAGGCCTGGGATGGCAACACAGACCAAAACTCCAACGCCCCACGCAGGAAGGGCTTCTCTCCCGATGGAAACATGGAAACAGAGCAGGAGCTACGACGTTTTCCCCCACAGGATTTCTCAGAGAGGAATCGACCAGGATGTCACTCAAGAGGTAGTATTTTTTTGTTTTTCATGGAAATTTGAGTCAACAACATCATCACCTATTATAAAACATTTCAGAGGAAGGAATAACGATCACAAAAGGGCAAAAATTGATACTTTGGCTGGCAGGGCTGGCTCCAGGACTTGGAAGACTAGCTTCTACCAGTAACACAACTTTTCTCTTGGGCTTGGAGCAAGCTGTGGTCCGACTCACAGCTTCTTTTTGAGCCTGTGAATGATTCCCGAGCTGGCTGCGGCCCATTAGGGCTGCAGGCCAGACAAGAACTGGATTGGGCAGAGGGACCAGGAATCTTATGTGTGGGCAGAAGCAGGGTCGCTGTGGCTCATGTCCCAGGCCAGTCAGTTGTCAAGTCTCTAGGTAGCCCAGGAACGGCCCCAGAGGAAGCCCCAGCTTGCCCCGGCCCCGGAGTGCTCCGTGGGGCTCCAGCCTCTGAGGAAACGGTCCAGGTTTGGCTCCCAAGCCCAGAAAAGAAGCTACTGCTCGTGGTGGCCAAGAGAGGGGTTTCTGGGGACCCTGTAATTAAATACACATCCCTGAGCTGTGGCCCTAGAAACCCTCGCCTCAAGGCTGACCAGTTCCCAGCACCTGGTGGAATGATCGCTGGTTCTCATCCCGAGACACAGACAAACATCATTCACAGACACTGGATAGAGATCTAGCTTCAAGTTGAGGAAAATGGGAAGAACGATCAACTGCAAAGGCAGAGGGGCGTGCAGGGGAGGCTCATAGGTCATTTGGGGAAAGTAAGGGTAGTAATTTTTTTGTTTAGTTTTTTGTTTTTGAGATTTTTTTTTTTTACTTTAAAAAATCAATAAAGAAAATAAAAGGGCTGGTCTAAAAAAGACTGGATTTCTTAAAACAATTGCAACAAAATTCAAACAAGGAAAAAAGACATAAACCAGGGGCTCGGAGGAAGAGACTGGGAACCACTGCTCAGCTTCCTGACCTACAGGGAGACCAGGGTCCCTTTACTTTAGCCAACCTTGGACGTGACCTAGGGGTTGCCCACGCTAGGCTCGCCTGTCTGTCTGTCCCGCTCCCCAGAAAATCAAGAAGGAACAAACTACAGTAAGAAATGGGTAGCGGAGCAAGGGTGCAAGCTCAGAGAGCCCAAGGGTTCTAAGGCCCTGGTGACACATAGCAGGCAGTCATCTCCCTGAGAAAGGAGGTGGCAGGTAAGAGGCAGGCTGGCGTGGAGTGGGTGGCTGTCAGTATATGCCACGGAGGCCCTCGGTCCCCTCTATTCTTTCTCTGGTTCTGGAGACCAGGGCAGGGAGGCTCCTGCCTGCTGCCTTCTGTCCCTCACTCGTGGGTTGGGCATGGAGACTGGGTATCTGTCCTTTGAGCCAGGTCGAGTGCTTTCCGGCAGGTTCTGGGGAGTTTCTCCAGACCAAGGTCAAGACCACCAAACCATGTGAAAGAATCCAAAAATCTACAAAGGAGCCAGAGAGCCTAAGTTGTAGGTGAAGTTCCAAGATTGCAAATTTTTGTCTTGGGTCAAGAAAACATTCAGAGGGAAAGGAAGGGGAAGGCCTGTATGTTTCAATGCAGTGCAAGGAGGTGGGATTCTCCTTGACCACCAGCTTTCAGGGTCATCTTTTTGTGGTGGAAAAATTCTCACTCAGAATGAGTGCTGTCAGCGGCAGGAGATCAGAGAGAGGACAGAGGAGAGGAGAATGTAGAAACCACACGCACAACTTTTTTTCTTCTTCCACTAGCAAAAAGGCTACCTGTTAACCAAACATTATGGGAAGAAAGGCAAAAAACAAACACACCAAACCTCCCCCTCCAACCTTTCTGTGTCCTTCAAACCAAATTCGCAAACACATCTAGTGGCTGACCTAATGTCTCCACGCTGCTAGCTACACTCCTACCACCTCCTCATAATACCTGAGTTTGCAATGCAACACATTCATTCTACCCTGTTTAAAAAAAGCCCACGTCATAAAAGGACTGGGTGCAGAACACATTAAAGGCGGTCCACAGGTCAGGCTCTGGCTCAGAACACACGGCCACTTGGCTCGGAGATTCTGCAGGGCACTCGGCAATGAATGGGCTCTTTGTTCCGTGGAATCTGCTGCAAACATTTGTAAAGATGGATTTGTACAATGGCAACTTGCAGAACCTTTCCCGCACTCCACAAATTAACAACTTGCTCTGTTTAATGCTGCATTATTGGAGAGACATGTTCTTGCCTCATCAGAGAGCAATTTCCTTTGATACCCAACCCACTGACAAAATGCGTAAGAGAAAAGCCATTTCAAAAAATAATAATTGGACAGATGGAGGTCTAAGCAGAGAAAGATGGTGCACACAGGAGCCGTCTTGGAGAAGGGTCTCTGATATTTGTCTCTTCCCCACAGTGAGGAAAGCAGTTGGAGTCTGACCTGTAGCCAAAGAATGTGGTCTAGATGGTTAAATAAAACATCCAGGGAAACAAAACTATTGTGAACTGAGAAATAAACAGTTACACACAAAAAACTTCCCATTGATATGTGAAACAAACTCTGATTAGAGCTCTTCCTGAGAAATGCATCTCTTCCTTCTTTCTTGGAGCAGTCAGGGAAATGGCACTGAGGAATAATGCTCTGCTTTAGATCCATCAAGGGACAAAGTCATCACTCTGCTGGTACCCGTAACATTTCAGTGGGAAGAGAGAATTACAGTCTGACACAGACGACCGGTCTGCACACGATGTGGCGGCAACCGGGCCAGTCTGCCAGGCCAAGCCGGAAGAGAGCAAACGGTCTTTGACTAAAGAGGCAAAAGGAGGTGCTGTAGGCTCCTCAGGCCCACCCAGGATGCACCCCTCTCAGTGGTCTGTCTGCTGCGTTGGCCATCTGGGGCCCCTGGGTGTAGGCAGGAACAATGGCTGTAGTAAGGCAGAGAAGGGAAAAGTACCCAAAAGAGTTCCAAGACGGGTATGGAGTGGCTGCTGTCCAGAGCCAAGAGGGCCAGGAACACTTCCCAGGACCAGGTGGGGCAGGTAGTAAAAGAACAAGGGGTCCGGGAGAGGGGGCAGCCAAGCCCTTGGGAACATGAGGTAGTTTAAGGCCCCCCCTTCCCTTTCCAGGTGCTCGGGACTCCAGCCTTCCAGGCCACGGTCAGCCAGGCTACTGATAAGCTAAGGGGCGGGTGGGCCACTCTGGACCTTGGACTCTCTGTCTTGAGAAATCCTGGTCTCGTTTTGGAGAGATTAGAAGAACTCACAGTAGAAAGTAAAGGCGAAAATTCTGATCAGTAGAATGTAACGGTCCTTTCCACTGTGTGAAAAAGACTGCAGGTTTTGGAGTCAGTCTTGGGGTGGGACAGAGAACTCCAAAGGAGGAGTGCTTGTTCTTTCAGTCGGGACTTTGCTCCAGTACCCCTTGAAGCAAGGTGATAGGAAAATAAATCAGTAGTGGGCACCAGGACTCAGAGCACGACGTTTTGTTTAGCTGTTTTTTTCAGAGGGCCAATAGGAAGTCAAATTGATAAGGGAAAGGCAAAGGCAAACTTACGAGGGACAGATATCTAAGGCAGGCAGGCCTCGGTAGACCCAGGCAAGGAAACGAGGTAGCCTGCAGACAAGTCCCAAGGATTGCCTTATTGCCAGGACTCTGACCGTGGAGAAACTGACCGTGGTGGGTCTGACGGTGGGGCAGGGGTCCCACAGCGTGGTATGGGAACAGAAAGCCTTCTCCCTGAGGCCTTGTTTGGAGGAAGGACGCCTAACTTCGGCTTGGTCAGTGTGCCCCGCTCTCTCCACTTCCACGCTTTCCAAAGGAAAGAGAGGGCTTATACCCTCATCTCCTGCCTCTTTCACACTGCCTCACCCGCTCCGCTAGGTAAACCTCCTAACACCACTTTGCCCTTTTACGGTGTGTGCTTTTTCCCTGTTAGTTCTGTGGCTAGAAAAAGGCAGTTTGCTCTCTGACAGACGAACGTGAGTCTGCTGAGAACAGGTGGGAAAAGTAGGGATGGCCGCACCCCTCCTTTCCACTGAGGTAGTCGTCTTTGTTAACATTTATGGAAATAGTCATCTCAGCCCCATCCCACCCTCCCTCAAAATACAAAAAAGAACTATCTTTAAACAATGACAACACTGTAACATTAAACATCTTCACATTCTGTAAACTGCAAGGAAATGCATCGGCTGCATTCACACAAAAGCATGTGCATCGTGTTGAAGGCCATACATTCAACTCTGTCGTGAAATAAATATATAGAAAAATGAGCTTAAAAAAACAGACAAACAAACAAACACTCTTCTTGCTATGGAGGCGACCGGGAATGCTGCTCCACAGCCTCCATCTTGGTCTCTGGCTCCTTCTTCTGGAGCCTGTCCTGCCCACCCGCGGCTCTGCGGTTGGCCTGAGGAGGGGCACCAGGACAGGTCACTCCTTGACCACACTTGTCTTGCAGGAATGCAGCACCACCTTAAAGAGGAGCGGCAGCTGCTCCAAGGGTACATTCACCATTTTTCCTGGGAACAGGTGGGAAAAAAAGTTAGCAGTGGCTACTAGTGGGAGAGCGTGTTCCTCTCTTTATGAGCTGGAGGAAGGAGAATGCGGCCTGAGTGGCTGGGGCAAGGAGAGTGCCAGGAGTATCACAGAGACAGACAGACGGGGCTGATGTCGTGATACCCAGGCCTGTTTTGGTGCCCGAGGGAGCCTAGCAATAGTGCAAGTTCTACTCATTGCTATTATCCACGGAACATGTACTCTGTGCTAGGTGTTTAAATGTATTATCTCATTTAATTCTCACAATATTTCTGTGTGACAGATATTACTTTTTTATCTGTTTTCTTTTCCCCCCTGATAGATTCTCTAACTGGCATTCTATAAAAATTGCTCTGCATGGTAGTATAATGGGTTAATAAAAGTATTGAGGAAAAAAGGAAGTGAGAGTGCCACAGGGGCAAACCAACTGAGAATTTCAGGGCTGGAGGGCGCACAGGTGTCTGCACTGGAGGACTTCTCAGAGCACGAAGAGCCACCGTGAATATCGGGGGCGGTGCTTCTCCCTGACAGTGCCTTAGAGTCACCGGTGAGTGTGAACAAAATCCCGATGCCCTGCACCCCCCATACCAATCCCATCAGAATCTCTGGGGGTGCAACCCAAGCACGGACATTTTTTAAAAGCCTCCCAGGTGATTCCAGGTGTTGCCAGGGCGGAGAACATGGCTCTGGCAAGGGGGTATAATTACTGACCTCCCTTTATTTCAGAGATCACATGATGAGTATCTCATTTGGCAGAACAGCACTTTGAAAATGCTGAGACAGAAATATCAGAATGCCCCCAAAATTCCAATAGCTGAGGCCCAGTTCACACCTGCTAGATTACGGTGGGCCCAAAAAGTAGAATAAAAATTCCTTTGTCAAACTGAAAAATTTTTGCCTTCAAAATTGTACTGCTGAATCTGACGAGAACAATCTCTGTGCAGAGGCTTCGTTTCTGAGCTGCCCTTCAGTAAGTGCTGGGTAACTGTGAACAGTAATCTTCACCAAACAAAGTAGAGCAATGATAACTAAAGCTAGAATCCTTATTTAAATGGGCCCATTAAAATGTCAAGCGGCTCGGCAGGAGTCAAGACCAGAAAAAAGAGAACAAAACTTCTTTTGCAGGCATAGAACTGGGGAATTATTTTAAAGATACCACTTTAAATGAATGAGCCCCTAAAACTTATAGGCAATTCTATGAAATGAAGTTAATTTTTTAAATTGAGATAACGTTAATTCACATAACATAAAATCCACCCTTTCATTGCACCCAGTTCAGGAAATGAGGTTAACCCGAGAAGCTTCGAGCCTGCTTCCCCAGGTACAGAATGGCCGCAGCATCACCGACCACCAGGCCTGCAGAGATCTGTCCTGAGGTTAATGACTTAAAGCCACAAGGTGCCCGGCACATCACAGGTGCTCAGGAAACGTTAGATTCTCTTCTCTACAAAGAAAAGTGAAACTTCTCGTTGTAGCCTAACTTTTCTGAGGGCAAGGGTAGTTAGTACTGCTTTTATGCACTTGGTCATGGGCTTGGAGTGAGCATCCTGAAAACACTGCTTGACTCATTTTCTTCACTAGCTACAAAAAACGAGAGTTGGAAACCTAGCACCAAGAATGTTACCTGCAATATACCGAATCTCGGGTAAGCACATCATGAGGTCAGGAAAGCGGTTGGGTTGGTGTGTGTATTTATATTCAGTGAAGTCCTGGCAAATGTACCAATATCGCTTGTTCAACTGTTCCAGCTGTGAGGCACTGGTCAGACCCCTGATGTCTGCGGAGAAAACCACACAGGAAATGGGAGGGGCTTTCTAATGTGGAAGAAACACCAACTCCTCAAATAGGTGCACAGTTCAACGAAAAGTTATTAAACGTTATTACAGCAAGGGATCTTTTCTCTTCCTGATGCAGAAGAACAAAATTTTAGATCAGGGAAGAGAAATCAGATAAAGAAGGAAAAAATTATACAAGACAGTCAGTCACTAGACGGAGCCCCCAGCTCCCAGCACAGGGCCTGATACGAACAGGCACCGGTAGATGCTGAACAATTAACCAAGTGAATAATCGACCTTTCCTAACCCATCCTTCACAGCACCTTCAGATTTGCCCTTTGCGGGTACCTACACGTTCATGCTTGTACATGTACTCCTGTGGTCTCCTGTGTGTCTGCTCATACTACTCTGTGACATCACTCCACTTTTTCCTACTAATTATTATAGAGTTCTGTCTCTCTCTCTGATCTCCTCACACACAAACTACTACCCCTTTTTTATACACAGAATCTGGATGTTCTACATATAAATATTACCCAGTCTTTGAGACCCAAATCAGATTTCTCCTCTCCTACGTAGTTGCTACTGATCTCCCCCCATCTGAGGCGCAAGTAATGTGTCATGTGACATCAAAATATATTTCTTGACGCCAGGGACCTGGAATCTGCTTTTCGATGTTCTGAATGCTCACCACAGGCCCAGGTCTAGGGGAGGCACATGAAATGCCAGATAAATGCACGAACAGTGCAGAGGCCTGAGGAGGAGGTCCGGCCACTGCGGGGGAGGAGAAAAAAAGAGGAGGGGACAGACAGTTTCTGGACGAGGCAACTAAATACAGGACAGATCACTTTTCATGTCACAGGCAGCAAAACAGTTCTCCAAGAGCAGAGCGCTCGTATGCTACTTTGGGGGAAAAATACAAATTCTCCTTCCTACTCTGGTCACCAGCAGCTACCAAGCACCACTTTGCAGGCAACACTCCACATCAGCCCTGTTCAGCGAACTTCTGATTAAAAGCCGTGCTTGATGTGCATGTGTGAGCTCTTGTGCACCCCCGCTCTGGCCTGAAGGGGCCGTCAGAACCACTGCCAGCCTGTCACGGAGGCCTTATCTCCAACAGTTTCATCACTCTGCTCTTCTTCAGTCACTGGTAAACTTGGTACACATTTTAAATGACGCATGTACTGTCCTTGATGTCTGCGTTTAAATGCATTGAAACTGACTAAACAAAGCGAATCCTCTTTCTTCCACTATGAGTTATAGAGACTGTGGCATTTACGTTTGAAGAAAAAACCCAGAGCGTGCCCTGCACCATGATGATGAGGGAAGCACAGGCCTTCCATGCCCGGCATCTATGTGGTGTGCCACATTCTGTGTGGCAGTCCCGAAGGTAAAGGGGGGGGCGTGAAACATGAGGGGAAATGTTCACAGCAAAATGGGCCCATTCTTCCCATACCGAAGCCACTCACCTTGATTTAAGAAGTTAATTGCTTTCATGCACGCATACTCCTCATTGCTGACCTTCAGCTGATGGAACTTGTGATACAAGTAGATGAGCCGCTCGATCACCTCCATCCCTTCATCACTAAATCTGGGGAACAGACGGAGCTGTTAACCATGGGCTCTGAGAACAGCAGAGGTCAGGGAAAGGAAGACCAAGATTTCTGACAGCTTAAGGCATCTAACAGGAAAAAGGCTCAGGTTGGGGGAAATGGAATCCAGACTGTGAACAACAGTTGGGTCCATGGTTTGTCAAGGGGCCCAGCAGGTCACTCATACAAGCTGCTGTGCCCAAGATCAGGTAGGGTCGATCAAAAAGCCAGTTCCATCACATAAAGCTATGGAGACCTTGGGGAAGTCATATGACCCCTCTAAGCTTTGAGGTCCTCCTCTGTACAATAATGCTTGACCGCTTGGGGTAACAGGGGCTCCTAAGGAGGTTTGGGATGTGAATGTGGAAAAATATGCCATCATTAATATCCTGCTATTGTAGAGGTACAGCTTCAGTGTCAGTGGCAGCTGCCATGGTGACTCCATGCACGCCTCTGCCACAATGAATAGAAAGCTGCTGATTGTATTTTCCAGGTTCACTGTTTCTAGCAGGGCTAAGGTTATGCAGTGAAAATTTTTATTGACTTTAGCTAAGGAAGGAGGGACACATGAAAGTCTCTGTGCTGGGCACTTTATGTGTATTATCTCATTTAATTTTCTCAGCCCTATGGTAGGTGACTTATCATTACCACTATACAGATAAGAAACCTGAAGTTCAAAGAATAGAGGGGACTGGTCCATAGCATTTAGCTAGGTGATGGCAGAGCTAGAACTTGGACCTGGGGCTAATTCCCCAAGGCCTTGGTTTTCCCAATATCCAAGGTGGCATATCACAGCAGAGAAGGCTCAGTGCTTCTATCTTTGGATTAGAAGTAAGCTCCTTGAGGAAAGACCAAGTTTTTAGGCAAAAGAGCACCAAGCTAGAGGACTAATACTCTGGGTCACAGTGGGGAATGTCTCATAACAGAGATGGAAATATCACCAAACTAAGGAGGCAAAAGCTTAGTGGGGAAGTAGGAGTTTATAAAAGCTGGGGCCAGGCCCAGTCTCCCCCCTCCTAAGAGTGGGCCAAGGAGAGTTCCAGACGGGTCTTAGATACAGCTCAGTCACAGAGATGTTCAACCCAGGGCTGCTTCCTGGTGATTATGTTCAGATCTGGGGAACGAACATAATGGTACAGCCCTGTGCCAGGCAAGAAGGCCCTAACTAGGTAGGGTCCAGAACACCTGGGCATCTTTACTGCCTTCTGCATTGACCTCGTAGGCTTTGCGAGGTCCTGGGGAGAGCCTGGCTGGGACTAGAGGTGCCTGGACTTCTCAAGCACCAGGGGGAGCCACAGAGACAGCTCCTTCCCCTGGAGCCCAGGCCCTCTGCCTCCAGGTCTGGCGCCCAGTCAGTCTGAGCTCAGGCTGCTTTCTGTCAGCTGATTTGAAGTCTGAGGGCTGACTCTGTTTTTCTCTGCTCCTGGCCCAATGGCTTTTTACAACTATATGGTATTTTCCCAGACTGGCTGGTAAGACAAATTTATATTGAAAAGCCACTATAAATAAATGTATCAGCTACTGCACCACTGGTGGAGTGTTTGCTGCTTGCCAGGCACTTTGTTAAATAGTCTACACACGTCGTTCCACGGGATACTCCCGACAAATCCCCCAAATGGATGTCATGTAATCCTCTTTGTTCACAGGTGGAAGCAAAGGCCGACGGCTACTTCTTGGGTCCCTGCTGCATTCTCACGCTTCAGCCTCCTGGTAACTTGTGAGGCAAGCGCATCGCCTCAGGGTGAGGGTGAGGAAGGAGAAGAGGGGCCTTCCCCAGGGTTACACATAAAGGCACGGTGCTGCGCTAAGGTTTAGGTCGTGTTTTCTAATTCCGAGCCTGTTGCTTTCTTAGCACTACCGTGTCTGCTCCCTGACTGCATTGCTCTCGACCAGCAAGTGCGGGAGGCTACCACACGCCACTGCAGGGCACCTTGGGGGCCCTCTGTTCCCACAGGGACTGAGGCAGGGCCCGACCAGAGCTGCCCTGTAGGCTCCCGTGGTGTCGAGACTTGCAGGAGGCAGGGTCCCTGGGAGGGATGAACCCATCTCATCACGGTACTCAGTTGGCTACTTCTGTTCTTGAGAGGAAAGGGTCTTCAGTGCAAATTCCCTCTAGTATCTGCTTGGGGGGGTGGGGTAGGGTATAAAAAAGGAGGGGTAAGGTGGAGCAACAGTGTCAGCTCCTGTCATCTGGTGGCTGAGCAACCAGTGTAGCAAGTGAAGATAACACTGTCTCCCTTAATCAGCAACCTCTCGCCCAAGAGCCCGCTCTGGCGCTATAGAACCTGCAGGTGTGTGGCTGTCAGCCAGACCCCCCAGCCAGGACTGCCGGCCTTGTTCCTGGTTAAGTCTTGACCCGAGAGACACAGATGAGCTCCCAAGTGCCTGGCCTGAGTGCATGCCCCAACTCTGCCTTTTCTCTGGGGAAAGCACGTATCTCTTTTCCAAATTTCTTAGGACAGGCCACCATCACGGACGAGGCGATGGCGGGGGGGATGGCAGCCAGCCCAGCAGCCCCCACTCAGTATCCACAGGCTGACTGCAAAGCTTTCCTCCACAGCCCGCATCCCACCCCTTGATAAACAAATTGTTCTCTGTTCCACGGGCTGGCTTTCTCCTGCAGCCGTGCCTCCTCCACATCTGCTCGCTCCACAGTTCCAACGCCCCTGTAGTCTCTGTCTACAAATTATCAGCATTCAAAGCCAGAAAGTTGGACAAACACACCCATTCTTCTTCTGGGTTCCCATTACACAAGCATGCTAGGACAAGGAAAACATTCCTGCCAGGACCCCCAAACCACTGGACCATTCAGGCAGCGACTGGAGCTGACACTGTAAGTTATGTGCCACGAAGGGGGCCGGGAGGCCCGGTTGTCTCTTCTTCATTCATCTGCGGGCACTCGCGCTCAGAGGCAGTCATCGGCCCCAACCTTCGGGCAGCTGCCCCCTCACACCACATACAGACTCCGAGATGAGAAGTGAGACTGCGGCTCCGGGCCGCTTTCCAGGAAGTTACACCTCTGAGGAGGCCAAAGCATCCAGTGCAGAGCAATGGCAGAGGGAATGCGGTCTGGAGCACAGGAGACCTAGTTCAACTCCATCTCTTTCCAGCTTTGTAACCTGGAGTTTGCACCTCTCTGAGCCTTGTGCTCCTCACCTGAGGAACGGGGATAACAGTGGTGCAGTCTCTTAGGGTGGTGGTGAGGACTAAAATAATGTTTGTAAAGCACTTGGGATGGAATTTGGCACAATAAACAATCTATAATTCTTAACAACTATCATTATTAATAGCATCAGCACCATTACTCCCATTACCACAGCACAAAAAAAGAAAGGAAAAAAAAGATTGTGTTTCCTAAACATTAAAGCTAGGGTATGAGCGGGAGCGCTGGGAGGGAAATTTCCAGAGATCTGGCAGAAAGGCAGCTCGTGCTCCTGAGGTGCAAGTGCCCATTAAAGCCCATCTAGTTAGTGCAAGGCATCTTCTCCTGAGAGTGAAGGAGTCTTGATTAGGGCCAGGAGCAGTCGCTGGCTGGTGCTACAATCTGCTTTAAATCAAATTCACCCAGCTCACTGTCTGATAACAGCCTGATTAAGGAAAATGGGCACCATAAATTTGATTCAATATTTGAGAAGAGAAAAGGAGGTGGTCATGCATCATCCGGGAAAAGCCTTTTTGTGACAGCAGGAGCTCACTTGCACTCAAGAGTGTGAAAAAGTAAAGGCATTGGGGGGGGCGGGATCGTACAGAAGCGGACAAGGTAAGAAAGAGCTACGGCCAGTTCCAGACTCCACACCCTGGGTTTCTAGTAGCGAGGGGACTGCTTCCCAGTGACGAACCTGACTCCAGGGGTTCTCAGAGGTCCATTTCCTCTGACTCTTGGGCACTTCCACACGCACCTCAGACCCAACAGACCCCAAATCAAATTCAGAGTGGCTCACCTCTCAGCCTGTTCCCCCCCCGGCCCCACTATCTTGACTAGGAGATTGGTGCCCACCTGCTGGCAGCACCTCCGACTCATCCGCCTCCTTGCCCTTTCCTAACTTAGTGCTGCCCTGTCCACTCCCAGTCACCGCTGCCTTGGCCGGGCCTTGTTTACTTTCGCCTGGACTAAGGAACAGCCTCCGACCCAGACAGCCCTCTGGCGTCGTCCCTGCCAATCCGTCCCGAGCTTTACAGCTACAGGGATCTGCCTGACATGTGACCCGACTGCGTAATCACTCCATTTAAAAGTGTCCTAGGACGTAATAGTACTTACACAATAAAATACAAGTTCTTTGGATTTTAGGCATTTGAGCACCTTTGTGACCTGTCTTTTCTGTCCCTTTCTCTCCAGTCATCCCCCCCCTCATTTCTGCCTCAGATACATTCTCTCTGTACCCTACTCCGCAGGACTGCTTTTGGTTCCCTGCACAAAGCAACCATCCAAAGATCTCTAACTTCCAGGACTTTGTGTTACTCTCATGCCTTCCTCCTGTTCTCTATAATCTACCAAGAAAAATCGCATTTCGAGATGCAGCTCAAATCTTTTCTTCTGACGAGTATTCTTTGATAAAGCAAATAGAGGCCCTCACTCCCTAGCCTATGCTTAAGTCCCCCACATGCCCCTCCACCACCACCAAAAATATCACCCTAGACTGTAGACTGTGTATCTGTACCTATGTGTGTTCCAACACCCTGAACCAAGACTAAGGACTCGCATTTCAGAGTCAGAAACCACGTCCGCACCGCCTGTCATCCCAACCCCCACTCCCGCCAACACACAGAACGTGCTCAGGAAACGGGCGTGGAATCAGAACTAACGTGGTAAGTCTAACTCACATTTTCCCATTGAAGGCTTCCATAACTGAGTAAGGGTCCTAACAATAAATCTCTTTCTTTTTTTTAAATTAAGAGTTTATGTATTTATTTTTAGAGAAGGGAAGGGAAGGAGAAAGAAAGAGAGAGAGAAACGTCAATGTGTGGTTGCCTCTCTTGTGGCCCCCACTGGGAACCTGGCCCTCAGCCCAGGCATGTGCCCTTTGGTTTGCAGCCTGCACTCAATCCATGGAGCCATACCAGCCAGGGCCAAATCTATTTCTTATCCTTGAACTCACCTGAGAGCTCAGCAGCAACATGTGTTGAGTCATATTTGTTCAAAAGAACTTACCGTGATGATGGAAATAGTCTATATCTGCACTGTCTGATATGTAACCACTAAGTACATGTGGCTACTGAGCACAAGAAATGTGGCTGGTGCAAATGAAGAATTGAAATTTTAGTTTTAATTAACTTTAATTAAATTTAAAAAACCACCTGAGACTAAAGGCTACTATATTGGACAATGCAGCTCCAGATTTTCCTTGGTAAAGAACCTTCCTAGGAAATACAACTTTCCTCACTTACTCAGCTGTTACTGGGCTCTGCCTTGCTCTTGGGGTACACGGAATTAGATACAGTGAGTGGGGTGCCTTACAAAGGTCAAAGCCACAGAGAGCCCTGGATGACCAGTGATCCCTACCTACCTGTAGAAGGCTCAGGAAAACCGGTCACTTTAGAGGGAGTGAAACCCACAGGCTGCCTTTGTAGGCAGTCCGGGGCGCACTAGGGGATTCCAGACAAAGAGGGAGGCTGGGCTCACTGGGCCAGCTCCGCGAACCCTGACAATATTAGAGCCGGCTAACTGCTATCCAAACACGCCGTCAGCCCAGAGTTACAGAGCAGGAGACAGGAATTTGATGGAAACAATGAATTAGAGGCCCAAGACAAGGGGTTAGGTCATTTGCAAAATCAGATAGCTCTGTTTACAGGACAAAGTGTCAGCTGGGTTCAAAACTCTGTCATTTATAGATCGCCCTGAAGCCAGTAGGCATCACTAAAAAGGAAATATTAGAAAACCAGGGGAGAGTCAACACCCAGACTCCTCCTTCCCTCAGCTGTGCACGGGGCCCTTGAGGGTCTCAGAGCTGTGCTCTCAGCCTAAGTCTCGGCGTGTTTTTATGCCATGTGACTGGGCGCCAGAGGGAGACACGCCCCAGTCCTGTGTAGACAAGTGTGAGCATTCCACCCTCTCTAGCTTTCATTGCTGGGCGTGTATGTTTTTTTCCCTCTTTCTTGGTGCTCTGGAATCCCAAGATTACCACCATTTTATATTGTCCAATAAAGGTGAATTATTTAAATAGCTATTTAAATGTTGCTTTAAGCTTTAGTTTTCATATGGTAAGGTTAGTAAGCCAAAAAAGTTGTATCGGCAGGTCACTTGCCCCGACTCTGGGTGGCACCATGTGCTCCAGGTCTCCAGAGTGAGTGTTAAAGACCTGCTCTACACAGGGAGGTCAGAAGGATGCCGGCCGGCTGGGACGAGACTCCACGCTAGAAAACGTGGGGGAGAACAAGTCTCCTAGTCCCCTGCTCTTACTATCTCACTGCAGCTCAGATGCTTGTAAAAACGCTTAAGGCTGTGCAGTGGGGCAGGCACAGGTTCAAATCCAGGCTCTGGATTCAAACGCAAAAACCCTCAAGGGCAGAGCTCTCTCTGAACTTTAGTTTTCTCATCTGTATTACAGGCATAACCATAGCTATAATGCTGGAGGCTACAGTAAACAAGTAAGACAACCATAAAGTACTGAGTCCAATGCCTGGAACACAGTAGGTACACCACCATGAGTCCTGGGTCTTGCTCTCAGATTGTAAAACTGTACCTTGGAGCCCCTCACTTTATAAGCTAAGTTTGGATTTCTGTTTTTTCCAGATATGTCATCTTACCTCAGTAATCCAGATGTGATAAAAACAACAGCTCAGCACTCTGCTAAGCTTCACTGCACAATATCATTTGCTTCTCTCAACTGTCTTGTTGGGGAGGTTGTTATTATCCCATTTGTTACTTGTATTGCTGTTATCCCATTTTATAAATTCAGAACCTGAGGATCAGAGACTTGACCAAGGCCACAAAGCTAGTCAGTGGCAGAGTAGGGTTTTTAATGCCCATCCTCGGGTGTCAGCAACCCTGCTGCCTTGCAGGGATGACAATGGACTGGTTGCTTGGGAACGCCTCCTTAGCCAGCGGTCCTTACCTGTGTAGTTCTTCATCAGAGGGTGAATACTTGGCAGTGACATCAGCCAGCTCCCCAAAGATCTGCTTGCTGTAAACGGTGAGTGAGGAGAGCAGAATTAACTCCTGCCATGTGGAACTCAGGAGGCACGTGTAGTCTTTGATTGAGAGCTCGCAGAAGAAAGGCAGCTTCCTGATCCAGGCAATCTGCCTAAAGAGCAGCTCGTCGGCCAGGCGGCAAAGCAGGGCGAACAGCTCTGCCTGGGTCACAGTGTACCTAGAGGGTAGAGACAGGGGCAAGTCACTTCCAGTGGCCAGAGGGTGAGGATGGGGGCACCGGGAGAGGAAAATCCTAAGGGTACAAAGGGTCTCTGGCAGTGAGCTCCTTGCCTGTCACCGTCATCTCCAGCTCCATTCAGTTCAGTCTGATAAAGGGGCAGGACTAGAGCTAGCAGCAAATGCAGGGCTGCAGAGGCGGGTTTGGTGAGAAAAGGGTGCTGAAGAGAAAGGAGTCTGAGAAGTTTGTGCAGTTATCAGGGAGTATGGCTTTTAAAGCTGGTGAATACTAGTGCTTCATGCGTTAGAAAAAACTCCCAGTCACTCCCGCAGTTGTTTTGGCAATGAGGGCTCCATTAGGGGGATCTGGTGCCCACCAAATACAGGGACTGGCAGAAAAATGAGCCTGGGGCCAAATGGCTGAAAAAGAACAGAACACATTCAGAAGCTGTTCCTGTTCTCACTGCGCCCCCTGGTGGTGACAGCTCAGGAACTGGAGTTAGAGTTGCTCAGCCCTTCTAAGCTACTGCAGGATTCAAAGAGCAGGGCATTCCTCATCTCTGGGCTGGATCTCAAGGCCCCTTGGTGTGGCTCTTCCTCTAACCCCTGTATCCAGATTTATAAAGTTTCTGTGTGGCCTTCTTGCAGATATATCTGAATTTTCTCTCTGAAATTAAGAATCTAGCTTAAGAACTCTGAGGGTCCTTTTTGGAATCTGAGGGTCTAAGTTCAGAAATAGTCAAATGGCATATGCTCCAGGACAAAGGAGTACTGGGTGCAGCAGTGGATGGGTCTAAAGACTGAACTATTATCTACGCAGGTCAAGCTAACAGAGGATTGAATGAGTCCTCCCTCCATCCACTGCACACAGCGCACATGGCACCAGGCCACCATGGCTGTGTTGGCTAGGGATGCAGGCAGGCTACAACCGGGTAGTGCCTTCAGTGTCTTGTTAAGGAGCCTAAACCTGATGTATGATTATCCCTAGAATAACAGCTCATCTCTGGCTCGGAAGTGCTCAGATCCATCCCACAGTTTGGTTTACGTAGGCCCAAGCAGAAACAAAATCCCTTTCTCCTAATTCCAAAGGGATTGATTAATAGCCCGAACTCTATGAGAAAAGATGTGCAGGAGAGCCCTGGCTGGTGTAGCTCAGTGGATTGAGCGCGGGCCTGCGAACCAGACAATCGAGGTTCGATTCCCAGTCAGGGCACATGCCTGGGTTGCAGACCAGTTCCCTGCAGGCCAGTTCCCAGCAGGGGATGCACGAAAGGCAACCATACATTGATGTTTCTCTCCCTCTCTCCTTCCCTTCCCCTCTAAAGATAAATAAATAAAAATATTAAAAAAAAAAAGAAAAGATGTGCAGGAGAAAAGTAAGGGACCACTGACTTCAAAGATAAGCCCACACTTACCCTCTGATGCTGAGTCATCACTCACTATCCCTGACATATGCTGAAGACTGATAAAGAACCAGGGATGAAGGTGGATGTGGGGTAGGAAGCATTTTGAAGCTGCGAGGGCTACACAGGGCAGGGCTCACTCACCCATCCTCAATCAACATGGGCGTGCCCAATGGCTCCAGGTCCTCAGCTGACACCAGCTGGTGAATCAGACTGTATGACTGGGGATCCAGGCTGCGAGCTTGCGGGGGCAGAAGTGGCGAGTGGGCAGAATAGTTAAAAAGGTGCGGTATGTACTGATAATGTGGAGGCACAGACATCCCCATGTACTGTTCCCTGAATGCCAGGAATCCATTCAGTTCCACGGACCTACCAGAGAGAAAAGTCTCATGTCAAGCAGAATCATCAGGTCTACTGCCTACTCAAAGGAAATGGGCCAGAAGGTGGCTCAGGTGTTCTTTGGCTATGCAGTCTGTCTTCATCAAGCTGGGGACATAACTAATGGTTACATGAACTCTCCCGTTAGATAGGGACTCTGTGAGCATGGGTACTTTTGGTTTACCAGCAGACACACAAGACCTGGCAGAGCAGATGCTGAATAAATACTGGCTAAATGAATTCTTCAGATGGGTGCTACATTTAGAATTTTTAATGGATATGCATAGACTATGATGACAAAGGTGGATGTTTTATTTTTTTACTGCTAAGAAAACTAAGGCACGGACAGGCTAAGTGCCTTGCCAGGCCACAAAACAAATCTAGTACTTAGAAAAAAAATCTGGCATGTGGCAACAACTCCCTACGCATTCAAAGGAAGGAATAAATTAAGGAACTGCATGGATACAGGTTATAATGGAATATGAAGAAAAAAAGCAGATTCTTATCTTCCTTCCCTGTTTTGGAGAAATCTAGCCACTCTCAACCAATTAAAAAAAAAAACATCCTGAGGTTTTACCTGGACGCACCTCCTATTAACGGCGATCAGCACACTACGGCCCATGGCCTGTTTCGGTGAATCAGACTTATCAGAACACAGCCCCTCAGTCACTGACATACCGTCTCTGGCTATTTTCGCACTATGGTGGCAAAGTTGAGTAGTTGAGCCCTAAACCACAGACCCACAAACCCTAAAATATGTACTACCTGGCCTTTATAGACAGTGTGTTGATCCCTGTTCTGTAAGAAGGATTTCTAGGGGAAGAAAGCATTCTGTGGTAGCTAATGGATTTACTTCACACCTAACAACTCACTTAAGTTACCATTCTTGAACCAAGAGTCTCCAAACTGGTATTCCATGATAATAGCAGCAATTCTGACTAGGTTAAAAAGTTTTCCGTTTCCTAAAATTTATAAAGTGAAAATCTTCACTCCTGCCAAGGCAGAGAATTATAACTCAATCTGACATTGTCAGTGTGGCTTGTTTACTTCAGCAATAAAGTAAATGAGAGAAAATAGCTCTGTCTGAAATGCTGCGCTGTTCAGTGAAAAATGTATGGGCATGGACAGCAGCTATAGCACTTTTTCAGTCTGCAGAAGAGACCTGATATTTTCGAGGTCTTTAGCAAAAATGGGTTGCGAAATGCTGCTTTGCATCATCATGGACCCTACCCCAAAAGACTAAGGGCGCAAGAGTGCAACTGCTGAGATGGACTAGCAGGAATACCCAGCCCAGAGGGTTCCGTGTGGGTCTACTTCTGAGTGATCTCTAGATGATGCTGGGTTTGCCTTGAAGCTCACCTGGAGGACAGAGTGGAGCCCGGTGAGGGCTGGTTGCTCTCGGAAGCCCTGTTCCCAGGGGAACTGTGGTCGCTGTCACCATGGTTGCTCCAGTGATTGGCCTCTTCCTCAAATTCCTGCCCCGACATGATCCTTTCAATCTCTTCCTCTGATATCTTTGACCAGAAAGTGACACGTTAGAGTGGGTGCTCAGGATACCTTCTGTTCCTTTTTGAGGACTGAGAACTTATTTAAACCTCATGGAGATTCCCAACGCCCCTAGAGAGAAACCCAGATACCCTTCTCTCTACCTCCATAGTCCAGGTCTCTCGCTAAGTTAAGACAGCTTGGTTGCTTGCTTCCTAGCACCATGGCTCACTATGGCATTTCTCTTGCCCATTTACCCCTCTCAAGCCATAAAGTCTCTAGGTTCTTCAATACTACTCTTTGTTCTTGAGTCTATTCTTTCCCAAAACACCCTTCCTCAATAATAAATTATTACTTGCCCTTTAAGACTCAGTTCAAATGCCACTTTCTTTGCAAGTCCTTCTGTCATTACCTAGACAAAATTTTAGGTCCTGCTTCTATCCACTCAATTCTATGCAGTGAGAGAGAGGATTAATAGCATAATGGTTAAGAGTATGAATTCTAGGGTTAGACCACTTATGTTCTAACCCAGGTTCTACCACTTTCTGGTTGTACAATCTTGGGCAAGTCATTTAACTATTTGAATCTAAATTCCTTCATATGTATGGTGGAGAGAATAATAGTATCTATCTTGTAGGACTGACATTGAGGATTAAATTAGTTAATACTTTAACACATGTTTAGAAAAGAGCCTGGTGCATAGCAATAATTATGGAAGGCTGAAAATATTCATTGTTAATGTTATTATTTTATATCATATATAGTAATGAATCATAAAAATATCTTCTATAAGATCTAAGGCCATGATAGGGTTTTTAAAAAGTAAGTGGTTAATAAATGCATGTTGGATAAATGAACAAATGCTCACTTATTACTGACCACAAACCTTTACATGGATTTTTTGAGTTAAGAAAGCTGAGATAAATGAACTGACTTGACCAAGATCATACTGTGTGCCCACGTTTGGGCAGGAGTTTGAAAAAGAGGTCAAAGTACATCCAAATTGTTCAGTCCAGTGCTTAAGCTACTACACCATAGAGGGAGTGAACAAACGGGCCTGTGATGCGTCAGTTAACCCCAACTGGCCAAGCTCAGCATGCAGGATGAGCATGAGTGCTAAGGTGGAAGGCCAGGTACATTTTTATTCCTTGTTCTTATGAAAAGGATGAGAGGACATTGTCTCCTAGGTCTGTCTAATTCAAACCTGCATAATTCTTTGCTCTATGAGCCTGTGAGGAAACCCTGAGCAGTTCTGATCATAAATACAGAAGGCATGTAGCACTGAAAGCCAGCCAGCACACAGGAATCGGAGGGGAAACAAGAAACATTTAACTGGTGTATAGGTTGAGTGATTGGTTTTAAACAGATTGGACTACATGTTGAATTGAAGGGGATGTCTTTCTTTATTCAGTCATAAGCAACAACAAATAAATAAACAAGCAAAAAATAAATAAAAGGTATGCTCTCTTAGGGGCCCCGAGAACACTGACATCACTGTTTGCACTTTTTAAGTCATGTGAAGATAAACGATGCCACCAGACTACAAGATACCCACTGAGGCCCCCACTGAAGCGGCCTCAGTGACGGTGGTGAGAGCAAGACCAGAGCTGGGTGGACGTGGAATAACTTGAGCCGGGTGAAAAGGGCCAGTCCTGGTAGCATCAGCTTATTCCAGCTGGGATCCCAGGTCAGATTGCACCTGTCTCTCCCTGTGGGTGCCGTGGGACACTGGAAAACCACTGATGCACTGAATAGGCAGGTGACAGAACTTGTTGAGAGTGCTTGAAGCTGCGTTCAAATCTCATCTGCAATTTCCTAGCTGGACTTTTACTATTGGACAAGTCACTCAAATTCTCTAAGCCTTAGCTCCCTTATCTGTAGGAGATAATGGAGATACTACCACCTCTCTCATAGCCCAGGGTTCCCTCACAGGGTGCTGGAGCAAAGAAATATGCAGGTTTGAGTTATATAGACTTGGGAGGTTAATCTAAGATAAAGTTACAAAGTATGGGTATACAACAGGTGCTCAATAAATGAAAATTCTATCCCCCTTATTTTTTTTAAAGATTTTAATTATTTATTTTTAGAGAGGGGAAGAGAGGGAGAAAGAGAAGGAGAGAAACATCAATGTGTGGTTGCCTCTCGAATGCCCCCTAGTGGGGACCTGTCCTGTAACCCATGTATGTGCCCTAGACTGGGAATCAAACCAGCAACCCTTTGGTTCACAGGCCAGTACTCAATCCACTGAACCATACCAGGCAGGGCATATTCCTTGTTATTTTTAATTACGCTTAAATACAGTTAAGAACTTGGCAATCACAGCTCTCTTTCTAACACACCCTAGAAACAGTAAAGGGTTAAAAGGAAAATTAAATGCCCAGTGGTGTCAGTAAGTCAAATGCAATGATGATGAAATAGGCTTCTCTGAGTATCGGCTCCCTCAACTCTGAAGAGTCAAGAGATGTCAAGAGAGCCACACAGGGTATGCACCCACAGTGACCATTATGCTCAATGGTGAAAAACTGAAAGCTTTTCCTCTAAGATCAGGATCAAGGCGAGGATGCCCACTCCTAACACTTCTATTCAACACAGTACTAGAAGTTCTAACAGGGCAACTAGGCAAGAAAAAGAAATAAAAGACCTCTAAATCAGAAAGGAAGAAGTAAAATGATCTCTGTTCACAGATGACATTATGTCACAGGTAGAAAACCCTAAAGATTCCACCAAAAAACTGTTAGAATACAAGAATTCAGCAAGTTGCAGGATAGGAAATCAACATATGAAAATCAGTTGCATTTTTACACTAATAACGTATTATCTAAAAAGAAAATTAAGCAAACAATCTCATTCATAGTAGTATCAAAAGAATGAAATAATTAGGAATAAACTTAACTAAGGAGGTAAAAACCCTGTACACTGCTGAAAGAAATTAAAAACATAAGTAAATGGAACCATATCCTGTGTTCACAGAATGACTTACTATTGTGAAAATGCCCATGCTAAATCCCTATCAAAATCCCAATGGTATTTTTGCAGAAATAGAAAACACAATCTTAAAATTCTTATGGAAGCACAAAGAACTCTAACCAGAACAATCCTGAGAAAAATCAACATAGCTAGAGGCCTTATAGTCCCTCATTTCAAAATATACTGTGAAGCTATAGTAATCAAAACAGTATGGTACTGGCATACAGACAGACATGTGGACCAAGGGAATAAAACACAGAGCCCCAAATTAAACTCATGCACATATGGTCAAGAGATCTTTGATAAAGATGCCAAGAATATACAATGGGGAAAGAATAGTTTAAGACAAGTGGTGTTAGAATGTAAGATCCAAAAATATAAAACTCCTAAAAAAATACAAAGAAAGAAAAGCTTCTTTGACCTTGGCTTTGGCAATGATTTCTTAACTATTACACCAAAAGCACAAGCAAAAATAGGCAAATGGGATTACATCTAACTAATATACTTCAACAAAGCAAAGGACACAATCAACAAAATGAACAATTAACCTACAGAATGAGAGCAGATATTTGTAAACCATGTATCTGATAAAGAGGTAATATCCAAGATACATAAGGAATCCCTGCAACTCAATAATGAAAAAACAAATAACCTGATTAAAAAATGATCAATCCATGGCCAGGTGGCTCAGTTGGTTGAAGCATCATCCATATATCAAAATGTTACTGGTTCGATTCCCAGTCAGGGAGCCTATGGCAGGCAACCAAACGATGTCTCTCTCTCTCACGCCAGTGTTTCTCTCCCTCCCTTTCTCTCTCTTTAAAATCAATAAACATATCCTTGGGTGAGGATTAAAAAAAAAGCCAAATGCCTTGAAATAGGCATTTCTCCAAAGACATATAAACAGCCAATAGGTATATAAAAGATGCTCAATGAGACTAATTATCACAGAAATGCCAATCAAAATCACAATGAAATATCACTCCACGTATATTAAGACAGCCATTATCAGGAAGAAAAAAAAAAGCAAAAGAAATGCTGGAGAAGATGTGGAAAATGGGAACCCTTGAGCACTGTTGGTGGGAATGTAAAATGGTATGGCCACTATGAAAAACAGTATGGACATTTCTCAAAAAAAGACAAATACCATATGATCTCACCTTTAAGTGGAACCTGATCAACAAAACAAACAAGTGAGCAAAATATAACCAGAGACATGGAAATAAAGAACATATTGACGGTAACCAGAGAGGAGGGGAGAGGGGGATAACTTGGCAAAGAAGGGGAAGGGTCATCAAGGAACATGTATAAAGCATCCATGGACAATGACAACTCGGGGTGGGGCAAGAGAGTTGGATGTGGGGGGTGGGGGTAGGCAGGGCAGAGGAGAGTAATGGGGGAAATGGGGACAACGGTAATTGCACAATAATAAAAAAATTAAGAAAATTATGGACGATTAAAACTAGAAGTATCACATGACCTAGCAATCCCAGAAGAAGAGAGAATCAAGGCAAGCAGCTACAGAAGCCCATCCCTGGGCTTCCGGGATGGATTACAAAGAGCGAGGCCAAGAACTCACCTGGACTGGCCCAATGCTCTTATTCCGGCCCCCAGGCATGCCATCTTCTCTGATTGCTGGAAGGAAACATAAGCAGGAGAGTCAGAAGCACGCTCACAGAAGCTAGGCACAAAAAGAGAACTTCTTTGGCCAAAAGCACAAAGTAGTAATGGGTGAAGCCAAGACAAAAACATAGGCCTTTTTGACCTCAAAGCACATATTCTTTCCCTTATCCCAGGCCATCTCGTAGGCGGCAGATACTTCTGGCCCCTAAGGAATTAGGTACAAACTACGCACACTATGCAGTCAGTGTGCTCAACTTAGGTGACAGCATTAACAGCCCGCAGTCACGAATATCCCATCAGGATAATGCATCTGAAGACTGGTAAACTGAAGGACAGGAATAGAAAGAGTAAGTTTGTTGTTACCTATTTTTTATTTCGTCAAAGTTTGCGTCTAATTTGTAGAATGAGAAGAACAGGGTTTTTTGTCTGATTTTATATTAGATTATTTACTTCACTCATTGCTCCTTAGAAGGGCAGACAGTGGAGTTCCCTCACCATTGATTTTCCACTCAGGTGATTCAACGAAAGTATGAAGTTAGTTAGCATTTTCTAACTGTAAAAAGCATCCTTTAAATAGTACCAGCCTCATTAAGAATTACAACCACTAATGCTATACTTTCATTGTCATATGGGGCATGGAAAAGAAACCCTTGATCTGCAATTATAGAAAGGCTCTGGTGTTTGGCAAAGCTTTCTGTAAAGACAACTTCTGAACTGAACCTTAACAGATGAACAGGATTTATGCGGACAGAAGAAGGCCTCTCAGGCCGATGCACAGAAAAGCTGCAAGTTGAAAGTAAATATGGAGTGCTGTTTCTGGGAATTCCCAAGTGGCAAAGTATGGCTCAAGCGCGTGTGTGTGTGCATGTGCACATGTGTGTGTGCGTGTGTGTGCATGCATGTGTGAATGTGTATAGAGCAGAGCAGCAAGAGATGAGGCTGGTCAGGCCAGATTAGAGAGAGCCTTGAATACCAGGCTGAAACTATGGACTTTAGCAGAGGAACCTGAGGATAAGAAGGAATGCAGAAGAGGGTAGGTGAAGTTGGCCTTTAAAAAAATCTGTGATGATCACTGCAGAGGGTGGTTAGAAGGGTGGCATCACATGACAGCAAGCTTTGCTCTAATATACCTACTAGGAAAAACAACTACCATGAAGATGTAGAAAGTCCTTGGGGCAGCGTTAGCTGCCTGAAAAGGTGAGGGCTCCAGGTATAACACTCAATTCCTACGATAACTGAAAGGCTGGCAGGAAGTTCATTCCCCTTAAAGCAGACATGAGTCATGGTATCCTTAGATTATATCAGAATTAGGTAAGTTTGAGCCTAAATCCTATGTCTGCCTTGTCTGTGTAATTACAGACAAGTTTCTTCACATCTCTGAATAAATAAAACTTCAGAATAAATTAAATTTACTGAAAAATAAAGAGGGGCTATTACAACCTGTCTCGTGGGGTTACTGTAAGGATTCTACATAAAATAATACAGCTAAAGCACAGAGCCTGGCTTATAAAGTACGTACTCAGTAACCGATCCTTCCCTCTCCCCAGCCTCTTTTCTCCAAACACAAAAGTTAAGAAACCAAGGATCCATTCTCAACTTTGCTAGAGTCTCAGTATCTTCATGTGTGAAATGAAGTCAACAGAGTCTTTTTTACAAGACTGCCGTGAATTTGGAGTAGAACAACACACAGACTATGTCAGGGGAAGAAGCATGCCTGGTTGTCTGGGAGCTCTCTATCGGCTTAATTTCAAGTTCTGAAAAATCCTTAATTCCTTCTCTGCTGTTCCAGGGTCAATGGCAGTCTTCAGGCACTTCTATTCCTAATACTAACACCTCACATGCCTCTGCTTCAACTCATAGGCACAGAACAAAGATCACTGGCATATAAAATGCCGAATATATTTCTCTTGAAATCTCACTCTTACTGTCTTAGAGATGGTGAAGGAACTCAACATGCTTTCCTCTTTGTTTAAGGGACCATAAACTTTAAAGATTTACATCTTGGCAATTTCTTATGCTGATATTTAAAAGCCCATGTTGTCCTTCAACCCCATTCATACACTCACTAGGAAAGTATCAGCATCACTCCTATTGAACAGATGAACCTAAGGCCAAAGAAATGAATGAACTATTTTGCCTAAGGAGACAGAAACTGAACAGCAAGATCGGGGTTGGAATCCAGACTAGCAGACGAAGGCCGGCTTTTTTCCGGCACTATTATTTTCTATAGTGTGTGCATCCCACCGGGAAGACATCATTTTAGGTGGTACATAGATAAACGCTTATACACTTATCTTACATGCACTAAACACTACTCATTTTTCATTCACCAAGGAGATGAAAAAATTCTCTTTGAAAATTAACCCTGTCCTGACTGGAGTGGCTCAAAAGGTCACTGGTTTGATTCCCAGTCAGGGCATGAGAGGCAACTGATCAGTGTTTCTTTTTCACATCAATGTTTCTCTCCTTCTATCTCCTTCCCTTCCCCTTGCTCTAAAAAGAAACAATCTTTAAAAAAAAGAAGATAATTAACGTTTTCTAAAAAACTGACTTACAGAAAAATAAAAAGTAAACAGTCCTGGTTTAGTCAGAGACGGTAGAATCTGGCAAGATGGCGTGAAACTGCCCGCAGTCTGGGAAACAGCACAACGGCTGCAGCGCCTCTGTTAAAGCAGAGTTGGCTCATATTATAAAGCCTATAATGCACCCACATGTCACTGCATTTGGTCCTCAAAACAACCTTGGAAGGTGTACATCATTATTATTCTATGCAGTTTGGAGATGAAGAAAATGAAGCTCAGAGAGGTCAAGGGACTTGTTCATGATTACTCAGGAAAGGGCGGACAGACCTGGAATTTCCATCTGGCTCTTCTGATTCTAAAGCTGTGCTTGTTCTGTGATGCTACACTGGGCTAAGAGCAAGTATTTCAGCAGGGCTGAGAGTCTTTCCTGGCAGTGAACTGATTAAAAAGAAACAAGCAAACAAAGGGCTTTTGGGTACGAGAGCACAGGAATGGTCTGCTGCGCCTATTGTCCAAGCCGAAGAGAGCGGTGCCAGTTCTGGTTCTTCTATCTGCTCAGAAGCACAAGTACTGTTTCTGGTCTGGAACACGTGTATCTACCATCCCTCACTTAGGCCTGGCCAACCAACTGAATCCAGAAACCAGAGTCACCAGCAGGACACAAAGCTAACTACATCGATGCCCTGCTCAAAACCCACTGCCAGCTCCCTTTGCTCTGTGAGCTAAGTCCAAGCTCCCTAGCTTTACATTTAACACCACTTGTGATCTGGTTCCTCTGGGGTTCCCCACTGCCACAAATGTTACATACTATGTAGCTACAGAGAACTGTTTGTTAGTCCCAGAACATGCCATGCTGTTTTACTTACATGTTGTTGCCCTGACTCAGAAAGAAAATTTACAGTGAAAAAATCTGGCAACATCACCTTACTCAAGTGGGTCAAGTTAACATGAAGAATAAGGGGACAGACTTAAACCATGTGCTCTTGATATAATGCACTGAAATGGTACATGATCACTTTCGTGGAATTCTTGCTAGAAATGCGTAACCTGAATCTCATCATGAAGAAGCTGACAAACTCAGTCCAGGGATAGTCTACAAAATAAATAACTTATTTTCTTCAAAATTGATAATGTTATTAAAGACAAAATAAGGCTGAGAAGTGACTTCAGATTAAGATTAAAGAGATGTAAAAACTAAATGTGATATGTTGGCTCCTAGATTAGAAGAAACAAATTGCTATAAAGAACACTGGGATGATCAGTAAAGTCTGAATAAGGTCTGCTAATTAGATAATAATGAGTCATGTTGAATTTCCTGATTTTGATAATAGTACTGTGGTTATGTTAGAAGCAACCCCCTTTGAATGTCTGTAACAGCCCCCCCCCCAAAAGAAAAGAGGGAAAGAAGGGGGCTGGGGTGGGATCATTTTTAAAAAGCTCTTTAAGTTTGTAAGGAGCCTGAACTTCTACTCCTTCCAGATTGCTCATGAGATTTCTCAGGGCTCCATCTTTATCCTGGTGCAGTGTTATTGTGATGCTACAGATCTGCCTCACGATGCCACTGCACAAACGTGAACATCTGCCAAGAAGCTTTCCTTAACCCTTTTAGAATTTCAAACTAGTTAACTAGGAAGTTATGAGACAACAAAGTTAAGGGAATTTTCATTTCTTTCACATAATTACTTCACTGACATGAATTTCTCCATGAGACTCAGTTTAGCCCCCTCTTGCCTCTGATGATTTTAACAGTAGGGCAGTCCCCTTATCTGTGGTTTTGCTGTCCACGGTTTTAGTTATCTGTGGTCAACTGTAGTCAGAAAATACTAAATGGGAAACTCCAGGTTAACGATGCATAAGTTTTAAATAGCGTACGTACCATTATGGGTAGTGTAATTAAACTCTGTGCAGCCCTGCCCCCGACGTGAATCATCCCTCAGTCCAGCACACCCACACTTTGTGCGCTACCCACCCACTAGTCACCCTCCACTACTAGCTATCTTGGTTATGAGAAAGAGAAACGCAGGCCACATTCGTGTAACTTTTATTGTAGCATATTGTTATAAATACTCTATTTTCTTAGCAGTTATTAATGTTGATCTCTTCCTTTCCTAATCTATAAATTAAACCTTACCATAGGTATGTATGTATAGAAAAACATAATATATATGAAAGAGACCACAAAAAAGCCCTGGAATTTATCTATAAAAAAGTGTGTATTTATTCTTACATGTTTAAAACCGCAGTCACCTTCAAAGTCCTCTCCACCTGATGCAATACACCTATTTTTTTGGACCCTGCCTCGTTTATTTGCAGAAACGCCACAGGAGGACCCCAGCCCTGAGGGTGCACCAGTCCTCTGTCCACACATTGGCATACAGAGGCCTCTACTATGGAGCCTTTGCAGGGGCCTGGGTACCTTTGGGAGCCTGAGAATGAGCCTGAGGTGGAGCCTGAGCAGCAGCTGCATTTGCAGCCTGGGGCTTGGTCTGGGCCTTTGGCCAGCAGAGCCAGAGACCCTTGGCGATGCAGGCAGGAGCACATTTCCCCAGCTTGGGGTGAGCAATGTAGGCAAGTCTACTGAGCTTGCAGCTGCTGCCCTTTGGGATACTGGGCTTGGCCTCCTTTGACTTGACCAGGGCCTTGATAGCCTCAGCACGTGCGCTCATGGCCTTGGCGTTGTTGGCCTGCATCTTCTTCAGGCCCTTCTTATTGTGCTTCTTGGCAAAGTGCACGTTCCCCAGGAACTTGGGGCCTACCCCCTTAAAAGACTCCTATCTTTGTATTTGGGGTGTCTTGGTGCCATTTCTGGGACTGGTTGTGTGTGGTGTGGTTCTTGGACTTGGCCATATCTGCACCCAACCCATGGCTCTCGAAGCACCTGAGACTGAAAGAAGTAAAACACCTATTGAGATGTTTTTTCCACAGCTGAAAAGTTTTTGAACTCATTGATTTTGATGCCTTTTTAGTGCTTCTGCCACTTTTTGTTTCACCTCTTCCACATCAGCAAAACAACTCCTTTTGAGGATTTTTTCGTTAGGGAAAACAAACAAAAAAAGTTGCTCAGGGCAAGGTCAGGTGAACAGGTCAGGTGAACAGGGACCCATGGTGGGGCATGGGGATGAGTTTTGGTCTAAAACTGCTGAACACTCAGCTCTGTGTGCGCAGGTGCGCTTGTAAATCACCCATCATGAAATGATCAAACACATGGAAAGAGTCTTAAAAAAAACTTCACTGAAGCCCAATGCAGCCTCTCATAGCACCAGTTGGTACACTGATACAGATGGATTCCTCGAGCACCCACCCAGTGGGGGAAGCCTGTACTGCAAGGGGCCCACCCTCCAGAAGATAATTTTGGTTTTTTTAAGGTCCCCCCTTGTATAGAGTTTAGTATTATCCATGGTTTTCAAGCATCTACTGGGCATACTAGGACATACCTCCTGCAATTAAGGAGGGGACTATTTTGTTTCTCCTATCCCACGTCGTGCCCGGGCCCCCACCATAGTCAATCCATCACGCCAGGAAGCACCCTACCTTAACTGGGTTACCTGCTAAGGGACACAGAGAAATTAGGACTTGGTATTGAGTCCTTGAGGGGCTCACTGTCTGAAAATGAGGGTGGGGAAACAGACAAGAGAACAGACAGAGACAGCACAAGGTGACCAGGGCTGATGGCAGAGGGCAGTAAAGAGCTGCTGAAGCACAGATCACCTGGTAGGAGGAAGGTATCAGAGAAGGCTTCTTAGAGGATGTCATAAATAAAAGCTGAGCCTCAAAAAAAAAAAAAGTGTATACAGTAGGGTGAAGAAGAGGGGGCAGAATATTCCAGGAAGATAAAATCACACATACGAAATTCTGCAAATGGAAATATTCAAGTTTTGGCGAGCTGGATGGAATGAGGATTGCATGTGGGGAGCAGCAGAGAGAAAAGGGAGGGGTGAAGTGGCTGACGCCAGAATCAGAGGGGCCCTAAGAACCACCCTGAGGTGCCCCTTTATCCTGTGAACCGTCAGACAGTGGGGAACACGTGTTTAGGAGTACTGGGTTAGCAATGCGGACAGACAGACAGGGCCCAGCCTCCGCTCACCACCCCATTTAAATCTCACTTAACGTTTTGCTAATTCATTGCATAAACAGCCAATTTCCAAGTCTGAAAAGATATTTATGTCCAGAAATGGTGAACAGCGGAGGGCTGACTCATATATGGCAGCTGCATTTTTTAAATTAACTTTTAAATTCTGAGGTAAGTTTCAACTTACAGAAGAGTTTAAAAAATGCTGCAGAGAATGTCCATATACCTTATTCCCAGCTTCCCTCTCTGTTAACATCTTATGAAACCAAAGACTACTCACCAAAAACTAAATGGACTTTGGTACAACACTATTATTATTAACTAACGTTACAGACCTTATTCAGTCTCCCCCAGTTTCACTGACGTCCTTTTTCTGTTCTAGAATCCAACCCAGGACCCACAGAGCACGAGGCTGTCATGTCTCCACAATCTCCTCCAGCCTGTGACAGTTTCTTAGTCTCTCCCTTGTCTTCTGTAACTTTGACACTTTCGGAGAGGGTTTTGTAGAATGTAAGTTATTTTAAATAATGTCTCTCAATTTGAGCTTCTCTGTTTTCTCAAGATTAGATTGAAAGGAACCTATCCCTGTGTATGTGTATGTATATGTTTGTATACACACAGAAATATCTAGATCTATCTGCCTACACATCAGGGAGTTACATGATGTCAATGTCAGCACACTGGTGATGTTAACCCTGACTGCCTAGCTAAAGTGGTACCTATCAGAATTTTCTACCAAAATTTATTCTTCTCTCTGTAATTCCTAAATATTCTATGCAAACTACTGTATCTGTTTAAACCTATGCTCTCTATATTTTGGCATGTATCAATGGATCTTGCCTGCAGCAGCTATAACTGGACTTCTAATATTCTATTTCTCTCATTTCTTCTTTTCCTTTCTTTCTTTAAGAAAAATTAATACTTTCTGGCACCACAAAGCGATGCAGGCTCATTTCTAAAAAATGTATTGATTTTTAGAGAGAAAGGGAGGTGGGGAGAGAGACAGAGACAGAGGTATCTGTTGTCCCACTTATTCATGTGATCACTGGTTGATTCTTGTATGTGCCCTGACTGGGGATCAAACCCGCAACCTTGGCCTATCACGGTGACACTCTACCAACTGAGCAACCTGGTCAGGACCTACTCAGGCTCACACATTCCCTACCTCAGTCCTAGACTCAATCAGTAGTCCAAGGAGTCATGATTCCTTCCTTTTATTGATACTTAGAAACCAAGATCTGGGTGCTAGGTATGCTCATTGCTTTTAGCCCCTCTCAATGGACAGAGCTAGAATATATCAAGAATGGTTTGTATGACATCAGTGTAACCTTGCATCCAAGGAGAGTGGACTGGAAGGCACATGTGTGAACAATGATGACTTCACTGTACTAGTCGGTGGGAGCAGTAGATGCCTTTGAGTGAGCATGTGTACTGTGTGGCTGTCACATTCAAAATGACTGAGTGGAGCAACACAGCTGCATCGAATTTTGTGTTAAGCTTGAACATCCTCCACAAAAACTATGTGGATGATTCAGAAGGCCACAGCTATGGACAACCAGTGACTAGCAGCTTCATTGTGACGATGTGCTGGCTCATACATCATGTCTCATGCAGAGCTTTTTGGCGAAACATCAAATCACCTAGGTGACTCAGTCCCCCTATAGCCCAGATTTGGTGCCCTACGACTTCTGGCTTTTCCCAAAACTAAAATCACCTTTGAAAGGGAAGAGATTTCAGATCATCGGTAAGATTCAGAAAAATATGACAGGGCAGCTGGTGGTGATTGGGAGAACTGTGTGAGGTCCCAAGGTGTCTACTTGGAAGGGGACTGAGGTATCATTGTCCTACATACAATGTATCTTATATCTTCTTCAATAAATGTCTCTATTTTTCACAGTAGATGGCTGGGTGCTTTCTGGGCAGACTAATATCTATATACCCACCTGTATTTTGCCATATATAATATGCAGGGGTTTTTGCCCAAATTTTGAGGGAAATATAAGGATTTGCATTATACATGGGTGGTACCAGTACATAAAGTTTCTTAAATCATACTATGTTGAAAAATAAATGCTAAAATTCCTTTATAATAACCCCCCAAGTATCTAAATAAATAAATAAATACTCAAATTTTAAAAATTAAAAGGAAAATTTTTTTCCCTCAAAGTTTAGGCCAAAAATGTGGATTTCCATTATACATGGCAAAATAGAGTATCTACTGATCTCAACTCATGCATCTGCACATATCTCTCTCTACATGTTTTTATCGATCCATCTAAACATGAATCCATATGGATACCTCTGATTCTAATCTGGCACCAGAGGTTTTACTCCAGCCGTCCCCTTTCCTGATTTATGACTTCCTTCTCAGAGGTGAGAAACCCGACCCTCATTATCTACAATATAATGACTTGTTTGTTCAACCCTAGTATCCAAACAAAGTAGTGATGAATTCTAAGCCCAAGGCCCTGAGAAATAAATTTACAAACTAGGGTGCTTTGTTTATATACAGTTCTTTTTGTCTTCAGCCTTATGGTATACAGTCAAAACACTGGTTTTCCAAGGTCAGCAGCTCCTACCTTCCCGTTGCCTTCACTGCGGCTATGTGATTTATCTACTCAAATTGCAGACGGACCTCGTATATCAATTAGATTGTCACAGTCCGCATTCTGCCCCCACCCCCTGCCACATACAGGCTGCTTACAAACAAACAAACAGACAGACAGACAAAATATTGCCCTGACTGATTGGCTCAGTTGGCTGGAGCGTCATCCGGTACACCAAAAGGTTGGTTGCCACCCCCCAGTCAGGATATGTGTGGGGGGCAACTGATCGATGTTTCTTTCTTACACTGATGTCTCTCCCTCTTCTCTCTTTCTCTCTCAAATCAATAAACACATCCTCAGATAAGGCGTTTAAAAAAAACAAAAACTATATACATTAAAATCATGGTGTACAATTCTATAGGTTTTAACAAATGCATAAAATTATGTACTGAACATCATAGTTCAATGCAGGACAGTTCCATCACCCAAAAAATATTCCAATGGCAACTTTAATTTTAATTCCACTTTCCCAGTAGCAACCAGGAGGTGGCAGGGTTTCTCTCTTAGAGGCAGCCTTTGCAGGCAGCTGAGCCCGTCGGCTCTGCACACACAGGGACCCAGGAAGCAGCTCTCCGTCCCTCATATCCCTGTGTCTTCTTGCTATGATTGGAAAGGTTATGAGGTCAAGCTTCTTCTTCCCTAAAATAGGTGAGTTTGGCTGGAAGGCTCAGAATCTCACATTCCAACTGAATACGTAGGATGATTCAGCTGGGCAGTCAAGAGGGCATCCCATAAATAAACTCTGAGAAAATAATCTTCTCAAGGAGGGCAACAAAGGGAGATGAAAAAAACTACAGACCAACACAAAATCAGATGAAGGTGGGTAGATGACCATACACTCTTTTCAAGACATTTCTCGTTTGATATTGGTGGCTGCTGTGGACCAAAAAAAAAAAAAAAAAAAAGGCGGGGGGGAGGGGATTCCATGGAAAGTAACCTCCCAAAGTGATCTGATCATAAATTCTTAACTGGGCAAGTCACATTGGGTAGTCACGTCCTAGTATATTACTTCTTTAGTAAAAGGCTTATCTTTGCCTTAAGCAAGTCCTGTCCATTGTTTCCGAGCAGCTAGGTTAACAGGTCTTTGAAATAAACCTCCCTCAAGAGAGCGCATAATCTTAACCACTCTGTAATCCAATCCACATGACCACCCTAGAGACCGCACATAATCTTAACTGCCCTGTAATCTTCTTACATTCTCTCCTTAATCTCAAATGCATACTAAGAACCTGCAGACTGCAATTCTCTGAAGCATTTATCTCAGTCTGTTGAGGTCTTGTTTCCAGGTGTATCCTCTTTTCGGCTCAAGTAAACTGGCCATTCTTACCTTGACATCACTACTAAACTAACAACTGGGGTAAGATCATCTTACTTCCTTAAACTATGTCTGTAATCTGAGAGTTGTGTGTATGAGGTAATGTAGAGAAAGTGCATAAGAGTTTCCAGTACACGTAGTACTCATAAATATTAGCACTATAAATAAATTATAAATGTTCTAAATTTATCTCAATGACTTGCTATTTATTTCTGACCTTTTCCCATAATGGGCAAATTTTCAAAAGATTCTTCTCACACACCCCCCCCCCATACACAAAAACCAATTTTAAGTCTGTCAGGACGCCTGCGTTCTTTAATGTTACAAACCAATTTGGATAGCTCGCTAAAGCTGACTAACTCCCAGCCCTGCACACTGCTACTAGGACTTCCTAATACTGGGCTGAGTACTTTTATATACACTGTCACACTTAATGCTCCACAGAGAACCCCGAAAGGTATCATCATACCATCTCAAAGGTAAGATAATTGAGCATCAGTGATATAGAATGAACTGCCCAAGGTCACAGAGCTAGGCTGACTCCAAGCTCTTGCCTCCAGAGCCTCCATTCTTTCTACTGAACTACACAGCTCCCCCATCCATGACCACACTCCTCCGGCTGTGGCACTGGCCCTCTTCTGCATCCAAGTTCTTTTTGGGTGATTTCTACACTAACAAATTCTACCACCTGTATGTCAACGGCTCTACAACAGCTCTGCAGGCAGGACTTTTCACCCCAGTTCCCATCCTGTGTATCCCACTTCCTTGGTGAGCATCTGTATGTGTCCTTCTCAGGGACCCCCAACTCAGGATTAGCAAGGCCAGCGTTTTGCCCCACCCTGCTTTTCTAGCCTGACTTTTTTTTCCTGGTAGGGTCGGTACTATTAATTCAAACCTTCAACCTCAACTTCTGGCGCTGCCCAACAGCCAGCATGTCACCAGCTCCTACTGGGTGAGCACCCCCTCTCTCCCCATCTCGGGTCATTACTTTCCCTTCCTTCAAATCCTTCACGCCTTTCTTTGCATTCTTCTGAAAACTTTCTAGGTGGTTTTGTGACACCCCAATATGTTCTTCAAAGCTGCCCCATGGATAAATCCTCTTAGAATATCTTTTTTTTTTTTAATGTCATTTTGGGCTAATGGCTCTTGGAAAGCTTCCAAATAAATCCCAAATTCTTCACCAACCTAGATGCAGATTCCTGAGCATGCCTCGTCTCTGAGTATGCCCTGAGTCCAGCAAATGCAACAAAATGATGTTACATTTAGAGGACTTACTGCCTTCCTATCTTTTCAATTCAAATTGCTCCTTCCCGTCATCATGCCCTGAGAGAAGAACTAGTTCAGTATGTTAGTCCCAGTTAGGACTTGATTGTTAATTGGGATCTTGCCACGTGGAGCCTGTGCACTCATTCTCACAGAATCCTTAACATTTCAGCAGTCTTCTTCCCCATCTAGTCTGGAAGGTCCCTGTAGGCGGTAACTGTCCCAGATTCATTTCTGAGTTTTAAGTACACAGTACAAGGCCAGCATACGGTGGAGGCCCGGGAAATAAATAACTCCAAGGCTTAACGGCTGATAGTAAAGGTAAGATGGGTGAAGGGTGGGTAGTAGAGCCACAAACACCACTTACCCTTCCGGTTCATCCCCATCTGGAGGCATTTGAGCAGGCGGCAGTACTGGCACCTGTTCCTCTGCTTCCGAGACATGACACAGTTCTTGTCACGGCTGCACCGATATACCCGCTTGTTGCAAATACTCCGCTTGAAAAACCCTTTGCATCCCTCACAGGAGATGATTCCATAGTGCAAGCCTGTTGCGCGGTCCCCACAAATGAGACAGGTTCGTGGTTCAGCCCGATCATCTGGAACAGAAACTGAACATGTTCAAGTTAGAATACAGTGGAAAAATGGCTTTACACCTGCATTTCTAAAGCAAACAACCCTGCTCTGGCTAGATCAAGACCATCACCATCGCCAGTATAACTGGAAAACAAAGGACATCTTTAGAACCCTTGTCCTAGGAACAGACTTCTGCTTCTACCTGCAGATACCAAATACAGCCTATCGGAAAAAAGAACCCATACTCTTCCCCCTGGATTTCATTATCACTGGGACCAGTATCCAAGTCAGAAAGCTGGGAGATACCCTTCCTCTCCTTTATTCCTCCCTCTCTCTTAGCTTCCTCCTGCCACTGCTCATCACTTTTACCCTGTAGGAGGGTGTTACGGATTACTAAAATGCATATAAGTGCCCAGCACGTGGTACACTCCCCCCAAACGATCACTGTAATTGTTAACAAGAGGCTTTAACCACGCCCAGCTAAGCAGACAGCCACCCAACAGACATGTATTGAGCAATTATTCTAGCCTAGGCACTATTATAAGGCATGTGTACAATAGTGAATTAAAGTCCCTGGTGAAGCTTACACTCTAGCAGAACATCTACTCTGTGCCTAGGTTCCGCCCTAGGTCCTGTGTATTCAGAAATGAATCATCCTAATACCCAGATGTTAAAGAACTCACTATCTAACAATGAACGAATCAGTCAAAGAGGAAAGTCAGGCTGGAATACGGCTCTCCACTTCCTCTCCCCTCCAATTCCACTTGCTCAGGACCAAGCAAGTGCCAAAGAACAGGCATGTGACCAAAAGCGCCCTGGTACACTGGGATGTCAGACCCTGCTAAGAGGCGCAAGGAACCTCCAGGAAGGTTTTGATCAGAGGCCAAGGCAGGAAACCAGAGATTTGAGCCCCTGGTGAGTAACAGGCAAGGGTAATGATGAAGTACACAGCCCTTAGAATTACTTTTTCCAATAAAACTTTTATTTACAGACACTGATGCTTGAATTCCATTTGACTTTTGCATCTCACAAATCATTATCCCCCCAGCATTAAAAAAAAACGTAAAAGCCATTCTTCATCCATGAGTTGTACAGAAACGGGTAGTTTGCAAGCCTCTGCTCTAGGTGTTTCTAATATATATTTAAATAGATTTTATTTTTTATAAAAGTATAGGTTGTCAGCAAAATTAATTAGAAGGTACAGAGGTCGATGATGGTGGAGGCTACACATGTGTGGGGGCAGAATTACAGCCCCTAGAATTAGAGGTTCTTATTTGAATTCTAGTTCTTTACTTATTCATTTTTAGACAGAAAGGATGGGAGGGAGAAAGAGAGAGAAACATCAATGCGTGGCTGCCTCCTGCATGTCCCCACCCCCAGGTCCCTGCAGGACCTGACCTGCAACCCAGACATATGCCCTGACTGGGAATCGAACCAGCGACCCTTTGGTTCCTAGGCCTGTGCTCAATCCACCGAGCCGCATCGGCCAGAGTGAACTCCCGTTCTGATATTCATCAGCTGGGTGAACCAGGCAGTTAAGTTACGGCGCCTCTGAGTCTGGTTCCGCTTATCTGTAAATGGGGATTACAATGGCACTACACACCGTGGGTAAAGCATCCACAGGGACTCGTCACAGTGCTTGGGCCACAACAGACTGTTAACAAACAGTAGCTATGATCTTCATTCTCATTATTATCCTAACGGGTCCATATTTAATGTAATGACATTCCTGAAGAGCATTTGAACATAAGGTTCAAGGAGGGGCATGTGCTATATACCAGGTCTGTTCAGAAGGTGTCCAGCCATGTGATATAAAAAATAGAGACATTTATTGAAGAAGATACAATATATAAGAAACATTGCATGAAGAACAATGACACCTCAGTCCCCTTCAAAGTGGGCACCTTGGGACCTCACACGGTTCTCCCAATCACCATCAGCTGCCCTGTCATATTTTCCAGAATTTCATCGACTGTCTAAAATCTCTTCCCTTTCAAAGGTGATTTTAGTTTTAGGAAAAGCCAGAAGTCACATGTTGCCAAATATGGAGTTGAGTCACCTGGGAGATTTGATGTTTTGGCAAAAAAACCTCTACACTAAAGCCCTGGCTGGTGTAGCTCAGTGGACTGGATTGAGCACTGGCCTGAGAACCAAACAACTGCAGTTCGATCCCCACTTAGGGCACATGCCTGGGTTGCAGGGCCAGTCCCGGCAGGGGGATGCAAGAGAGACAACCAACCATACATTGATATTTCTCTCCCTCTCTCCTTCCCTTCCCCTCTAAAGATAAATAAATAAAATCTGTAAAAACAAACAAAAAAACCTCTGCACTAGACGTGATGCATGAGTGGCCATACTGTTGTGACAGAGTTGCTGTGGCCTTCTGAATCATCCGAATAGTTTCCACAGAGGAATGTTCGTGCCTAACGCAAAATCTGATGCAGCTGTGGCTCCACTCAGTCATTTTGAATGCCACTGCCACACAGTGCACATGTTCGCTCAACAGTGTCTACTGCTCCTACTGATTAGTACAATGAAGCCGTCACTGTTCACGCATGTGCACCTCAGTCCACTCTCCTTGGCTGCGGGGTTACATCACACTCACGCAAACTGTTTTAGTTATATTAACAATGGCTGCAGTTTTTCTGGACAGACCTTGTATAGAGGCTCTTGCTCAAAGTCATAAAGCAAACAGCAGGTATGCAGAGAGAAGCAGATACATGAGACCACACAGGGAAACAGAGAAAGACAAATATGTAAACAAACAAACTAAAGTAAAATGGCCCTAATGGTGCCCAGCCAGGAAGCACGTAACAGATTTCGATACCTCCTATTCTTGTAAAGGACTTAAAGGATATTTGAAGCATATTTACATTCATTACCTCGCTGGTACCAGGCCAGGACTAGGGTTATTCTTATAGATAATGGCAAAGAGCACTCCGTGAGCACCAACTGTGTAATGTTCACGGAGCTTTTATGTGTGCTGTCTCCTTCATCACAGTACTGTGAGAAGTGTCATTATCCCCATTTTACAGGACTTAGAATCTTAGAGTTAAAAAGTGCCTTAAAAATTGCCTTGTACGAATCTTTACTTAAACTCTCTAAGATGAGGCAAAAGTAGGTTTATAGTTGTTCATATGGAAAATAATACAATAATTAATAAAAACATAAGAATAATCTGTTTCACATACTCACAACTGTAAACCTACTTTTGTCCCACCCTGCATGTAAGAGTCATGATCTGCCCAAAATTTTGTTTCTGCAAAATGTTCTAATAATCAGTAAAATATATTTTTTAAAAGAAAAAAAGTTCTAAAAGGAGCTTTATTACTCACAAATATAATCGTACATGAACATTATTAGAAAAAAGGTAACATGCTTGTCTTTGCTATAGTCTTAAACCTTAAAAAAAAAACCCTGAAGATTGTTCCTAAGTCAGAAATTATTCTAGTGCAGGTACAGGGACTATCATATTAGATTTCATTCCTTCAAATGTTAACACTGCTGCGGAGATAGATAAGGGGGCAGCAGATGCAGAGCTTGGCTGGAGTCTCTATGGACACAATTTTCAGAGGCAGAAATGTCAAATTCAAAGGAAATAATGAAAAAGATGAATAAAGCAGCTTATGTGGTTGGCCTGGGAGATTAATAACCATCTGAACCAGGCACAGAGCCCTAGCAACACCTCTTCAGAGCACCACTGACATACGTCTGCTCAAACAGATGAATGTTGCATTTCTACAGCGTTCAGCAGGAATGATAAGTAAATGAGAAGAAAGATATTTATAAGCAAATCTGGTCACCAATATGAGTTCTTGTTTCATAAAAGTGGAAGGACTCCTTAGTTATAACTAACTGAGGTTGCACTGCAGGTTAAGTCTCAACCAAAGAGATTATATTAACAGCAATATCTGACACCATGATTTCTACAGAGAAGATGCTCATTTTACTGAATGAAAGAATGAATGAATGAATGAATGAACGAACAAACGAACAATAAATGAGTAAATGTTTGTGCAGGGCTTTCCAAATTACAAATCATAATCCATAGTATCATGAGTAGTATTTTTGGAATAAAGTAGAAAATATCAAAGTGCATCACATGGAGTACAGGTATTGTGAAAGCTTTCTTTCATTTACTGTGTGTGCAAGTCGTGTGTCAATACACACATGTGCATGGTAGAGTACTAGAATCACTGGCTTAGTGGTTCAGACACACTGGGTATGAATTCCAGCTCTGACTGCCACTTCCTAGCTTTGTAACCAGGGACACAACTCGATTCTCTAAGTCTCACTATCAACTATAAAAGAGAGATAACATCAGTAGTACTCACTTCACGAAGTTACTAGGGATTAAATAATATAGACATACAGTGAATAACAGCTAACCCACACCCAGAGCTTATTATGTAATAGGCTTTGTTCAATATGTGTTGCATATAACAAGTCACTCATTCCTTACAATTCTTTTTTTTTCTTCAAATATTTTATTTATTTATTTATTTTTAGAGAGAGGGGAAGAGAAGGAGAAAGAGTGGGAGAGAAACGTCAGTGTGTGGTTGCCTCTCATGTGTCCCCTACTGGGGACCTGGCCTGCAACCTAGGCATGTGCCCTGACTAGGAATCAAACTGGCGACCCTTTGCTTCACAGGCCCGCACTCAATCCACTGAGCTACACCAGCCAGGGCTCATTTCTTACAATTCTATGTAGTAGATATTACTATTCTCTCCATTTCACAGACGGAAAACATGAGGTACACATAGGTTAAGTAATATGCCCACGGTCTCATAGCTAGTAGCCAACAGAGCCACAGTTCAAAGCAGACAGTTCTGCACTAGGCTCTGAGACCTTTCACACCATACTGCTTAGTACAATGCCTGACACAGAGGAAATGCGCAATGAATGTTAGCTGCACCATTGTTACTAAAGATAGGTTTTCTGTAAGATTAGAACTTGATAAAAATTTGCAACTTTATGGAACATTCTGGGAAGTATTTTGTTTAAAAAAATCAATCTTAAACAAAACCAAAAAAT